AGGTGTGCATACCTGTAAATGTATACGGTATATTCAAAATAAACTTGAAAAATCAAGTTTTATGTAGTCATTAGCCTGGGTAACATTTATTCAGTCACATAACACATTACTTTGGTTGTTTCAGACACACCTGTCAGAGAACTTCACTCGGTACAACTTTCTAGTTGATTAACTAATTCATTGTGTTTCAAAGCAAATTTTTGACCTCGGGAAAAAACGTTGAAAAAAGGTATTCAGAAAGAAAGCGTCGCTGAAGCTTTTTATCAAAAAACAAAAAGATAATTTCATCAACAGATAATGATCTGCTCAGGAGGCAAGGAGTTGCTGCTCTTAAATTGTTCATGAGAAATATATATAATTTAGTAGTCTTTTTAAGAGTTTCCTCGACTGCTGACGGAACTTAACTCTCAGGCGGACATTAACATCTGAGGTGTTTATGGAGCCAAATAAGCTTTATGAACTTCTATGATGTCGACCACATCTGCGATAGTTCAGCTGTTGAGGAAGGTTGTGACCGTCCAAAATGACTCCCCTCCTACAATAATTATTCATTACTTTCTGCTCCCAATGCCACGATGTAAGTGTCAAAAATCTCCATTTACTGAACAACTTGGTGCTAAATGTTTCAAAATGACATCAAGACTTCCTAGACATAAATTGGTATTAAAGAAAAGATTATATGCATTTTGCAACTTGGTGGTCAGAATATTAATTACTTTGTTCCTGTAAAAACCCAGAAACTATTTTCTGGAGGCCAAATGTATTCTCTTCCCTGCATTGACTAACACAATAATTAAATAAAACATAACATTTTAAATCCACAACTGTAATTCTGACTGAACAAAGCGAAAAAGTGGTAACTAAAGCAGGTCAGCCCGGCCTCTTTGCTCTGAAAATGGAATAATGATGATAATGAGTATAATTACCGAAATGGACGTCTTGGAGCACAATAATCTAAACTGTCCATCACAAAGAGAGAAAAAAGGATCTGTGCATTTATGTGTGTGTGTGTGTGTCACAGCTTACAGTACTACTCTGTAAATGAACTGGCATTAGCATGCTCTGAAAGGAGCTGGGCCAGGGTTGAAGGGAGCAGGTGAAAATCTCACTTTGAATCATTTCCCCTCCCGGTCCCTGCCATTGTTCCCGTTTCTCACACATGGCAGAGGCAGAGAGAAAGGATCCTATTATCCCGTACCAAGCCTGTTCTCCTCGTTTATCGTTTAAAGAGGGGGGAAGAGAAGGGGGAATATTCTGATGGAAAGCGGGGGCCTCTGTGGCAGCCCCTCGCAGTTGTGTGCCAGCTGAAAAGACCAAGCGGGCCGAAAGCTGCGGCGGTGCCCACCACCTGCTGAGCCCTTTCTCCTTCATCTCTCCCTTCTCCCTGTGCTTTCTTTCTTTGCCTTTCACCATCAAGCGTTCAGTGACTCAGCGGCCCAGGTTTAATTCAGGCTGAGGCCTCATGGCATAAAAAAGAAAAAAAAAGGAGGGTCCAAAAAGAGACAGAGAAAAGATTAATTTCTTGAGTGGGAGAGAGGATCGGGTGAAAGGAGACAGGCATACATAGGTGCTGTATTTTGTGTTGCCCTGAAAAAAGAGGTCTGAGCTGCACCTGGCTGTGGATTCTGAAGTGAAATTCATGAGTGTTAAAGAAAGACATGGTTTACCTAACCCTCCAACAGACAATTTCCAGAGCACAACAATTACAATCTACAACTTCTGGTCTGTACACGTACCGGGGAAGTTACTCGAGCAGTACCTACTTTGGCCTTTTCAGGCGTTGCCCTTCCTGCAACACAGGGCCTTGGACATCCTCCAAGAGCTCTGTAAACAGACCCACTGAATTTAACAGCAGATATTGACGCCGAGAGTATACTCGGCCCGTCAATAGTGATGGGTTATTGATGAAGGAGCGAGTGCTTCCTTGCACCGTACCTGTCAGGGTAACATCTTGCGTGATTATATATATATATATATATATATATATATACATACACACACACACACACACACACACACACGCTTGTGTGTATACATATGTGCACACCCACGCAGTAAAAAAATAAAAATCAATGAAAACCCTACACAAATGGAGATGTATACAGTGCCTGCAGCATTGCACTTTTGTGCCAAGCCATGTGTCTTCCCAGTGGGATGAGATGCACTGCACTCTTCCCTGAGGGTAAGGAGGTGCGGGGCAGGGGGGGTTAACTACATGGACAGAAGGAAAGGCCTCACCGTGCAGCGGCAGGGGGAAGGTAAAACTAAGAAGAGACCAAGTGTTGGATTCCGGGATGAACCCGGACAGAGCTTTGAATGGAAGAGGAAAGCAACATTGGATCCACAGCTCTTCCTCCCCGGCTTGTCCGTGCACCACATAACATGATTTCTGCACAGACAACCTGGGGGTTCCTGGCGTAAATTCTGCATCAAAACATTAACAATATTTTCACACATGATGAGAATGCATAAACTTCACTTGTGATGAGAGTATGCAGGCATCATATAGCTTCGTTGACTTGCTCAAAATATTCTGATCATGCGATGATAAGTGGAGAAACATGTAGGCCTAAAGGTTTTAGTAAACGCAAAAAAATGGTGGCCTGGTGTTGGTACATACTTACTCATTGTCTACAGTCACTTACGTACAGTACAAGTCAAATTCCATGGATGTGTAGAAATAGTGAAATTATATATATATATATATATATATATATTTGTTAGTAAAATAATAATTGATTGATTGTTATCCGAGATGAGAAGTTATATATCGATCTCCCCGAAGAATAGTCAGTAACAAAGCAAATGTCTCTTGTCTGTTACTTGTTCGTTAGTGCACTTTATGCTTAATATTTTTCTTTTTAACTTTTTAATATTTAACTTTTTTTAACTTTATTCCCTTGTTTTATACTAACCCATAGTCTTAGCCTTATTCTACTAACCCATTGCATTAGCATTTCATTCCACTTTTTTATACTTGTGCACTGTTGTCTTGTCTGTCTACTGTCGCGCACTAACCGCCAAGACAAATTCCTTGTATGTTTGACATATTTTGGCTAATAAATGTTTCCTGATTCCTGATTCCTGATCCCAAAACGAAATCAGTGCGAAAGAAAATGTCAGTTGTTAGAAGCTATGATGAAAACTTTGTCAATAAAGTGTTGCAGCAACTCACAGGGATGGAAACCGACTGAACTTTGGAGCTGGATGCTAGGAAGCTGGGTAGCTTGTCCTCCTCCCAAGCAGCAGGGAGTGAAGCGGGGGTGAGTTAGCCATTTCTAACCAGTGTTGTATCAAAGTATGGTTGGATTAGCATACTAGTTAACACAGCCAGATGTGCAGTAATTACCTACCTAGTTTGCCAATTCCATCATGAGTCCAACAAAGATCTTGCTCACATAAAAATGCAATGGGCTTCCCTATTAATCGTGTGGAAAAACTATTTAGTAATAACTCAATTTGAGTAATTTACTCTGGTTGTCTATGCTTCCCAATGTTAATAAATGGTGCACATAAAACGTGGTAGCATCTCTGAGCAACCTGCTGGGTTGATATGAACAGTACTCATATGGTACTACCAAAATACGTCAGACCATCTCTCACACAGGAGTTAAAACAGAGTGAGTGACAGAGACAAGAGGATGGCCCCTCTGCTTAACATCAGCATGGAGACAAGAAGGTCTGGCATTGGAGATAAAGGTGGGTGTGGGTTGTCTCCTGCGTGTGTGTGTGTGTGTGTGTTATAAAAGAGGCTGTCCATCTCCCTCGCCCACCATGGGCAGGCATGCACATTCCTCAGATAATGGAGGGCCATCCCAGACAAGCAGAGGCGAGCCTGGACCCTCCTGGGCAGACCTTGGTAAATTCCACTCATGCTTGCAGACCCACTGGGATAAGAAATGCCAGTAGAGGTGGGGGGATTTTGTCAAAAGTTCTCTTTTGCTGTGAAAAGCATTTTTCTCAGGGAGCCAAAAGAACACTGAACCAGAATCGCCCCTGGCGGACAAACCGGTAATCCAGGTGTTTGATGTGGGCAATGTCCACCCTGTGACGACCCAACCAATAATGCGGCTACTTACCCCGCCGCTCTCTCCATTGTGTTTACTTGCCGTTGTTATGGGGCGTGAGAGATAGAGGGGCCCGGGTGGGGGAGGGCAGGGAAGGGCCAGCGACACCAGCGTCATTGTTTCCAAGCGACCGTCATTCTGGGTCATTTAGCATGTGACACCTCTGGGGGCACAGTTCATTGCTAATGGCACAGAAGCGCAATAAACGTGCCAGCTCCCAACCCTCTGACCTGAGCCAGGATGGGGAGAAATAAGGCACGGGAGATAAGGGGAAAGGAAGGTGGCTGATGGAGAGAGGGTGGAGTTGTTCTGAAGGACATGGAACGCCGAAGGACGGCAATAGAAACACAACATAAAGTAGACAGAGCAGACCGTCGGAGGAGCCCGTCCACATACCTGGGGAGGGCGTGTGTGCGGTCTATACAAGGGTTTGTTTACCTTGAGTGAGGGAAAGGTTAGTGGTACACAGCCAGGGGCATTCCTGCCTGGGCATCAAAAGACAGTGGGGGAAGGGGGCAGACAGGCTGAAAAAGGCCCGGTGTGCTTGTCCTAAGTACAGGAGGTAGAGACAATACAGTCTCCATTAGAAGCTCTATGAAGGAGACTATTAGCCTAGCCTAGCCTAGCATGACCACTTACAGCAGTGTGACCGCAGTTTGACACGCAAGTGTTACCTTGTCTATCTAGATTTGGTGGTGAAGGAAAATTCGAAACGGATTCTTTAGGAAAAGTGCAGGAATGACACAACACGCTACAAATGTCACTTATTTATAGAATGTAAATAAATTAACTGAATGAGAGCTGCACTTGAAATGAGATCAGAAACATGTCGCCTGCCAGCAGGGAGATGTTACCAATTGGATGTCAAAGATTATCACTTAAAGAACTCAAGTGGGGAAGAACACTAAGACACAGAACAGTCAAAACACACTGTTGGTTTTCAATCAAGCTTTTAATGAAAAGATCATAAAATAACAGTTTATTTTTCCTCACTGCTGTACATTAAGACTGCAAGGTTGTGAGTGCTGAGGTCAGCGGTTTTACACTTTTTTTTCTTTTATGACACTTTTGAGTTTGAGCGAGCCCCATCGCTATGCGCAGTGGCGGCGGCGGCAGCTCTGACCTGAATACGAGCTCTCTGAGGACTGGAGATAAAGAGAGAAGCTCAACCTGGGTGCTGCCAAAAGCCACAAAAACAGGAAGGGTCACAGAATCTTTCCTCAAATACTGGTGCGTGCCGTCAGGTTGTGTTTGAAGTCTAGACGTTGGCATGCGCGTTGGTCACATGGGTGGAGGTGTATGTGCGTACATGCCAGTGAAAATAAATGCACCTGGGCGTGTGCATCTCTGCACGTCAAGTGTGTTTGCCAAAGGGGAGGAGCTTCTCGGCCTCTAAATTATTGATCAGCAAAGACCCTAACGTCTATTTTAGAGCCTCTCAGCCTACCGGTCGTAATACATTATTGAGAAGACGCTCCTAAAGAAAACAAGACCAAGGAGGAATCTTGATACACCCGCTTCATGGGCAGCTCCACTGATCAAGTTTTCAAGTACTAGATAAATATTTATTTAATTTACTCCTTAGCAGCTAAATCATGTCTTTCCATGAATGTAGTGCACATCAAAGTGACACTGTGCCTTTGTAAATTCAATAAACAGATGGAAATGAAATGAAGGTTAAGCATGAAAATATGCTGCTACATACTTCATATTTTGGTTACGGATGGACGGCAAAGAAAATCAAAAGTAAGATGTAGTGGCAAGATAGCACATTTCTGTAAACACTGAATGTTTTGAGGTAATCTGGTGTGTTTTAGTAACTACTGCAAAATGTCATAGGAGGTACAGTAAACACTGATGTGAAACGTAAGAATGCAGCAGAGGATATAGTCGCCTGTGCAGTGAGAGAGATTACAGAGGGTCAAAGGGCTGAAGCAGAAGGTCAGGCGTATCGGAGATAAAGCAAGGAGACTATAAAGCTTAGAAATGCTTCAACAGCAACCGAAGGCCGTTTTCAAATCGTCTTTGGCTTTAGTCCACCGAAGTAAGAACGAGCATCTCCATAAAAACACAGATCAGCCCCTCAGCTTTAAAAAAAGGATATCAGGCAGATAATACCACGAAATGAGACGAAAAAAACAACACGGCCCCCTTGGTTTGCGTTTTCCTACTTTGTATATTCAACTTTTAAAGCTTTCATAAAACTGCATGATGATATGATACTTCCAAACACAGAAAAAAATGATGAACTAAAAGGACAGACAACAGGGCGAGCGTCGTTTAACTGGGAACCAATATGAGAGCGCCCTGTAGGTTATCCCAGAGGCTTTGACAGAACATACAAAGTGCACTTAGTAAAGCTATGTCGCCCAACGTCTCTAAACTCCTCCAATGTAGAACCAACAAGACGCTAAACAACACATACGTCATGTAAAAAGAGAAGGGAAGTGGTTTAAAGACCAGAAATGTAACAATAGTCATGAAAATGGAGCGAAATGCGGATTGCGTGCCGGTTTCTGCTGTGTGAATGTTATTTTGTTTTTTTTAATTAGGCAGTACAGTGGCAACACCCAGCGAGAGCAAGATTGAAAAGATACAGTAGCCTCTGTTCTGCACAGGCAGGTCACAGCACCCTGCCTGCGTCCATGGACACGCACACACAAGGGGTTAAAGTTCAACTCCCCTGACGTGCAGTCATTTAGCGAGAACTCAAGAACGCATAAAAAATAAAAAACACCCATAGTGAAACACATGAAATTAAAATAACAAAAAGACCCTACAGACTGTCAGGCATAACTAAGAGTAGATATTAAATGTTATTGACCGTTTTCTTTAAGTTAGAGAAAAAACAAATCAGTTTTCCCACAAGAAAAAAAGTCAGCGTTCACAGATTGTGGTTAATGGCTATGTTTTGTGTCTCATTTTTGATTCTCAGCTTGAAAACCTCAAAACAAACCCCCCCCAAAAAAGGAGGTCCTGCCTCCACCTCGGTCTCACACACAGAGCTAATTCTTTGCAGAGGGGAAGGCAGGACCAGAAATAAATACATTCATCACTGACAATAAACATTTGATTAAAAAACAAAAACAAAAAATAACAACACTGTCAATAAGTGTTTGCACCAACTTTGTAGGAGGCTCGGCCAGCCAGGAGGTCTGTGCTGCTTTCACCTGCAGTGTGCAGGCAGCTAAGAAAAAAAAACAATCCAAAAACATCATAGAAGCAGAAAAAAACAACCATAACATTCACAGTTAAGACTACCAGATAGGCTTGTTTACATGCAGTGGACATACCAGAGCTACACTCTCCAGGTAGTGTTTTCATAATCTCCAGCATAAAGAGATGTACCATACTACCAAAAAAACAACAACCCAAACCAGTGAACACAGTACGAGACCCAAAACAGTGGAGGTAGTCCTCAAGCGCATTCGGGTAACAGAAAGACACTAAATTGAGCTAAAGATCTGGCTAACAATGCCTTTTGATTACCACGTCAAGGACGCACTGCCCCCCCCCCCCCCCCCAAGCCCCCTAGTTCTGAGGTCCCATCTGAAGACAGGCCAGAGGGCAGGGGGGACCGGGGTGCAGGGTCACCACAAAGCCAGCTGGCACACACCCCTCCCCTTAATTGAATATGCAGCAGTTCACCCCGGATTGTATGCTTTACATTTGTTTTGGCAGCAACATAAGGAAAAGAATCTTTAGCAAAAAAGAAAGAAAACAATAACACAACCTCTGTGACTGGCCGAACCTCGACTGAGGTCTGTAAAACTGTAAAAGTTTATGTAAACAAGGAGATAAATACATGTTTCTTTTTAGAGCCACACATGGTTCCATAATCATTCAAATGTGCTTTGGTTTAAAAAATAGTTTGTGGATTTGGGTATGAGCTTTTTTTTTCCTCTTCTTCTTAGTTTTTTTTGTACAACTTTGCAACTATATCAGAACACACCGCGTCACTAACTAAAATGTAGACTTTTTTCGAGCTGCCTGGCCTTTGTCAAGGCTCTTTGCGTTAGTTGAAAAAGTACCCCCCTGCTTGTCTTAAATATGAAACTAGTGTTTTTGCTTTTCCCATGATTAAAATACAGAGAAATCGATACAATACTATGTCTTACAAATGTAGCTGAGAGTCTGCATCCACAGATGCCAAACAGTCCCTGAAGTAGTTGAATAGTAGTAGTACCAATAGTAGTAATAGCAGTATGGTCACAGTTTTGAGTTTAAATTTTTTTTTTGTTTTGTTGAATTATTTTCTTCGTCGTGTCAAACAAGCAAGCATTCAAAGTCTTTTGCAGAGATGGCTAAAGAATTTGATGTACAAAAACACCTTTTGCACTACAGACATTACGCTAAGCTGCAATAAGTGCCGACAAGTACAATAACGTTTGAAGGCAATGCATTGTGGACTCCCTCTTGAGCCAGGAGAGGTCACAAGCAACAGTGGATCAGGCGATAAATAACATATCTGGGGGGGTTTTGGTGTGGGGGGGGCTGTAGTAAATGTACCATGCAATCACTAAACGGAAACTGCTTCTAACTGCAAGACACAGACATAACCAAGTAACAACTCTGGGAGTCCAAAACGCAGGTACCTTAAAACAGTAGTGATGTTTGTGTAGCTGTAGCTGCATCAGCATGTCACAGACCAAAACATAAGGAACGAGGAGGATTTAAAAAAAAAAAAAAAAAAGAATATCAAGAAGACAGTTGAACCAACATAATAACGGAATGCCTATACCAAAACTTGTGGTGAAGGTTGGTGCTCCACAGCGTAAGAGTAGATGCACTGGACCAGCAGACAGCAGAGGGAGTGTTGCTTAGGATGAGGTAAAGCTTTAGGAGGTTAAAAATAATTTTAAAATCATTCTGCGATATCATGGAATACAATCAGAAACAAAAGGATGCCGCAGGAGACCAGTGGGTTGTCCAAATGTCCAGTGCATCTTTTCCTCCCCCTTCTTCTTACACATTTTCACAAGTCTGGCTCAACAAAAAGATAAAGTAAACCAACAAGCAACTTGAACTTCACATTAAAATTCTGATTATAATTCTTCTTTTTTTGCTTTTTTTTTGGTCTGAAACAGAACACATACAATTTCATAAAGTCCTGTTTTTTTAAGTCAGGGAATATAAAGTGATAAGGACTCTGGATATAAACCAAATTGTTTTTTTTTTAACGTAACCAGGTTTAAATCACACCAGCCCACCAATCAGCACAAGCTTTCCTTGCAAACCACAAGAAGCTGCCTCAGTCTCAGAGTCATTGGCCGAAGCTCCGTCAAAAGAGTGGATCTCTTCGTCTGGAATATAAATTCATAATTTGTTTTATACAGCAAAAAAGAAATCAAAAGTGAAATAATTTAGTATGCTATATATCTTAAGTACATCTCTTTTTTTTAAACTTTGGTTATGAACTTGTCTAGCAATGTTAGTTAGCTCTGTTCTCCTCAACATTCATTAGATCTTTGGAACACTATACATCTAGGCTAACTAACCACTGTTTGCTCCAGGCGGGTAGCTACACTACTGAGCAGGGCACCCAAAAAAAAAAACTGTTGACAAGTAAAAACGACAGCTAAAGAAAAAACTATCAATGTCTAAAATCTATGAGCATTAAAAACATGTGTTGAGAGATGGGCAGGTTAAAGCATTAGGTGAAAAGTTACCATAATCTACAGACTTTTTACAATTAATTACATAGGAACTTTCAACTAATCAACAGAGTTTGTAAGAGTAATCAGAGGTAGCGAGGTCATAAGCCTATATAAATAGACTCTTTTCTGAGGGGATGAAAGCTATACAGACAAAAAAAATAAAACGTACCCACTGAACATGTTCAGTCTAAAACACCCTCTCCTTACCTCCCCTTAAACTACCCACCCAATCCAATCCAGCCAAACCCCCTCCCCCCATCGGGATACATCCCAAGACTTTCCAGTTTAAACATTCACTGAAACATTATAAGTTCTGTAAGTAAATCAAGTACCTCAAGGGGGTTTGTCTATCCAACCAGGATTCATTCCTGGGATCACAAGCAGGCAAAACCAACAACAATGAACATTCACCCTGTATTGCTGCGAGCAGCCACAGAGAGAGACTTTGCTTATTAATGGTCTGTAAAACAAAAACTTAATCCAATGTCATTCCATTTCTTTCAGGACTGTCAGTTAAAGCATGGAGATGGTCTCAACCCCAGTTAGCCCTCCTTTCACACACAGATCCCCATCACCAACATAACAATGGATATAAAGCTGTGTTAAAAAATATTTTTTTTTTGCAGAATTATTGCCAGTATTGTTTGAACGGGTTTTTGGTCAAGATAGCACTTGAGTTCATACAGAGGGGACTCTGGAGTTGATCAGTTTGAGGAGCAATCTGAAAAACCTTAAAAATGGTAGAAGACAGACAAGCTGCTGAGGGTCACTAGGTGAGGGGGGGCTCGACTTTACATCAGTAGCCACATTCAAATTTGACAGACTTTGCAATGCAGACCAGAAGTCTTGCCACACCAACATGGCTTTGTGACATTGGCGAGAGACGGGAGTAATTTGTCACTCCTGAGAGGTGAGAAGACGTCGCTTGGTATAAATTATGACGTTCCCACCAACACCTAGACCCCCCTTCCCCTCCCTGTGGCTAACAGCTATATCATCCAGTAAGCCGGGTTGTCGTAAACCGGAATTCCTACGAAGGGAGTTGCGAGTGTCTGCTTGTGAATGGGTGCGTGTGCGTTTCTTTGCTGTTAAGATGGGGAGGGGGAAGGTAGATGGTTTATTTTCCTTCTATATCCCAAAGTTCTTTGGCTTGATACATTTCTAAGAGGGTGAGGTGTGCATCCTTAGGTGACTGATGAGGTTACGCTGCTGTGTAAATTTCCCCCCGCAAAGCTGGCATTCATACGGCTTCTCCCCAGAGTGGACGCGCATGTGCTCCGTCAGACGGTACTGGCGTGTGAAGCGCATGCCGCACTCTTCGCAGGCAAACGGCTTGAGGCCGAGGTGGCTGCGCATGTGGCGTGTCATGGTGCCCCTCTGGGTGAACATTTTGCCACAGATGTTGCAGGGAAAAGGCCTGGTCAGCCAATGGCTCTTTTCGTGTTGCCTCAGCGTGGCCGGGTCTTTGTAGCTCTTACTGCAGACTGTGCACTTGAACGGACGCGCCTCAGAACCAAAGCTGGAAGGGCCCACGGCCGCAGAGAGGTCCTCTGCCTCCTCCTCGTCCTCCTCTTTCACAAAGGTGCCTCCCTCCTCTTTGATGTAGAGCTCGTCCTCGTTGTGCGTCTCTACGTGGGCATTGAGCTGCTCAGAACTGGGGAAGCCTTTGCCGCAGGGAATGCACACGTAGAGGTTGTCCCCGAATGCCGGTTCAAAACCTTCCTGCCTGTACACGTAGTTGGCGCTGTGGTTTCCCCCTCCCGTTCCCCCTCGACCTCCTGCACTCTCTCCGTCACTTTGCCCGCTCTCGTCAGTGTGGTCCTGGCCGTTCTCTCCAGCGTCTTCCTCGTCTTTACACTGAAAGGCCTGGTCAGAGGAGCGGCCATCTTTAGGACCCACAATCACCCCATTAACCAGTGGCCTGTCGTGGTCTTCGGACTTCAACCCTGACGCTTCTTTCTTAGGCCATTCGTTCTTGCGAGCACCCTGCCGGGATTTCTTTTGGGGCGGGGGGCCATCAGGCTGGTTTTGAGTTTCCTCTGAGGCTTTAGGATTGAGATCCGTGGTTTCTGAGCCACAGGCGTCTAGACCTGGTAGGGTGGTAGAAGAGTCATCCAGTGAGGCACTGTTGGTTGTGGATACTGAGGCAGATTGAGGAGACTCTTGGGAGTTGCTGTGTGGGCTCAGGGCATCAGTGGCTGTGCCCGCAGAGGGAGGACTCTTCTTGGACAAGTCCAGTCCGAGGTCTGGCTCCCCAGCACTTCCTCCACTGCTGAGGTTACCGTTACTGCTGCCATTCCCCCCATTGCCGTTCCTTGCAGAGCTGCCAACAAACATTTCGTCATCTGAGAGCTTGTCCCGAAGGCCTTCATCTGGCTGCGGCTGGTCGGCATCGGAAGGGGTTGGGTAGTGGTTTTTGGGGCCAGCAGGGGTAGAAGTGGAAAGGCGCTGGTTGTTGAGGCGTAAGCGGCTAAGGGGACCTGGAGTGGAGGGTTTACCTGGCAGGGGTTTCCCACCATTGCGCTTGAGCTTTTTTCTGCACAGAGCAGCGAGGTCATGAAGCTGGAGGTAGCTAGCTGCGGTTAAGAGGGCACTGAAGTTCTGCTCACTGCTCTGGTCCAATGAGGACAGGAGCTTCCCAGTGTAGATGAAATCCAGAACTTGTCTGAATACAGAGGGGTTAACCATCTCTGTGTCGAGGTTAATGAGGTTATCGTGGAGGACCAAAGATTTGAAATAAATGCTGCTCGCAGCCAGGATGTTCTTGTGGGCACGGAAGAGTGCATTCTCCACCACGATGATGACATCACAGAGGAACCCCTTGGCTCTCTGCTGGTTGAGTTGCAGCAGCAGTTGTTTGGCATGGTTGGGCAGTTCCATTTCCACCTTTCTTCTTTCTCTCTCTCTCGCTTTCTCCCTCTCTCTCTTCCTACAAGAGTACCACCTGAAGCTGAAAGAGAAATGACAAAGGTGGTTAGCTTTATATTTTACACATTGGCTGCTTGATTAGTCGCAGTGCTTGGAAAAAATATTTGTAACTTAAACAATCAATGGATAGACATATATTATGATATTACACACAGAGACACACACACACACACACACATATTTATGATGCGTTTAAACAACGACAAAAACTGGAACCCTACCCTCTAGACTTCCCCGTTCAACAAATTGCAACCCCGGGTGTTACGTTCTGCTACACTCGGACACCGTTCTGGCACAAAAGCCAAATGGGTGGACAAGGTAAAGTAACTACTTTTCCAAGGTGCCCCTCCCCTCTGGCGTTGGTGGGGTTGCCCTTTTCGGAAACTTGGCCCACTCAAGCCTCATTAGGTCATGGTAATGTCAGCCCTGCCCCATTGTCTGGGGGTGGGGGTTGGTGCCACAACAGGGTCGGGGGAAGGGTGGGGGGGGATTTGGTGACACCTGAGCAGGTAAAACTACACAGGAGCTAGGGCAGAAGAGCGTGGGCGGGGGCTGGTGGGTGCAGCTCAAAGACGAGGACAGCAACACCTGATCCTCGGGAGAGGCCCTCATTTATGGAATTAGGACAGAAGAATCTCATTCCGTGTTAGACTGCATAAAGATAAAGACCTCTCACAGACCACAGTGCTCCACTTTGGACATTGAGAACACTATTCATTGGAAAGAAATGCACTGCCCTAGTCTCAGAGTCTATCTGCAGCTCGGGTGTGATGCAACATTGGTGCTATGCTTATTCAGAGGAGCGGGGCAGGTCCTTGACTCATGTTTAATGTCGTGGGCACAATGGGAAAATGGACGAAATCTTTAATGACCCTGATCTTACCAAGGTATACAGAATTGCAGGAGTATACACAATTAATGCAGGGAAATGTTTTACTCGGGCTGTGAATACATGTGAAAATATACCACTGAAAGACAAAGACTGATATTCACAAAAAAGGTATTAGGCAAAAGGCGGTTCTAAAAATCATAATATAGCATCGCCACATTTTTAGTCATGCGTTAACCATTTTCAGTTTTAATTCATTTACTAACCCCGTTTTAGCTTTGTTTTCCTAACAAATTCCTAGCGCAACACCCTCCTTAAACAAAGCCTTAAATACTTCTGATCGGGGTCCTACAATCGCCACGCAAGACTGATGTGGGATATGAAACGTCGCCGAAAAATTGGGGCGAGACAAGACAGGGGATTTGTTACAACTCGCGTGAACAACAAGGGAAGAATTAAATACTGGAGCTGGCACACTGTATCAAACGGAACCGTTGGGCTGATACAATCAGCCGGAGTGATCATTACTCTCAGCTCTCAGGCCTGGGCTCGTCTCCTCTGCTTTGACACTTCTACTCGTGGTCTCCTTCTTCTTCCCCTCCCCCTTATTTCCTCTGCCCCTCTCCTCTCCTTTCTCTCCCACCCTGACCAGCCTCACGTCGGGCATGCAGAGACAACAGTCCCCAACGTGAACTACAAAGAGATCTGCAGTTAATTGCAGAATGCGCTTGCGGTGGCACTCGATCCCTGCGGGCGGCCACGAAGAGGAGGGCTGCGAGACAAAGGAGGGCCTCTGCTGTGATGCCAGCCAGGAAGCCATATTTCAGTCAAGACTCTCCCTTAATACACACACAAACCTCTGCAGGCTTTAGGGGGGGATTCAAGAAGCTTCACCAGCAGGCCAACCTGAAAATGGGGCTGGGCTCCGAGTGGAGTAGCCAGCTCTGGAGGAAGAAGAAATAAAGAGCCCTTGCCCTCCCCAACCCCCTACTCTTCTCATCCCTCTCTCCTCCCCCCCCTCACCAATCACCCTTACAGCTACCCTTTCTCCCCCTGGCCCCCGGTGCTCTGCTAGGCCGGGTGGATTCCAGGGAGCTGCTAATGGATTACGGTTGATCTATATGCAGCTAGGGTGGGGCACGTGTGGGCCCCGCTCCCATCCAGATAGTGGTCCACAGGAAAGCGGGCCCTAATACCACAGGCCAGGCCAGCGGCAACATGGCAGCCTTCCGCAGAGCACAGGTGCTCTGTGCACGTTGTAAGGACCAAAGCAATACAGTGGCTCATACTACAACCATGAATGGCTGTTGTAGACTACTAGAACATGCGAAAACAATGTTTCCAGTATAGTCAGGAAGACTATCTCACGTGCATGACCGATCTGAGCAGGCTCACAAATCTGCCTGTCGATCCACCACGGGAGACCAAAAACCAAAACGTCACAAGGTCCCCCGCACACCCAAGTGTTGTACCAATAATCTGGATAATCTGGTTCTACACTATTTAAGTATGCACCCCGGCCCCAAGTCGTTTACGAGTTAAACAGTGAGTGAGTAAACTTTTCAGTCCATGGGAGCAGTGGGCTGTGGCACTAATCTCCTGAGCGCAGGGCTACGGAGGGCAGAGGTGAGCTGAAGTCTTGTGGCGCAATAACAAAAACACACCCTACTGCTGCTTAAAGTCACCTGCTAAAACGACCAATAGAGAACAAGGAGGGTTTCCGAAACGTGCTTGTGTTTATTTTTTGGAATGAATAAAGGAAGAAGCTTAGTTTAAAAAAAGTGTGCAAAAAGAACAGTGGACGTGCAGGTAAAGGCTGTTTAAGGCAGTCAAGAGGAAGGGAGCAAAAGGCCTCCCGAGTGTGCACACTCACAGAGACAGTGCAAAGCCCCCCCACACCCACACACACATACATACATACATACATACATACATATACACTCACGCCCGGGGAGTATGCTGGTGGGCAGAGGGAGTGGGGGAGGGGTTAGGGGGATGGTACAAAGCCAGTTTGAAAGACAAACAGAGCAACTACCTCTGAGCCCTTTTTTCCAACATGGCTGCCGCTGATGCGTGCGTGGGTAAGGTCGGTCTCTCTGACGCAGCTGAAGGGGAGAACATCTCACAGCTGAGTGAGGAGTTCAAGCTGAACAGACAGCCCTTCCGGTATGCTGCATTAACCTGTGTAATGTCTGCTGCATCAGAGGCAACCGTATGAACAGATTTGGGTCAAAATAGAAATACCACAAATTGGGTTGGGGCAGGTAATTGAAGTATGGGGTTTCTATAGAACACAGTAGGCGGGGACTGTACAACCTGACGTGTCATTTTATAACCACATCCCATTTTCTAGTGTACTGGAGATGTTCCTTTTGCTTTGGGCCGGCTGTGCAGCACATGCTTTGAGTAGATACATACATCTATATAAACTGAAGAAACTGACTCACTTATTTCATTTCTAATCAGTTTGGATTAGGGACGTGCAGTACGGAGTAATGACATTAATCCTGTCACACTGGTGTCCAAGCAATAAAAATTACAAAAAAACTTTTAAGATTAAGGTGTCCCAGGAAAAACATCCAGTGCAATGTTGGGTTGTGTTTTGCATTGAAATTCTGAAACTAGCATCAGGAGTCTTGGATCTAATGTTCTAAACGGATACAGTGATGCATCCAGCGCGGTGCTGTGGTGCTGCAGGGAGCAGAAGACGCAGGGATATGTTCCAACCAGAGACGACAGAGTGTGAAATGAAAAGTGAAAATCACCAGCATGCCTGTGCATGAGTCTCCATGGCAAACGGTTGAATAACTCCAACACAGAGTATCTCCCAGAATTCTGGACACTGATCCAATTCTGATTATATGCGCTCTTCAGAATAGCTGTGGAGGAGGGGGGAGGTGGGGCGGGGGGCTGACACCCCGCTGTACAAAGTCTCAGAGAAAGAAAGGATCGGCTGATCTGGATCTTCCCCTGCAGGATAGTTTGCATACAAATGCGAGTGAACAGGTTAGTGATTCCAGTGGTGCAGTTAGGAGGGGTGGGGGGCACAAATAACAGTGTCCCTACCGCAGTCCTTCCAATTAAGGCTAATTTTCTGTCAGGCGGTCTGGCCGAGTTGCAGTCAAAGAAGTCCTGCCCAGGGTGCAGTGGACTGAAAGGAGCACCATCCGTTTCCTCCCGGGAGGGGGGCCGTAGGCTGCTGCGTACTACATGTGTACCGGAGTACCTGCAGCAAAGTACAGCAGAGACCCTTTTCTCTCCAGCTCACACAACACGTGTCATCAACTAGGACCTGTGACACATCCGGTCACAAAAACGCCTCATCAAATAACATTTTAGGGATGTTATTTTAATATTATTTCTATTTCAGGAGGTTTCAGACAGCGGGGGCATCAAACCGGCGGAAGGAAGATGTAAAGGTCTTTGAGAAAAGAGCACCACGAGTCCTATAGTGTTGTCCTGTATCACAATGGATCGGTTTCTTCAGTGGTGCCCATGTCACGCACATGAGCCACCAGGTGAAGAAGCAGGAACAGGTATGCTCCCTCATGGGTGCATAAACAGCTTGTACGGCCTCGCACTTAATGTTGCGATACTGGACGCGAGCAACTACTAATATACCTAATTTAGGCACAGGGTATATAATCTAGTCGGCTCAATCCCCCTTTCTCATGTTCAGGACCTTATTTAAAAATCTGTTCGCCGTGTTTAATGATGGCTGCAGGTATGAGCAGTCGTATGTATACAGGAAATAGAGCGCAGCGACATAAAAGTTCTGTAACATGAGGTACCATAACGCTTTCTTAAAAGCAAGTTTTCCCCCTGACATCATAGGTTTGTGTGGAAATGTATGAGAAGCGGTTAAACAAATACGGAATCCATTTGAATTACAGCTACAACGCAAGGTTGGAGGTTGGTCCTAATGCTTTCCTAAGCCACAGGAAGCAGGAGGCGGATATAAATTCATGTTTCATTGGATATATTTAGCGTTAGCTTATTTTGATTGTAGCGTTTTCTGTTAACCAAATGAATGAGATCAGAGAACTACAAACTGTTTCGTCAAACAGATGACATCCATCAGTGAGATGTGTTGAATTGGAACACATACAGGTAGCTAATCAATACAAATGTCTTGACTAGAACTTATTACTTACTCACATGTGTCCTCTATGCTGTGTTGTATTCTGTGGCTCTGTTGCAGGATGCAAATAACCCCCACGCATAATCAAATAAAGACACAAATAAACAAGAGACTTTTGCCAGGAAAACCAGCAAGCAGCACAACTTGCATCCTCGCTCCACCAACGGAAAAGCAATCAGCCCGTTGCCAGCGAGCCACCATATGATTGGAATGATGAAGTGACCTCTGTCTAGAGAGTATGAACTTTGTTTATGAGATAAACCCTCCACCCCCACAGAAAGCAGCAGTGCCACATGACCCAGAGCCTAATGCTCTGGCTAAGGACACAGGGCATTTTGGGTAAGGAGGGATCTTTTACAGAGCTGTCACACCCCCCCTCCACAGCATAACCTTCTGGCTATCAACGCTCTGCATTCCACAGACTGTTTCTTGTTCTTAAGGAACAACAAAAGCCCATCCTTGAGGCGCTTTGGCCGACCGCATGAACCGGGCTGAACCTCCAAAACACGCAGCGCGGGGCGGGACAGGCCAATCGGCGCACACAACTCGTCAGCCGAGCGCCACATACAAGTCCTCGCCCGAAATGTCAGCAGAAACGCATAGCCGAAGTGGCTTCATTGCACGGTGCTGCCCGGGCACGCGCACACAGTCACACACGCAACACTGTGTGTGTCAGGAAGGGGAAAGGGAAGGTATGGGGCCCAGTGATGAGGATCATGGGGCAACAAAAGCACACACACACGGGGCTCAAGTCGCCCTCCAGGCCAGTCTTTGTAGTCCACGGTAACCAATGAAACCAGTCACACCGACCCGTCCATCTCTGTGGCCTTCATCAACCCGTCTGACAGCTACTCAGCGCGCCCACTCAGGACGTACACGTTGTGGTGACCTCAAAGATGATGGAGGTGGATTTATTGGTCAATGTTTCCTTCTCGTTTCTGAGGCTAATGCCAGGCCTCTAATTATGAATCATTTTTTGTTTAGTTGAGTGCTCCTCTGTGAAATGTAACTGCTGTGGTAGTTTGTGAGAGAGACACTGGTCACATGGGCCTTCTAAGCCCACTGCTGCAACACTCCAGTCGAACGGGCTTCCCCCTCATTAGCTTAGGCACAGGGTATATAATGTGTTAGAATAGAATGAAAATAAAAAACACTTTCAGATAAACCTCCACAAGATTTAAAAAGTATTTGGCAGCAGCAAAGAAATCACAATTGAGCAAATTGCTGGGCCAAATTTTAGGCTGACAGGCAGAGCAACCGCTCCCTTCAACAGCACCCTGTGGGTGTAACCAGGGCAAATGTAGTCCTATAATCTCTATATTATAGGCTGCACTCTGCAACCCTTGAGAGGGATAGCTAGTTAAGAACTAGAAACGAGAAAATAACTCAACTAAAGTTGTGACAAAACTCAAGAAATGTCTTAGCGTCCAAAGAAAACAGAGAATCAATGCTTTTTCTCTCAAACCTCCTTTAAAGTCAACTTGTTGCCATGCGAGATCGAGCAACAGAGAGGACAACTGGCTAAACAGACATGAATACCTGGCACGGGCCTCCCACTCAAGCTAGGTCCAACACATTTTACTGGAGCGTCAAGGGGGCCGGGTTTCATACCAATGGGCCTTATGAGAAGGAGAAAAGCATTGTGGCGGTTCTTGGCTAAGGAAACCCAAGCAAAACTGACCTCTTAGAGAAATGAAGATTGTTGGAAGGGACCCTGCATTACTGACATTCCTGTGCCTCATTATCTCCATGCCCCTTGGTACTTTAACTACTTTAATCACCCGAGAAGCCGAGCCCAAGCGGCCTTCGCACCTGAGCATTGCTTTTACTGGCCCCCAACTCATCTGCTCATTTCCTGATTGGAGTCCAGTCCTCAAATATTCAATGCATACATGCAGATACGACTGTTGTTGTTGTTGTTGTTGTTGATTAGACACCTGGAAATTAACATAATTAACATCCATGGGTCACAAAGTACCGTCCAAGAGTACCGATCCCCCCCCCCCACACACACACACACACACACACACCCCTTAACGAGCCCCTGCATCAATGGGCCTGCAGCTCACGGTACGAGTAGCAGAGCCTGCGTCGTGCAGTCTGTGTGTGTGTGTGTGTGTGTGTGTGTGTGTGTGTGTGTGTGTGTGTGTGTGTAATAGCCGAACCGTAAACCAAGGCGGCTTGACCCACATATGAAGAATGCAGGTTATGGCGCACACGTTGGGTAGATTCGGCAAAAAAAATACCGTGCGTGAAATCCGCAGTTTTTTTTTAATCAAGTTGCGGCTACGGAAAAGCCCACATCCGTGATGTGATTAAACGAGCTGATCGGTCAGATGAAGCATCGGGCTCCTCGCAGAGGGACCTGGATGAACTGCCGGAGAAGCAGAAGACGCGGAGAAAAACACGTCGCGTTTCGCGGTTTGCGTGGATCGGTTTCCGTCGCCCGCTGCGCTCTGCCAGCCTGGTGAACATTCGGCCGCACACACTCGGTCCCGCGGGGGCATCGCTCACTAATCGGGCACGACGCCGAGAAAATGAGAGAGAAAAAACGCCACGACCGCTGCCAAGCCCTCGATCCGGATCGGGGGGGGGGGGGGGTCGCCAAAGCGGACTGGTAGACCCCCCAACGCACCAGCGCAGCCCCCGGTTTCCTCTTTTTGTTGGCACGCCGTGAAAAAAACACACACACACACACATCGCCGTATCTGCGGATGAAAAAAGCTCGCAAACCTTCCGGCGTAAAAGCCCCCGGCCGACGGCGCGACGCGCGTCTACGGTCCACCTTTCAGCAGAGACACGGGGTGGGTTTAAAATACCTTATTACATCGGTGGGATCGTCCTCAAGCGGTCGTTACCATCCTCCTGCTCATCTCACAGCCTTCGGGACGCCATGTTGCAAAGCTTATGACGTTAGCTTTCCTCACCCCTGACCCACATTTTGATTAGAAACCAGCCCGGAGTGCAGCGGGGGGGAGAAACACAGCCCACTGTGGGAGGGTTTGGCCCTCTTTCTCAGCCCCCAGGTCTCGGGGCATGTTTCCCTGCAAGATGCCAGAGAAAAAAAAGGGGGGGGCCGTTGTGTCGAGTGGGGGGGGGCGAGGGGAGGGATATGTGGTGGTTTTGGGCCTCCCCTCTTTTAGCATATATATATATATATGCTTCTTTTAATACAGGACGAGGACAGGACTTACTTTCAAGTTATGAAATATATGGTCCTGATTCCGTGTTTTTAAAAAAAAGAATACTGAAGGTAGCAAAGCAAGCGAAACCCGTTAAGGTGGAGTTACATCAACATGAAATAAAACACTAGCGAGGGGCAAAGGGGCAACTCCAATTGCCTCAGGTTCCCACTGTATGATTGAGAAATTAATATATCAATGTAATTATTACTCATTTCCTCCTTTACATTTCAGTAAATGCTCCGCGTGGTTTACGGTTATGTTATTTAAATATGCAAATAATGTTAATGATCGTCTTCAGTGCGATCACCGCAGAAAACATCAAGCCTGCTTATTCTGCAATAACGTCATCAACTGTATTTGCAACAATAATCACCACTTAATTCACACGTATCAAAGAGAGAGAGATACTTGTTGAAAAATTAGGCACCAGATGTGCGGAAGTTTGACGATGTGCTACCACCTCCCAGAGGACGTGGTGTGCTGTTTACTGCACCCTCAGACACCACCTCGGTGATGCCGAGGGCGTAGTATGGCTCAGATTCCGCACAGGAGGATGCGGTGGCGCTGTGCCAAAGTGCTCTACTGACGCGCCGTGGCGGCTGCGGTGAGCGCAGCATCCACGTGCACGACACGTTGAGCTGCACGATCCGAGTGGTCGCATCACATGTGTCTGCGGGGTGTCACATCCCGCTGTTAGGCCGACATGAAATATACATCATAGATATTGTAGGTGTATCAAATGTCATAGCCGATGCAGGACAAAATGACGTGAACCCCTCCCTAAGTTAAGTATGTTAGTAGCTATGTATCATGTCAAATACATTATTTTATTTTATAATAATAATAAATAAAGCAGTAGATGTAGGCTTATCACAACGAGACATAAGAAGAAAAACGTCATTTTTTTCATATTTACTTTTGCATTAAACTTTGAACTTGAATAGAATCGAATCACAAGCTAAACATGTTAGCAATCAATTCAAATAAACAGTTGCATGCCTGAAAGAAAGAAAACGGTCACACTTCAACATTTTTGATGAGCTTTTAATTTAGTATGCATATTTATAACAAGAGATTAGATCGCAAGAGACTGAGATCACGACATAAACGATGGCAAGAGGTTAAGACAGAACATTTTCACTTGATAGCTTAACTTGAAAGTGGAACGACCTGAAAACCCACAAAAAGCCACAAAGTCGACCTCAGTCAGACAGCTCGATTTTACAGGTGTACATCTACAGTACCACGCAGAGGTTTCGACACACCTTCTCATTGAATTGAATGAGAATCTGTTTACAAACGTCATATATTATTTCATCTTAGAATAATTATGAGTGATTGCAACCGATGTGACATGAAAATTAGCAGTAAGTAACGTTAACAGCGCGCCACCACCCTCTTGCCGCCGCAGCGGGGTCTCCACACCGCGGCGAGCAGCGCGCAGCGGAGCGCGGAGCACCCCCTGATGTACAGCAGGGGCGTCACGGCGGCGTTGACCCGGGGCAGAATGCGCAGCGGGTTGGTGCCTTCGTTCTTGAACGTGTAGCACGTGGTCCCGAAGAAATTGCACACTATGACGTGACAGAATATGGGGAGCCACGTGGCCAAGAAAAACACGGCCACCACCAGGATGAGATACACCGACGAGCGCCGGCTGTCCCTCTCCTCGGAGGGCGGCTCGCGTTCCAGTTGGAACCTGGCTACCACGAACAGCTTGATGTTGAGCCCTATCATTATGATCACCGTCACGATGTTCCCCATAAACGAGCCTATGCTCGTGATCCTCCCGGCTACCCCGGCCGTCACTATGTTATTCACGGCCACGATGAGGAACGCGTAGACCCAGTAGGAAAGGATTACCGCCAGGGTCCGGTTGCGCGTCATGCGCTGCGAGTATTTAAAAGGCGACACCACCGCGTGGTACCGGTCCGCCTGCGCAGCCAGGATGGCGAGGTACGAGAGGCCCAGGAACGTGGGCACGATGTGATAGGTTCTCGTGGGGGAATCGAAGCTGTCCCTCACGTCGAAGACACCGGCGTAGTAGTAAGACACGCCGCTGCAGACGTCGCTGAGGCACGTGCTCAGCATGTACATGAAGCGGTTCTCTCCGCGCAGCGCGCCGCTCAGCAGGATCGCGAGCGACACGGACACGTTGAGGAAGATGATGACGGCGGCGAGGAGGACGTTGAAGAGGAACATCAGCACGTTGCCGAAGCTCGTGAGGGGCAGCACGAGAGGCAGAGCGTGGCTGCTGTTGCTCATCAGTGCGACTGAGTGTTCAAGTCCTCATCGCGGCGGTGTGACGGCACAGTGCGTAAAGCGGGGTGGTGGGGGGCTTAGCTCTGCTTTTATTTCTGGAGGGAGGGAGACACGGACAATAAGTTAATGAACTCCTGATTGTTAACCTATTAGTGCTGCCTCTCCCCAGGGCATAGATGGTTATTTGTGTTTTCATCATCAGCAGTATACAGACTTTAGTCTTTACGTTCAGATTGTATTCAAACAAGACAACAATCTATTTAGCTTCGCTTTAACTAATGCCTCTAAGATCAACTTTAGAATCCATGCATACTAAACCTCCTGCTTCTATTTAAGTTATCTGACCTCTCTTAGTCTAAACTTTCTGACTTTCTATTTAAAAAAAGTCAAATTGATTTACAAACAATTTATTTTGGGAAAACCCATGATGCAGGGCTGTCGTGTGGCTTATAGGAGGCGTGTTCAGTTCAGGTGTGCACACTTTTCATTCTTCCAATAAGTAGACGGAACATATTGTCTAATAGACTGCAATACTAGCTGAAACATGCAAAGACTATCAATTGGATCTAGATGAAACCCCGAAACATTCGGCAGGTGTGTGATGAAGTCACTTTAAGGAATAAACATTCATGTTTTTGGTAATATTTGGGTATAATACAAACAGACTGTTGCCAGAGTCAAAGAGGTTATGAGCGTGTTAATATCCCAGCCTATTCCGATCATCACCATCCCTATTAGAACTAAATGGGTTTTTCAAAATTATGTGGTTTAATTATCATTACTGTGAGTATGGGAAATACAATTATAGTAAGAAAATGCGTTAGATTCCTGTTAAGTCTGCAGCAATAAGACAGGAAACACGATAGAAGTTATTTTCTATCTCAATAAGGATATCAGGATTAAGCCATTTTTTCTCTGATTTAATAAATAATTATAAACTTAATAACCATGTATAGTTTTGTATAACTGTGCAAACTGAAAAATTACTTGGCAAATGCAAAAGTGAGTATGTTCTCCCTTAATTAATTGAAATAAGAAGCCTTCATTAAAAAATAATTGTTTTAAAATGTTCTTGTTAGTAATTCAAATCAGGTGACTTTGTCACAATATGATATAATGAATTGAAAGACCATACACTATCATCGTGTTTTATTAGATATAGTTCATCATATTTTTGGTTTTAGAGAAGTTCAGACATATCTGAATGGGGAGTAATTCTACAGCTTAACAATTTACCTTTCATCCCTGTAAAAAATGATATCTGACTGAGTACATGGGAAAGGACACATCTTGGAAAAGATCATTCTGGACAGAATAGACAATGATGTGTGGAAATGTAATTTTGTATATGAGTCGGTCATTTAAATGTGTATAATTATAATTATCTCCGATATTCAATGTCATCACACCTTTAAAGCACTCCTTAAAGATATACAGGCAGATTGTTGGAGCGGAAAGCGTCTCCACCACTGGTTTATTGTCAACCCTTGTCACACACCCTTGTCCCACGCGTATTAACATGGCAGCGTTTAAAGTAATTGACGTGGATTAAAATTGGAATCAAAACTTTTCAGGATTAATAATTAGATGGAAGACCATTGATGCCTGCCAGCTACAGAGAGTGGGGCCTTTTGCTCCCTACAGGGGAAGACCTATCGAAGCTCCCTCTAGTGGTGGAGACGTGCGTCGACGAGTCGCTGGTATTGCAGGTTGAAAGTTCTCAAAGCTCCAATGATCTAATTCCTTACAAGTAGAGTCAATGTAAACCAATACAAAACGTAGCAAATGTATTTAAAATTCCATGGAGGTTTGAAAAAGAGGCCTAGTGACCCGTGCTCATTCATTTTCAAACGTTTGTTTTGCAAAATGCACTTCTGCAGGTTCTTAGTGTTTTGTACTTTGGATAGAATATAGATAATTTATAACTAATAAAATAACGTTTACAGAGGGCTGCCATGCTTTGATTTAGAAGCATGTTGGTTTTTCATTGCCTCAGCAAAGTGAAGGCATCTTCATCAACTTGGCAAAAGCACCCCAGACCTCCTTGATGGCCGCATCGAACCACTGAAAAAGTGTCACGCGGAACGCCCAAGACGCACAAGCGAGCGACCATTTTTACCATTACCAAACACCCGTGGGGCTTGTTGTGATTAGGCCGAATTTATTCTTGCCATATGTCTGACGTGCGTTGGCCCCCCAGAGATGAAGACGCGTCCATCCTGAGCAGGATTTATCTATAAATGCGACGCGCTGTGTCCGTGTTGCCGCGGAGCGCCAAGATGCTTCTAAACGCCACCATCCCTCTGTCGGTGAACTTCGACACCTGGGAGGACTACCTCATCTTCACCTTCCACATCCTGTTCGCCACGTGCGCCGTGCCGATCGCCGCCTCGGTGGTCGTCGCCATCTCTTGCACGCGCTCCCTGCGCGGCCAGAACCGTTTCATCTTTATGCTGAACACGAGCGTGAGCGACACGCTGACCGGCTTCTCGGTCTACTACCTCGGCCTCTTCGACGTCCAAGAGGGCTACCCGTCCAGAAACGGGACCTACTACATCTTCCCCTCCTTCCTCGGAGTCAACGTGCTGACCTTCCTCTTCGCCCAGTTCGACCGCTACTTCGCCGTGTGCCACCCGTTCTTCTACAACCGCCACGTAACCCGAGCTGTGGTCATCGGGATCTGCGCCTTCTGCTGGATCTACACGTATTCCATCCTCACCGTGCAGAACCTTGTGCCCATCTCGAAGGCGGCGCAGATCAACGCGTTCGGCGTGATGACCCTCCAGATCATAGTTTTCGTCAAGGTGTTGATGACGATCAAGCTGTACATCATAGCCCGGAGCCACCTGGGGAGGGAGGTGCCCAGCCCGGAGCGCGACAACAAGAAGGAGTCGCTGCGCGTCATCGTGTTCGTGGTCATCTCCTTCCTGGCGCTGTGGTGTCCGTCCTTCATCAACATAATAGTGAGGCAGCTGACGCAGAAAGGTATGAGGTTCAGGAACGAGGCCACCAATCTGTTCGCAAGTATGGCCCGCCTGAACGCGCTCGTGACCCCGTCAGTGTACATCTGGGGCAGCCCGGCGCTGCGGGGGGCCGTGTGGAGGACTGTGTGGCGGAGGGTGTTCTGCTGCCGCCGGAGGGCGAGGTGAGAGGCGACTGTGTGTTGTCGTTTTCTGCAAATGGTGCTAATTTTAGCGGCAATACGCGCCCTACACTCGAACTAAATGCATATTTGTTATGTTTGTATGCGATACATTACGCAAACTTTCTCTGTTTTCAGAATCGGCTTTCACTTGGACGGAGTGAGGAAACATTGATGATGAAACAGCATCATGAGGAGAAATTGTTGAAGAGAATTACTCTCTCATCTATACCGGATATAGGTCAAACGAGAGGTATTTCAGGCAATCAATACAGGGATATAGACTCAGACATTTCTTACACTTCTTTTTGGAAACAATATTTTATTCACAGGAATCAATAAACTGGTTATATTTGTGATAAAAGCCATTGCAAAATTACAGAATAACACGTAAGGTGTTTTTTTAAACAACTATCTCTGAAATAATCATCATTTATTAAAAAAACATTCCGTCATGGTTCGTCGTGACCGCTGGCCAGGGCGCTGATCCCGCATCAGGGCGCACGAGCTGACGTTTAATTGTTCGGAACCACAGGGGCCCGAGTTTGCCGGTATAAAGCTCGCTTGGTTTCTCTGATGTTTGGGGGACAATCTATCTTTGTTTGCAACGTTTGGTTGAACCAAAAACTTTGAAGTGGAGCTCTCCTTGGTTCTGGATTGAGGTTTTTTTCACTTGACGTAGAGTTCCTTGCAGTTGCCCCGTCGCAGATGATGTGAACACAGTTGCATTTGAAATGTAACTAATGTCACAGTAACCTGGTAAATGTAAATCAGATGCTTATTATTGCAGAATAACGAGGAGCAGGACGGCAGCGTTCTTCCACAGCAGGTTGTTCGTACTTCCAGGCCCGCGGTATTGCGCTGCTTGTAGTTTTTGTGCCTATCCTGTCTCTTAAACAATGACATTCATTTTCATTGTTAGTCATTTACAAAATCAAGTATGTTATGTCTGTATGGTCAATATGAGGATACTGTTCAAAATGTTCATGTATATTTAATACGAGACAAGTCATTTTTGTATGCATTATCGAATGGTTAGTCATTGTGTTCTATAAATAAAATACTAATACTATTTTATTATTATTATTATTATTTACACATAATAACATCTTCCCCCCCCTGGGCGGGGCACTGTCGCCTCACAGCAAGAAGGTCCTGGGTTCGATTCCGCCCAGTGGCCTTTCTGTGTGGAGTCTGCATGTTCTCCCCGTGTCTGCGTGGGTTCTCTCCGGGTTCTCCGGCTTCCTCCCACAGTCCAAAGACATGCTCTGGGGATCAGGTTAATTGGGGACTTTAAATTGCCCGTAGGTGTATGAATGTGAGTGTGAATGGTTGTATGTCTCTGTGTTGCCCTGCGATTGGCTGGCGACCAATCCAGGGTATACCCTGTCTATCGCCCGAAGTTGGCTGGGATGGACTCCAGCCCCCCCGCGACCCTGTGTGCAGGATAAGCGGTTTGAAAATGGATGGATGGATGGACATCTTCCCTTCACAAATCTTTCTCACCCAGAGCCACGCACTTTAGGACACGCCATTTGGTAATACATTCAAATATGTTCATTCTCGTTAGAAGTAATCGCAGTTATAATTCGTGCAGTGTGTTCGTTTTACAAAGCCGTGCATTGATCCGTCCGTGTCTGGGGGAGTGCGGCAAAATGAATTTCAATCAACCCTCTCTTGTAGAAATACGGTTTGAAGCCCAACGCAATAAAGGAGACTTAAAGAACTCTCAGATTTACCCCTATAGTCGAAACTACGCCAGAGCCATAGACTATTTGTGGAGACTGGAAGTTTCAAAAGGTTTTTTGATTATGTGCTTAGGCTTATTTGCAATGACATATTAATGATTTTAACACAATATAAGTAGATACCTTGTTACGGATATTGAGCTAATTATCATAATAATATATGAATAACTATCGTTATTATTATGATTAAAACTATATACATGATGTAATATATTAATAGATTTATCAAAATATAAGGAACAATTGTGCTGCTCATCTCATATATTTTCTGGACTTTAATCTTCGATTGATATTAAGTTTAAGATCACTAATTTGCATATTGATATCCCAAAGACAATAAAATCATGCACAACATTTATTTTTCAAAGTGCATCAGTCTTCATACTGCTCTTTTTCAAGTTAACGCATAGAGCCGCGTGAATCCGAGATGACCGTATAACAGTGTTGCATATGAAAAAGGTTGATTGACATGCGATCCTCGCGTACATCTGCTGAATACTGCTGAAATCGTTCATTTAAATCCAAGGGTATTATCTTCATAACGAAACATCCGCGTGAGGTGCTATTTCAAATCAAAGTTCCAATCCTGAGATGTCTTTTTTGTACTAAACGTATTGTGTTCTGAATTTTGATTAGCATTATTCTTATTATTGTTAGAAGTATTGTCACCATTGACACTAAATTCATATTGGTATTGTTGTTATTATTTATATGATACATTTTTTCCACTTTGGTTAGGTTGAGCGACAAATGACACGCAGATAATCCACGTGAAGCACTTGTTTTGGGTTTCTGACAGTGTCATTCTTTAAATGATCTGGTTAACTGAACTGATTAAAATGTTAATAGGAAGCCAAAAAAAAAAGAAAAGAAAAAAGGCATCAGGTCGCATCTCAAGAGGTGACGTTCACGGCGGGGTTGGTCCTCACCTATAAAACAAGAGGCGCGCCTGAGCGCAGCTTGCGCATCGAAACGATGCTGCCCTCCAACACCACGGAGTCTGCGGTGGGAGGCGGGATCCCCCTCTCGGTGGCTTTCGACGGTCCCGCCGATTACTTCATTTTCATTTTCCAGATCCTGTTCGCTACCACCACCGTGCTGGTGGCCGGGCCCGTGGTTGTCACCATCTTGGCCACCAGAGCCCTCCGCCTCCAGAACCGGTTCCTGTTCATGCTGAGCACCAGCATCTGCGACACCCTGGTGGGCTTCTCGGTGTATTATCTCGGTCTGTTCGACGTTCACGAGGAACACCCGTCCAGGAATGGAACGTATAACATCCTACCCTCGCTTCTGGGGATCAACATACTGACGTTTATGTTCGCGCAGTTCGACCGGTACTTCGCCGTGTGCCACCCGTACGCGTACAGCCGCTTCATCAGCAGGAGGCTCGTGGTCGGCGTCAACGTGTGCTGCTGGCTCTACAACTTCGCCCACCTGGCCGTCAGGAACCTGCTGCCGCCCTCCAAAGCGTTCCAGCTGTACGTCTCCAGTATTATATTCCTACAGATCATCGTGGTCACCAAAGTGGTCATGACCGTGAAACTGTACGTGGTGGCCCGGGTCCAGGTGGAGAGGGAGCCCCCCGGCGCGGAGAAAGAGAGCAAGAAGGAGTCCTTGAAGATCCTGATCTTCGTGGTCGTCAGCTTCTTGGCGCTGTGGGGCCCGTCGTTTGTGAACATCATTGTCAGGTTTGGATCAGGAGGAGGGCTGAGGTTTAGGAACGACGCCACCAACGTGTTCGCCATCATGGCCCGCTTCAACGCGGTGTGCACGCCGTCCGTGTACATCTGGGGGAGTCCGGCGCTGAGGGAGGGCCTGGTCCGGACCGTGTGGGGCAGAGTGTGTCCGAGGTGCCACAAGAGGTAACCGGGGAAAGGGAAACGTATGTATCTTTATTGTTGAAGCTAATCTGATTCTCTGTGTCTTTAGAGTCGGGGGGGACCCGACGGCCCGGACGTGACGAGAACAACGAGGAACACATCGGCCGGCTGAAGCGTTTGGATTGAAATGTATATGCAGGTTTTTGACCAAACACTTCTTACTGCACCCGGCTATATCAGAAAAGTTAAAGAAATCTTTTAGACAGTGTAATTCATTGTAGATATGTGTTTTATATTTATCACGTTTATATTGTAATGCGAGGGTGGGAAGTATCTTTCTCTAAAATATCTGTCCAGGTGATCATGACCAGGGAAGAGCCCGTCTGTACATAAACTGAAAGAATATATAATTATATCTATTGAAATCATTTGTTTTCCTAACTGCTTCGTTCGCTGGGTGGTGAATCGCGAGGCTCATTTTAAAACAACATGAGTTAACACATATTTAGCTTTTGTGGTGTTTTAATATTTAGTACATGAAGTGTATTCTGTTGTGGTTTGAGGTTGACAGCTGCTTTTATACATCCATATTCAGGGAATCAAAGGAGAAAAAAAACTTCTATTGTTGAGCTGTCTCTAACTCTTTATAGAACATTAAGTAGAAGGAATGAGGAATAATAAAGCTGCACCTACATCTCTAATTGTTGTTAAATTATTAAAAAAAATATATAAAATCAACAGACAGCACCTTTCCTCAGGGAGGATGAGTATTGGCATTAGTTAAATATTAACCCCACCGAGTCCACAAACCATTATCCAAATGGAAAAACACCAAAACACTTACTAACACAAATGTCATTTATTTTCATTCAATATCTTTAATTTAATAATCAGTATGTCAATTTCTTCTAAGGGACAATGCAAATGTACAGGCTCTATAATGACTTTCACATAGTAAGGCAATAGAATGTGGAATTATAAACTATGCTACATTACCCATATGTGGTAGACCTTATAAAGTCTGCTTTTCTTCTTTAAATCCACATGAATAAACAACTGAATACAGCACTATATGTGTAACCTCTGCTTTCATACCAAATGTGCCTTAAAGTAAATTGGTGCATCAGTGCATCATCAGCTAGATCAAATGAAGACAAAGAAAAAATCCTGTGAAAATTGCAGAAGGCTCATTGTGGACACCAGCCGCTCCCTATATGGAGACAGGACAGCAGGGAAAATTACAGATGTTAAAGAACACTGTTCAAGCAGCAGACAGTCCAATAAAATGCATTCAAGTCCAGTAAGTCTATTGCATCATTATAACGTCTCTATGTTCTACCTTAAATAACTGGAAGGGTAACTGGAAACTTGCAAAGACGACGCGCCTTGCTGCAGAAGCCATATAGGATCTTCAAAGCAAAACTTGAAACTAGCTGGTCAGCAGGTTGACATTTTGCTAAAGATCGTACATGAAAAAAAAACTAAAAACAAAAATCTAATACTTTGTGTCTCCTCCATCAAGTTCCAAGACATTTATTTGAAATGTTTTGTGCTATACCTTCCCCGATTTAATTTCAAAGAATGTAGTGACCTCCTTGCACGTTATTAATAAAGATACAAGAGAATAAACAAAACATCATCGAATGCCATTTAATATCCAGGAGGAAAACAATTGATTTGTCATTGATCAGCTGCCATTAATGTATTGCAACCACCAATGAGTCTACGTTTCAATATATTTTTGGTAGTCAAGACTCTGCCTTTGTGCTTGTATTAGTACATTTACAAAACAGTCAGTACTAGACATAAATTGTGGTTATTTGAAATTGTAATTAACCCTAAGAGGAACATTTGTGTTGGTGTTTAACTTAATGTAAATAAGCAGGAGTTTATTATTATTTTACAGGGAGATGACATTCAAGTTATGCTGTTTTAGGAGTTGTATTAATTACAATCTTCCGGGTCACCAGCAATTTGCCCTGAAGACTCATTACATTAAAAAACCATCTGAGCACTGAGAAGAAGCATGCGTGTTTCTTGCTGAAGTCGTCTCACCTGATTGAATAGTCCATTCAAACACTGTTGTAAAGGCTCAAGCCACGTTTTTAAGCGGGCCATAACCGTGTACTTATGCTAATTTTACTGGCTTGTTTATTTGTTGAACACTGAAGAACTTTCCCTATTCAGCATTGACAGGAAATGCGACGATGACCCAACTGTTTATAGAGTGAGGAGGCGCGTGGAGTTGTGGTAGTGCGTCATTTCTACCACAGTGTCCACGGGGGCTGCTTGAGTGGAAACGAGGCCAATGAGGAAACGTTGACAGGAATGGAAATGACGGCCCACGGCAGGGCCTGTCTCTCAAGCGATCGTCTGATCATCATCCTATATGGAAAACATAAAAGGGGTGGTGTTGATGTCCCAGTTTTTATTGGGATAATCAAAAATACAACAAGTCTGAAAGATGAGTCTTACCCGTCCCGTCCCAGCAGGAACAGGGCAGGAATGCTTGGTTTGGCAGTGCTTCCGTCGGCAATCATGTCGAGGTACTGACTGTCGTTGTCCGCTGCGTCATCGGCGATCAGGACGGCTTTGCCTCCGGCTTCCTCCACATGTCGGGCCTTTTGAACAAAGGAGCAACCTCTGCAGGGCGCACACAAAGAGATGTCTCTCGCTTTAAATACAAGTAGCAGATGTAGCATGTCAGACAAAGAGCCCAGGTCTGCAAAGTTTGTTCTCGACAAATTACTTATTAAAAAATAGAATGAAGCCAGACTATGTTACTTTTTAGGATTGGCATTAAGATGTTTAACATGACACATTTGATGCGTGACATTCACAATATCAATTTACTGCTTAACTACCTTTACAGGTGAAAAAATATCATTTACGTTTAGGAGGGGGGGAAAGTCAAAGTCTATCAAGCAGCTTCATATTACAAAACATCGACACTTTCATTCATCCCCCCTCCACTCCCCATCCCAGTAGCGCCAAATGCGAAAAGTGGTCGGTGGAAGGTTCCTTTTTCAGAACGGCAGGTTGGGTGGTCGGTGGCAGGTTCCTTCGGTGGTCGCATCCTTTTTCACAAGCCGATCTCAGTTGGGTATTTAGCGACATGGACCCTCCTCCTCAAGTTATATAGCATGCACAGTTGATACATATGCCCCTATATTGGTTTAGTGTTGCCGTGCCCCTGAATATCGCCATGTTCCCATCATCCGAACGGCAGATCGCATGATCTGTAGGCACCTGCCTATAATATGAACAGCAGGTCCCATGATCTGTAGGCACCTGCCTATAATATGAACGGCAGGTCACATGATCTGTAGGCACCTTTCGATAATATGAACGGCAGGTCACATGATCTGTAGGCACCTGCCTATAATATGATCGGCTGGTCACGTGATCTGTAGGCACCTGCCTATAATATGATCGGCAGGTCACATGATCTGTAGGCACCTGCCTATAATATGAACAGCAGGTCGCATGATCTGTAGGCACCTTCCGATAATATGTTCACATACACACCCTCTTTCCACCAACACCACTTGTCCCTGTATGATTTCTCTGTCCTCCAACTCTGAGCAGCCATCTGCCGGGTCCGAAGGCACAAGGAAGATGTGATCATACGAGGACGTCTGGGGGGGGGCAGAGGAGAGGGATTAATTTGGGTGGTGAGTGTGCCTGAGGCTTTTGGAATCCGTTGAACAAGAACACATGGTAAATTTAAAAAACGACTAACAAAATCTCCTCCAAAGTCTTTTGCAGGTGCTGCGCTGAAGATGTACCCTATCTCCTTCGGACTGATGACCCGGAAGTAAAGCAACTCATTGATCCCGAGACCTGGCCAGACCAGAAGGAGAAGTTAGTTAGTGAATTAGAGCATCGTCAGCATAAGGACAGCGTTTCATTTAAACACAGCAGCACGGCGAAGATTCACAGGTAACACAAGCCAGAGCGAGCATCCGTAACAACAACCCGTTAGCTAGCGTTAGCTAAATTAGCTTTTTATTAGCGTTTGAACCCCCGCCCCCCTTAACTTACTCACCGGACATACGACTGAAGTGCATGAAAACAGTCCAGAGATATAAAACTAAAGCAGTCGTCCGAACAACCTTTGCCATATTCAAGGCATGTGTAGATCTCCTCAACGTTACGTAGGCGAGCCTGTGCAGTATCTGTCCATTTGTGCTTCTGTATATTAGCTTTAGCTGCGGTCCATTCGATAACACAGGGTCCAGTTAGCAGATACTTCCGGGCTTCTTTTCACGCGCATGCGTATCTCGCAAAGCAGGATTTCCCTGCTGGGGGTCGCGAGGCGAAGCTGAGCCTCCATCCCGTTTGCCCTCTCTTCTGTTTGTTTGTTTTACGGTAGCAGTAAACTAATTACTAACCAATTACAGTTTGACATTTGGGGAAAAGGGCTTGTTATAGCTTTCTGTTTTTTAACTTGTATGCAAAGTCAACATGCTTCTGTCACATTTCTCATCTTATTGTTTCCATTTTTGCAAGACAGCATTAAAACACATTTCCTCCATATTTAATCACAGTGGCTGTCTACAAGTCACGGTGTCAAAATAAGGAAATAAATATAGTTCACACTTGATGTTTTGATTTAATCCATCTTATTTTGGTCCCAAAGAATGCAGGTTTACTCTTATGTATTTACATAAAGCGACATCAATGACACTATAATTTCATGGGTGACTGTGGGTGAGTGGGGACCGCGGTCGTCCTTCACTCAGAGGGTTGGTGGTTCAATCCCATGTTGATGTGTCATTGGGCAAGACACTTTATCCCAATTTTGCTCTGTAGCTGTGACTACAGTGTGTGAATGTTAGTTACTGATGGGCAGGTGGCTCTGTGTGTGGTTCTCCTGTCATCAGTGTATGAACGGGTGAATGATGACATGAATTGTTAAAGTGCTTTGAGTGAGCTGAAGACTAGAAAAGCTCTATACAACTGCAGTCCATTTATCACATTAAAAGAGCATTTACCTAGATATACAACTCACTTGTGCGGCTTGCATATTCAATCTTTCATGCTAAAACAAAACATGTTAAAACAACTCAATAGGAACTAAATTAGTTTCTCTGTTTAGCAATAACTTCATAATAACTATGTAGCAATCCTTCATATAAAATACCCGACAGTTTAAAGAACACTTGAACAATGTTACTTTCATGAACATATAGATTTATTGCACAGATATATGTGGGCCATCCCCATTGTCGACACAAAAATACATTTGAATCGCTTCAGAGAAACTATTACTACTACTATTACTAGAAAAAAATGTGTAGCTTGCTTTAACTATGTAGTGCTGATTGTTTTTATTGTGGCAAACTGAGATGCATGGTCTTATTTAGAATCTTTGTCTTTCTTCCTTTTTTTTTGCGTCTCTTCTTGCAGTTGTCCAAGTATCCAGATGGTAATTCTGGGCAGCAGGATATTTTTTTGCATTTGCATCGGTTCTTTTTCCCCGTTCTGACCTGCAATGAGTACATGGATAGATTAGGATCTGAAACTATGACAAGAAAACTGCATAAGAAATGCTCACAACATTGAATGCCGAAAATGAAATCCCTACAAGTTGTGACTATATGAAGAATGCTTCCTGTACGATTTCACTTTCACACCGAGAACTTTATTTCACTGCATAACAGCCTCATTTACTGGTCCAGTTTTTTTTGTAGCTTTTTTGTAATGTTGTCATGTAAATAAATTTCAGTAGAAATGTTTACCTCTTAACCTGATGATGTTTTAAACATCGTATAAATAATAGATACAAATTTTGAATATCAGACAGCGACTAGTACCATAATCATTGTTCGGTTTCGGTGCTAGTCTGTTTGTCCCTTAGCAGGTCCGTGACGTCAGCACATTAGTACAACTATCGAATGATGGCATTGATGTAAAAAGTGAAAATACTTAAGTAGCACAATAGCCGCTGTCGAATTGTCTCGATGTCTTGATGAAAACCTTTGTTCATTTTTAATTCTAATTTTAAGTTAGACTTTAGCTGTTGGATAAATAAAAGCCAGGTATTGGAGGTTTAACTAGCTATTCTTATCAAATGAAAGATAGAGAATTGATTGGTGGAGCCAATTATTGTCCGCTTACTACCAGCTAAAAACAGTTCGATATTATATATATATATATAAATACAGACAACCTGTAACTGGAGTACTGTGATCCACATAGTAATGATTAGTAACTAAAAGTACAAGCATTTAATGTGTCTTCATCTCATAGCTAAGCATATACAGTAAACATACTAAGTGGCTTATGTTGCTAGTATTTTGTCCACTCCCCACATCCATCCATCCATCTGCAAGCCACTTATCCTGCACACAGGGTCGGAGGGGGCTGGAGTCCATCCCAGCCCCCTCCACTTCGGGCGATAGACGGGGTTCACCCTGGACTGGTCACCAGCCAATCGCAGGGCTACACGGAGACAAACAACCTTTTACACTCACATTTACACACCTACGGGCAATTTAGAGTCCCCAATCAACCTGATCCCCAGAGCATGTCTTTGGACTGTGGGAGGAAGCCGGAGAACCCGGAGAGAACCCACGCAGACACGGGGAGAACATGCAGACTCCTCACAGAAAGTAGATAAATGTCGACCAATACTCTATTGTATCCAATGGGATTTCTAATTTGAGTGAGTAGTTGTACACATGACATGAGCAGCACATGGATGAAGAAGGAACATGTATAAGGAAGGAAGCACAATGCTCTTTTAATAGTCACTTGTTTTTGCACGGTGTCAAAGCACCATAATACAAAGAAATGGTGTCAAAGTCTGTCATGCGAGCAGATGAACAGTTGTGCGAAATGACGTAATATGTATTCATTTATTGTATACATTTGTTCCTCACGAATCCCTATTCGACTTTTTTTTCTTGGTTTATAAAATTTCATCTTGAATCCCAGAGAATTTCCTTTAAAAAAATCATGATATAAAATAGCAATAGGGTTTGCTCTGCTTTTGGTGTGTATGATTCAGAATAAATAATAAATATTAACAATAAATAGTCTAAATAAATAATACAAATAATATACATTGTATGTGTTTATGTAATATGAATATATTAAATAACAATATTTATATATATTGATTACATCTATTATTTATATTAAATACGTAAATAAATGTGTAAAAAACAGTGAGAGTGAGAGATGAGACTAATTCTGGTTTGTGTTATCTCTCAGCCATCAGTGTGGGATTTCCCCAAAAGGAAGGCAGCCAGCAACAATGAAGAAAACAGTGGGTGAGAGGACATGAGGGGCGAAGAGGGGACACTGTGGACAAAAGAAAGAGCAGGGGACGACAGCGGAGAGGGAGTGGAGGGGGGGGAACACATCAGTGGGTTACGTTTTTCCAGGCGGTCCACTGGCTCCAGGCTGAGAGGACCAGAGAGTCTCTGGAGCGAACCCTCAGCTTACTGACGCCCTTCGGCAGCAGGACGATGGAGGAGCGTTCAGTCTGCAATGAGACAGGTCACATAGTGAGCAAAAGAAACAAATAAAAAGCAGGAGAGAATGCCTAGACTTTCTGTTTACCCTGCCGTCGTCTTTCAACACGTATTCGATTTGGTGTTCCAGGCTGAAGAAGCTGTGGGGGGTCGACCAGCTGGACGGAGGGGCAACAGTCACGCTCAGGTCCTCTTCCCCCTCCTGACACGTCACGATCTGAGGACTATCGGGTTTGACTGGACGGAAGAAAGAAAGAAAATCATGTCTCTATCTGCCTTTTTTCTAATTGTACTATTTTCTTATTATTCAAATTTACACTGAATAATGTCGTTATAGTTTTCATGCAGAAAACACCTCGATTAGAATGTAAATGATCTGAACAATGGACCAATCTAAAGACAAACGCTAATCTTAGGAGGGACGCGAGTCTCATCTCTGCTTACCGATGTCCCTCAGGTAAAACCTGTGCGTCGTCCTGACGACGGAGAGGTCGACGATGGCCTCGGCGGTGAGTTCCAGCATGGTGCTTTCCTCGGCGTAGGGCGACACCGGGTGAGATAACTCGAAATGGAACTTCCCATCCGCCAGCAGACGGGCGCTGATCCAGTGACATGACTTCCTGGCCTCGGTGCTGCGGGGGGTTTAAAACACATCAGAAAAGGCGTAATTCTGCCCGCATGAACTGAGTACTTCCACTGAGTAACTTTACCAGTCGCGGCCCAATCCGAGGCGCACGGCGCTCTGTCCACTGTAGGTCCACTCACAGCTGAAGGTGCAGTCGTAAGACTTTGCCCAACAGCGGAAGGAGAGAGAATCTACAAAGAAAGACAACGTAAGTGGACACAGGTCTCACAGAAACCAACGTAAGAGTTTCCAGACTTGACACATTTTAAATGCCGCAATGAGTTCCTCTATTTCTGTGTGTGAGTGGCAGAAGGAAGGGAACATGAAACCGGCAGTGTCTGACCTGAGTCTTCTTCCCCGTCCGCCTTGAGCAGCAGAAGGGTGGATGATAACATCTCTGTTCCCCTCCAGCAGCTGTATTCTCCCAACATGGGCGCGTCCACCTCGGACAGGGCCAGGTGGTGTCCCTGCTGCTGGACGTTGTCCTCGAGGTGAACGTCTTCCGGGGCCTCGCTGTGAAACTTCCACGTGACGGCTCCGGGGTCCTCTGTGCGGCAGGTCAGCGTGACGGGATTTGCGTCGTTCCTCTTCGCCACCACGACTGCACATTTATGGGGAGGACAAGACGGACAGATTTAGAACCCTTCAAGGTTTCCTTTTGTTTTTTAAATGTGCGGAGAGTAAAAAAAAAAAGCCATACAGTGTTCTGGGAAGTGGCTCGGCCCCTGTGCTCCACTCAGGCTGACGAAGAGAAGTCCAAATAACCACAGAGTATTCTGAGGGAACAGCAGGAGGAGGAGGAGGATATTATTTGAAATGATCCATTCTTCCCAATAAAACCTCAATAATTATGGCTTGAATTAAGAACTATACAAATGATACATTTCAACGAGTCTGGTTGAGAATATGAGGTATGATAATGCAAAAAGAATCAATTGAGACATGGCCAGATAATAAGTACAACAAGCATCTTATTCCAGCAGTTATTTCTTACCATTTTGGATTAGTTCACACTCAAGGGACGCTTTGCAACAGACCAAAAAAACCTGAAGAGCAGAAGTTCAGTGATAGTGACCCAGAGGGTGTTTGCTCCAACGGCCCACTGAGCATCTCTTTTATATCGCTTCATGCATCATCGCCATGCAACCTCATGAAGTGTGAGTGAAACCTGCTTAAAAAGCAGCTCATCGGTGACGCATTTCCCCGCTTTGCATGTCAAATTTAGCCGAGGGTGTTGAGATGGAGATAAGGTGGTACGTGTGGGCGCTCGGTGCGGCGGGGGGTTGCCCTCAACCTTTCAAATTGAAATACTACCGAGCAAAACAGGCTTGTGAAATACTACGCATTAGATTCCAAATCCTGGAATCATGCAAACAAAGCAAGCACTCGCACACGCCCACACGCACACACACCCTCCCACGCACACACGCCCGAATGCGAGCATGCACATGCACGTGATCTTCAATCTCTTCTCTTACAAGAAGTTCCCCAAAATGTCAACATCCACCAGCTTTTCTACTTTACTTTACTTTAAGTCTCCATATCTCATGTTTTTGGGAAGAGAACATAGAGAAATAGAACATAAACCACAGAAATTATTTTTAGTCTCTCTAAGCTCCAGAGATTTCCTTTTTGTGGAAGTAATGAACCTAGTTTTTAGGATTGAAAATCTTAATCTCGTCCATAGATCAGTGACTTGTCATGAAGAAACCGACCATCGACTCTTTTTTTATATCGCTTGATGCTGACGGGAATTGCCCGTTTGCTGCTTCTCAAATGAGAAAATCTTTTAAATTGTTTACACAAAACAAGTCATTTCCATCAACAGGTTAATGTAATTTACCAGCGTTACATTGGGCATTAAATCAATGAAGTGTAATCTCCTGTAAACAGCCCCCCATCATTCTGAGACATTTGATTGTTTTGAAAGATAAACACACGCACACACAAAAGGAGAACGAAAGACACCCGGAGCGTCCCTGCTCTGTTAGTCATGAACGGGGACACCCAAAATGTTCTGGCCAAATGTCAAAAGGCCAAAGCAACTCGAGAATTGAAACAAAAGCTTTTCTGTTCCTGTGGTCATGTGGTCAGCTCATCCTCTATCACCTGATCCCATCGCAGGTGAAGCACTTCCTCGGTAAACGAAGCCTTGCAGGGCCGCGTCCGGGTGTCCGATTCTTCCACGTTCTCCTGCGGTCAGTAGGGGAGCCCGTTTTACACCGTTTCTTAGAATCTACCAGCAAGTTGGGACTGCATTATGAGCTCAAATTCTGCAAAACCAGTCATTCATCAGAAATAGTTGGTTTCAGTTCCTTAAAAGCCTACACTGCATTAATCACTAATTTAATACGCTCAAGTAACTGCCCCCTCCTCTGTGTTCTCAGTAACTAGTGCGTGTGTACACTTTTGATAATAATAGCTACAACAAAAAGTTCCATCTACTACATGAAAGCAGACCTATAAAGGACTGAAGGAGCCGACACAACCATGTGCATTAAATGTTTCTGTACCCCACAACTCACAATTGGATTAGGTTTTTTATTTGTATTGTTAGTATTGTTTAAGTGCAGCTTTGTGTTTTTTTGTGCGTGGGAAAGTTCCGGACTCTACGATGTGTTACTTGCATAAGAACCCCCGACATCGTTTCTAAAGGCAGCTCTGAGGTCACGTTAGTCCAGATGAAGGGACAGCCCGTCTAAGCTGAGTTTGTAATGGGAAAATGATATGTGACTCTTTTAAATGCTTCATTTGTATGACCAGTTTATTAGTTGCAAGTGGTTCGATCACAAAGGCCCTGACATAAGAACTGATGTCTCCCACTTGGATTAGATGTTTCCAGCGTCATGGCTGTAGAGATTGAACAAAGTGTTTATGTCTATGACCACCTTTGTTTAAGCATGTTGGGAGAGCAAGGACACGGTCAAAGAGCTGACGTGTCTTACATGGATAAGATGTTCCCAGTACCCTGGCTGTAGAGACTCAACAAGATGGTCAAAGGTTTCTGTTGACACCACCGATATCTAAACTTAGGTATAAGAACTGCCCCGATGTGTTGGGGCGAAAAGGAGGTTCTTGACAGTCTTCTGACCACGTAGCTGTTGTGACCCTTTTTCCCTTGCAAGGAAATAAACGGAGAAAAGACATACTTGACTCAGAGCTTTTGTTTCTTAACGATTGTCTGTGCAAAATCTTCCACCACAAGTTTCATCACCCTCAGCAGAAACACCTCACCGGTGACACATGTACACAGAAACATGACATCAGATCTCGTATGACTTCTTGTAAGCTTCTCATTCAAACCTCTTTAGACTACAGAGCGGATCATTGACCTTTGCTGACCGGTAGGCAACATATTGATTTGTCCAGCAGGGGACTCACAGGTGACGCCAGTAGTCACAATGCGGCTGCAAAACCCCCTGATGGAGTCAAATCATGATCTTCCAAAAGCTTTTCATTATGGTGTGACTGCAAGTAATTCAGCAATTGAGATTTATAGAAAGGACTCCAGCTCCTGTTTGACCAAGACTGACAGACACGTGAGAAAGATGTGTAGTTTCTATACTGTTATTGAATAAACAGTATGTACGGGTGTCAACTTCTTCCCTGTGGTCTTATTTATGGTGGTGGTTTCCCCACTTGAAAAGGAACTGAGAGTCCTTGGAAACTCAATTTCAGTCAAAACCGACACGTTCTTTTCTCCTTATTTTTCTTTCTGTCACACTTCTTTTTGGCGCCAAGCACTCTTTCAGTCTCGGGTGAAAAACCTTAAATTGACAAAACTGAACTCTTAATATCCCCCCCCCAAATGATAGTGATAATTTCACAAGCAAAATTAGTGACAGCGTGATTCAGGATTAATTTCCAACAAGCCATTCCATCACAAACATTCACTGCGCCTCCACCAAGCTCAACCATCAGCAGGTAATTACACAAGGGGTTAATCTGCTGCAGCATAGTCGCGGGCCGTGAGGACAGCGCGCGCTCCACCTGCATGCACGCAAAGTCCCCTCCTTGCCCAACAAATCACCCCCTTACCGGATGCCCCTCAGTGACCTCAGTCTCATGTCGCACCGCATGGCTGCATCAGCTGGATCCTGTCTGTCAGCTGTTCGTTCCTTTACCCCCCGCCTGCCAAAGTTCTCACCTATGAGGTCCTCACATAGCTCCTCCCCCTACCTTTAACCTGAGTTCTCTCCCATCAACTTACCTACCGTTGTGTTACATAGTCCATGAAAAAACCCTTGTTTGACTTCACAACAGGGGCATTATCGCAATCAACACAAAAGGAGCATTGTGCTCAAAGAGTAGAAGCACTGGTCAGATTCTGATCCCCTGAACCCACTGTGGACCTCACTTCAACCAGAACCACAAGTTTGATGATGGTTAAACGGGAAAAAAAATGTTTTAGATGTAATTTTTATTACATGATTCAATCCAGCGATACATTTGAGCCATTAAAGATAAAGGGTTTGCACATTCCACTCAATTCAGCAATTTTTAAAAGCAGAATGAGGCAAACCGAACAAGAGAATATATGAACAGTTAGGGTAAAAAAAAAAAAAAAAAATGAAAAGGATTGTACATTTTGGCCTAATTGTCAAGATTGATTTAAAAACTCCACTTTGTTTGTAACTGCAGAGCAATTGCAGAGATTGACAATTACAAATGTGTTGCTGTATCGAAGTACGGTGGGCCGGGAGGGGCTCTCAAATGTTTGCTGATGTTTGTTAGTTTGCCTCGCCCTTCGAGGCCTCGTCAAAGTTTTCAACCAGATCTGAGAATGAAAACAGGAGGGCAAAGAGGGCAGGACAGAACAAGAGGAGGCGTCCATGAGCACACGTTAAGGCAATCAAAGGAAACTCAATTACTGAAGATTACAAGCAGAATAATATCAGCTAGATGAATCAATTCAGACCAGTTATGTGCCTCTTCAAATGCTTAGTTACATTAATATTAGAATTATTGTGACTTTAAAAAGGGAATGTGCGAATTTGCTCACCTGGAACATCATCATCATCCTCCTCTTCATCCTCCGCAATAACCATGGGGGCTTTGTTCTCTCCAGCTGCGAGGGGGAAGAAGAACGAATAGTGAAGACTATTTCGTAGTTAAGAACTACTGAAAATGTGCAAAGAGTTCATTGAAGAGGTTTGCGGGTTAACAATTATAAGCACCGCTTATTCCAACTATAAAGTATATCAATTATTATTAATAAATAAAATGAATCAATCCCAAATAAATATCAAAAATAGTCTGAGGATATTTCAATAGTCTCCTAAAAACTAAAAATGTCAGAAGATTATAGAGCCCAACTACTTCAGTTACTTGACTTTAAATGTTAAAATGGTTTGGACTTTAAGTATTCTGAAGGTCAGATGAACATAACTGAGTTTGGCATCAAAGGATTCATTACAACAATGTAACATCTATTCAAGCCCTTGAATAGCTAAAAATGCTTTCATAATTGGGGGGGCAATGAGGAAACATTTAGGGCTGTCATATCATATTTTTGTTGTGCGATTATTGTTCCAACATTTATTGCAATATTATTGCAATTTTCAGACCATTTTATGCCACTGATAACAATGACAATATAATAGGATAGTAATAAAAGTACGCTATTTCAAAGAACGTTTTATTTGTCAGAATAGTTAGACATTAGAATCGGAATGTGAAAAAAAATATCCTATATAAATAAAACTAATAAGCGCAAGGGACACGGAGCGGGCGAAGCATCGGGATGAAACAGTGGCGATGCACGGGGCAATAAAGTCTATGATAAATAAATAAACAAAGACGTTACTCTCTAGGTCGTCGTTGACGAAAAAAACGTTACTCCACCTATTTCTGGCGATGAATTGCTTTGCAACACGCGCTAGCCTTTTAGAACCATTAAATAAAACGAGTGCGTCGACACGCCAGCCTTAACGCGGGGCGTCAACCGCCGGCAGGGCGACGTGCTCCGCAGCTGCAGGGAGAGACTGAGCAGCTCGGTGCCATTAGCATCGGTCAGCCCGGGAGGAACGCAGGACGGCGTGGGTTCACTGCTTCTCTTCACCTGTCGGCGAATATCGCAGCACCAAAAATGATTGCACGCGATTTCAGAGTGTGCGATGTCATTTTATCGCATATCGCGACAGGCCTAGAAACACTCAGGAAATATATTTTAAGCGAGTGCTATTACTAACTGAGGCCTGTTCCGCATGTGGGGATCTTAACTTATCCTGGTTTGGCTGGGACAGTTTGTGCTGCTTGATACAGTTCTACTGAAGTGACGGCAGGCAGTGTCTCAGTCTGAAAGGGTTCGTCTTCCAGGATGGAGTTGACGGTTTTTAGAATCTATGTTACGTGGGTACCTGGTTTGGGCAGGCTCTCCGCTAATCTCCTGAGGCTCGTGAGACTGTCGGCTCCCAGCTGGTTTAGGATTCCTGGGAGCATCTCTGTGAGCTGCTTGTTCTCAGCGTGTCCTGTGATTGTGAAGGTGTTGGCAGCCAAGGAGGCCTGAACCTTTGGGTTGCTGAAGTGGATCACCGTCCCTTGGTTTGTGAACATATTCACCTAAAAGGGCAACACAAACGGGAAATGGTTTGGGGGCACAGTCAAAAGAGTGAAGAACAAGCCCACACTGCACATTGAATGCGGGGCACTTCGCTGTACCTCCTCAATGCCGGAGATGTTGTTGACTCCCAATTTTTTGAGGGAGAACTGCAGCTTCTTGTCGTCGGCTGTTGCTGTCCTGTGCACAACCTTCTTCTTCCTGCGTGCTGACCCCTATAGAGCACAACAATGAGCTAGAATACACAGACCAGTACCCAGGTAAAAAAAAAACGCCGGTATGTGTTTCCACTCACCTTACCACCTATGCGGACCTGCGCCTGCAGTTTAGCAAGCTTCTCTTGGTTCATTATGAACTCCTTCATCTGACAAGGAACGGCACACACACAGTAAATTTAATAAGCACACATACATTTCATTCACTTAGAGAAAAATATTCACTATAGATTGCTGGGAAACATGAAAGCCTCCCATGCTCACGCCACATTCAATAAAGACATTTCACATTCATAAACTATGTTTCCCAACACAAGCATACTAACGGGTTGGACTTTAAATGCAAATGAGTTCTAGATAAATACGACCAATGGTAGAGCAGTATACGCTTCATGATGAAAACTGCCCACAATGCACGAATTAGTTACATGACAATCCAGTGTCAATCCTAAACTCCCCGGTGGAATCGCCAGTCTGCCCAGCATTAGAAGGAGAATGTAACGTTACAGCTGCCAGAAGTTTAAAAATAGCTGCAGTTTTCAGTCCCGAACCAAGATGTACGTGAATCAGACAAAGGTGGTCGGCTGGAGTTCGTGGTTAAGTTGGGCTCCATCTGCAAACGGTGCTGTTCGCTCACGCTTGACTTTTCGACCAGCGAGGATTGTTTTCTTTGATTGCTTTTTATTTTCTTAACCCGGGTTCTCCGAAGCTGTGGGCTTGTTAGCCAGCAAAGCTAAGGCGGCTAGCTCGAGTCAGCTTCAAACAAGACGCTAGCAGCATGTCGTCGAGTCGAACGGTTCTTCAACATCGCGTAATGTGATTTAAGTAATTCATAGATCTACGAAGTCAACTATAAGATGCTGTGACGTCGTAATAGTCCACAGAGACGTAAACTGACCTGTGAGTGTGTAAACACGCGGGTCACACAGTCGACAGACGCTCCGAGAAAAGAGCGAGTACCGGAAGTGACGCCCGCAGATCGATAACTTGGCGGATGAGCTCTCCGTCTTTCAAAATATATGCTCGCGAGTCTCTTAACTTATAGCGCCATCTAAATAATAAAAGAGTGAATAGTCTAGTCATATTTCTGCATATAGCACGTATAATAACTGCTTTCTATAACCGACTAAAACTGAGAAAAATTGTATTTTTATATTTACATGAATGGCTGTACATTTCAACGAGTTAATTAAGCTGATACATAACACGTATATATAAACAGATGTATTTCTGGATTAAAAAACAATCCCATTTGAACTCAAAAAATGAAAAAAAGTGTTCCTTTCAAGGAACAATAAAGATTGAACATTCCTAACGGAAGTCGTCACGTTGTTAATGGCGTCCTCCACTCCACGGAGAGGCAACGTGATATCGCCTTAAAATGAGCTACTCTCGGTTTGCACCAGGAACCGACATTGCTATCAACTAATTAAAAAAATCCTTCCTTCAAAAAAAGTAAGTATGTTCCGAGCATGTTTCGCTCAAATGTTAGAATGACCGTATAACTACAGTTTAGTAGAACGTGTTATGTGGCTAAAGCGCATTGTGCTAACTAACGTTAGCTTCTGCCGGGCTGAACACGTTGGCGTAGGAATCATATAATCGGCTGCTCTTTCAGTAACACTATGTCTAATGTTACTGTTTGTGTACGATATACTTGTATTGGTAACCTTTTTCATTTCATTGAGATCGTTGTGTGCATTAATGAACCGCAATCCGATAAGACATTGAAATGGCTAAACCGTTAGCTTAGCTTTCCGTAAGAGCAACTTTCAGGGGGCTGTGACGCTCTTTGGTACGAAGTTTGTGGGAACTCTGTTGCCTTTCAGTCTGCGTTTTTCTTCATTTCAATGTCTCTTTTGTCGGCTGTTCTATCGTAGATTAAGCGACGCATCAAGTTTTTTACCGTTAATTTACTATTCAGTTTATTTTGAATGGATCATCCGAAAAGGGGTGAACTCCTTGTTCTGAACCTGTCATATCATGTGTATAATAGTGTCAGCATTTTGTTATTTTTTTATTTTTTAACAACAAACTAGTTTGCTTAAAAGGCCCCTGGCCTTTCAAAAGTTAACTGAGTACATATATGTTCTCATTTTCTATATCTTATATAGCAGGAAAATGGCTTCGTTTAAACCTACCAAAATCCAAGTATATCCAAAACTCGGAGAGAAAGTCACACAGGACACGCTGTACTGGAAAAACTACAAGGTGAGCCTCTATTTTTAATATTATGGAAGAAACAACCTAATAATATGCTGATCGTTACTTTCTCCATCTTAACCATGCATGTCCTGTTTCTCCTCCCACAGCCGGCAATCCAGATAAAAGAATTCGGTGCTGTCTCAAGCATAGACTTCTCCCCGGTGGCGCCACATAATTTTGCAGTGACAGCGTTCACAAGAGTATGTTTGCTTCTGTGAATTCAGCTCTGTCGTGTTCATCCAAATATCGGGCCATGTGTCGGCATGCACTCTAACTCGTGTTCTCCCTCACAGATCCACATTTATGGGCCCTACTCCCTGGAGCCCGTGAAGTCGTTAACAGGGTTTAAGAACACCGCGTACTGTGCACGGTTCAGGTCGGACGGTCAGCTGCTCGTGGCGGGATGCGAGGACTCTGTGGTCCGGCTGTTCGATGTCAGTGGCAGGGTGGCACTGAGGGTCTTCAAAGGGCACACAAAGTAGGTATTTGCCGTTTTTCGATGTCTGATGTTTTCGTGTCCGGGCCTGAAGAACGAGTGTTCTCAAATAACGCCTACAATCGTTGAATGATGATTTGTTGAGTGATCCATCGTCTGAATTTCATGATGATTCTCAAGAATTCTGACAAACTTTTAAAATTTCTGGAAGACTTGAAGCCTTCACAGCCTTCTGAGGCTGCGTTTTAATTCAAATGTGCTGCGACTGTGTAATAACATCGTTGCCTTTTTTATAAGTTGTTTCAATGCAATTTATTTGCAGGCACCTTCTTTCACACCTGTGTCTCCCTTTTTTTCTGAACATCTGGTCATGAAGTGAACTGATGTCAATGCAAAATATTTGCTGCTCAGGGCTGTACAGGTCACAGACTTCACCTCGGACCAGTACCAGATCTTCACAGGCTCGGACGACTACACCTGTCGGCTTTGGGACCTCCCGAACGCCACAGAGCTCAACCGCTACAGGGAACACACCGACTACATTCGCTGTGGTGTCACCAGCAAACTCAACAGAAATCTCTTCATTACGGGTGAGATGGAGGCACATTTTTTATTTAAGCAATAAAGTACAAGAGGCAGTACTGCTTATGGTCTTCGAGTCTACTGTATTCAGATCTCTAGACACCAACTGGTGGCGCGGTTAATTTCCCACTTCTTTGGCTGACAGTGTTTTTTTGTTTTTTGTTTTGCAACATTTCATAGGCTTCGATTGGGATCAAATCCATAGTAGCATGACGTCCACCGGAATTATCCCACTTTGCTAAGAATCCATCACAAGTCATTCCCCTCAAAATAATCAAAGTTTAGTTCGATGGAACGCTGAGGTAAAAGTAAACCGGTGTACAGCACATTATGGCTCAATACGGTGTATCCGTGACTCGCTCTCAATAGAACGCTTGGTTTCAAGTACCCAAGTTATAATTACATGTCATTTAGCTGACGCTTTTGTCCAAAGCGCATATCAACGACAAGGATACAAACTCAAAGGAACAAGAAACAATAATGTGAAATTTCATTAAATAAGCCAATTTACAACAACTTTATAAATATAAATTTGTCGCTCTTTTGTCAAATTCCGCAAGTATCTCACCGTCACTCATTCATACTCAAAGGTGCTACAAATTTTACCTTGCCACAAGAAAAGCCTGCAATTTAAAAATTAAACAAGGAATCACAGGTGCTATAGGAGACAACACCCATTTCCTCCAGTTGCGTTTGTGTGAACTTGCTGTTATCAGAGCCTTGCATTACAAATGGTTGCAAGTTCCAATTCCTCCCATAGCAAACCTTTTTTGCCCTAGCCGTGTTCCAGGCGGATTGCCAGTGCAGGTGAAAGTTTGAGTGACTAAAATATATATATATATTTTTTAAATACCTTTTTAGGATCCTATGACCACACGCTGAAAGTGTTTGATGCCAGAGCAGATAAGAGCGTGATGACCATGGACCACGGCCAGCCAGTGGAGAGTCTGCTTCTCTACCCCTCCGAGGGACTCCTCGTCTCCGCAGGTAGTCGTCCATTCCAACCATGCGTTCGCTGACTGCGAGTATTTATTTATATTCGTAGGACAAAAAAATGACCTCATACCGGACCGGTATGCTTTGTTATATCTAGTAATGTTTTTCATTAAAATGACTCGTGCCCCTCTTCAGGTGGACGTCACGTGAAGGTGTGGGATTTGCTGAAAGGGGGGCAGCCTCTGGTGTCACTGAAGAATCATCACAAAACTGTCACCTCTTTGTGTCTCAGCAGCAACGGTCAGAGACTGCTGTCTGCTTCTTTGGACAGGTATGGGACAGATGTCATTGACATGATGTACTCTGATATAATTTCATAACAAAAGAAACCGAATGATGATCTCTTGAGTGATCCATCGACTGAATTTCCTGATGATCTCAAGAATTCTGACTGTCTAAAATTATTTTACAGACTAAGATGTTGTCTTATTTCATCTGACCCAATGCACAGTCTCCAATGTTTATTTATTTATGTATTTATTGTCTTTCAGGCATGTAAAGGTGTACAACACCACCAACTTCAAAGTGGTGCACAACTTGGACTACGCTGCCTCAATCCTCAGTCTGGCTCTGGCTGTAAGACATCTTATTGTAATTTTCTTGCAGGCTTTAAAGATGAGAGCAGTTAACAGAAGCAACGTCACCTACAATATGAAACAATTTATATGGGTTATAAACTGGCACCAAGCGATTTCTGCAGAAATATCTAGTGATTATATAGAGCAAAATGGTACATCTTCTCCTCCTGCTGTTGGCATGATAAGGGTGTTGGGTTTCCAGAACAATCAGGCAGCATTGTGGTCTGAAAAGTGAAGTTCCTTAAACCCGTTTGAAAAGTCTAAGAGGAAATTACTCCTCTTGATGTATTCCCTCAGTAAACATCGGCCTCTAGTTTGTCTTCATCAATACAGCATGATTTTGATTTAGTAAACAATGGAATAAGTTACCAAAATAAAGCAGGGTGTACTCCATATGGTGTCTCCACCACGGTGCTACTCTTCCGTAGTCCAAATTGACTTCCGTTAACTTGTTGCTAAAAACAAGATGGTGGCGGCGTTAATCCGAGATGGCATTAGCCATTAAGGCTTCAAAACTACAGAGCAATAGGTGACGTCACCACGACTTTGTGTTTTCAGTCGCCGCTACAATCCCTTTGGATTTATTACAAAGAAGTGCTGTAACTAGGATCAAAACCAACAGCAGGTGACCGGCTCTGCTGGAGTTCTCTAACTGTTGAATGATGATCTCTTGAGTGATCCATCGACTGAATTTCCTGATGATCTCAAGAATTCTGACAACATTTTAAAATTATTTTACAGACTTTGTTGTCTTTCAATGTCATTCCTGTTGGGATTCCCGGTCCAACTATGAAATGTTATTGCTTCTCCTCAGCCAAACGACGAGTCCATCGTCGTGGGCATGACCAACAACATCCTGAGCATCAAACACAGGAAGAGCCCCGACGAGTCGAAGGGAGGCCCCGGTCAGCAGAAGCGACGGCCGTCCTATCGCGTCTCTGTGAAGGGGAAGACCTACGCCCCCAAGCAGGTCCGTTCCCATGTGGTGAACATGCTGAGCTGGGATGTGATCTTCTGTGTGGTTTTTCTCCAGGAGATGCCTTTTTATCTCTGCGTTGATTTGAGGCTCTTCTTTCTCTCGGTTTCTGATGACTTTCCTCGCTCTGCCTCTTCCAGGAGGACTATCTTGTCTCCAAACCAGTGAAAGAGTATTTGGCCAAATACGACAAGCAGCTGAAGAAATTTAATGTGTCAAAGGCTTTGGACGCGGCTATGGAGGTATATATTGTACATCTATTTTACAACATTAAATGTTAAATTGAAAGTTCCAAAGATGTTGGTTTATTTGTATTTTTTCTGTTTGCCACACAAAGCTGCGATATGCTACTTTCTTGTTGTACAAAGCAAACTGTTGGGCCACCAGAGGAGTCGGACAAAGGCTGTTTGAGTTAAACTTTTCCTAAAGAAAATTCTATTCAATTGTATTTGCAGATATGGAAGAGGCAGAGAAACCCCGATGTCATGGTGGCTGTCATGAAGGAGCTGGATAGAAGAGGAACCCTGAAGAACGCTCTGGCAGGACGGGATGAGCAGGGGCTCTGCAGCTTGCTCCACTTCCTGTTAGGGTAAGAAGCAGAAAGAAAAACACTGAACCGCTACCAGACGCATACAATTTAGGAGCTTGTCCTCGCCCCCCCTTGAACTTTTTTCCCGCGTTCCCCTCCAGGAACGTGGTCGACCCCAGGTTTACCCCTGTGCTTGTGCCGGTGGCTGAGTTGATACTGGACGTCTACAGCCAGGTGATCGGTCAGTCGCCGCTCGTGGACCGGCAGCTGCTGCGTCTGCAAGATATGCTGGAGAAAGAGATCGGCTACCAGCAGGAGCTCATGGAGGTGCTGGGCATGTTGGACACCTTGTTTGCCTCCAACCTCCCCAAAATGGAGGTGCCGTGCCCTGACACCAGCAGGGCTAACGGCCTGTCCCCGGGTGAAGTGGGCACCTCCAGACCACCGCTTCATGCCACTTGAGGCCTGTAGCCGGAGGGGCGGGTTTCCGATGCGAGCTAGAGCGCCATCACAACGATCAATCGGACACTCGCTCTTCCAACAGAAACATTTGGTACAGGTTTTTATGAGACTGACAAACCCATGGGCGCATTTCTCTGCTGTTTTAACTCCAGCACAACCGGACGCCAAAAGTGGATGTGCGTTTACGGGGTGAAGAATGTGTGGCTGGAAAGTGAAGGGTTTTTATGGGACATCTTGTAATTATTACACTTTCTAAATGTAAATGTGGTCTGCTTGTGTTTCAAATATTTTCACTGGTTTTCATGTCGACTTTGTTTTCATGGTATTTTGGATTGGTGAAGTGTGTCTTAAGCAGATGAAAATAAACTTTTGTAATATTGAAGCAGGCCAATCGTGATTGTGTGTTGACTTTGAAGACGCCACCGAGCGCAAACAAGACTCCCACGCGGCGTGTCGGTTTGAGCTCCTGCCGCTAGAGCGCGCTGTGGCCTCGCGGAGACGAGCCCCTCCGTGTGTCTCTCACGCGGGGGACAAGAGGCGGCCCCTCACGCCGGTAAAACAGCGGCGCCGCCGCCGACCGAGCAGCATTCCTCAACTTGTGGCTCCGGGCTCTCGAACCGGCGCCAGCACGCGCCGCTCCGCTTCCGCGCGGACACGAGCGGACCGGTGCGCGAGCTCCTGTGAGCGAAGGTAGGCCGGCCGCGCGAGCATCTGTCTAACCCGCGTCAGTGTGCGTCTAACATGAATTACTGGGATACGATGTCGTCTCTAGTCGAGGGTGACGTTAAGTTATCCCGATAGAAGAGTCTTGCTGTGGCGAAACGGGTCAACGTTAAACCGAGCGCGAGGCATCGGAACATTAAGCCCAATCACACGTGTTTCAGTAGCTGGACCGTCTGCAGCCCTGGTCCTGTACGGTAAAGCTGGCACACTTAACAAAACGTCGTTTTAAATCCTGAATATAATGGGACTGCACTAGAAACCGTTCTCGAGGACCGGATCTGAACCTTGCCGCGCGCTAACACTTCAATCCCCCACACACACGCACACACGTGAGGTACGCGCTGCATGCGCTCCCGTTTGGGAGCATAGTTGGTGTCCTGGTCTCATCACCAAACGAGCTGCAAAAGCATCATTAAAATGATTAGTCCCGCGCCGAGGATGAGAAGCTGAACCTGTCTCCATCGAGCTCCTGCTTGGCAGCGGTACAGATGTCTTCTGTAATCGTTTCAGTGTAAGAAGGGAACGGCCGAATAACCAAAGAAGTCACGGGACTCTCACGGGGCTGCAGATGTCACTTCTCCTCGTGTCTCTCTTCAATGTCTGTCCTTAATGTCCACAGGTGCCTGGAGATGGAGCTGAGCAGGAGGAGGGTGCCCCTGTATGTGAGTATGTGCTGCAGCTCAGCCCAGCTTCTCTGAACAATCTCAAAAGAGTGATCCCTTTGGAAAGAGTTTGCAATGCAGCGAGAGACTAACTGCCTCATTTATTTATGTGTGTTTGTCTATATAAACAAGTGTTTTTGTGCTCCGGACCAATGCTTAATGAAAATGCATCAAATATTTGAGAGGAATGCATCACAGCAGTGATTAATTAATGAAGCTCACTAAATTCACTGTGCAGGAGTAAAAAAAAAAAAAAGTAGTTTTGAGGGCATCACGACAGGAGGCCAGTTGAGTTTGATCAAAGAGGGACTTTAACAGTCTTTAAAGGAAACATGTTACGTTTAACCTGTTGGACTATTTGGGCATTGAATCATATTTTCATTCACAATAGAAGCTTGGAATTATGTCGTTATGATCCAATCAGTAACTCTTTCTTTCAACCATATGCTCCCATCTGTCAAAGAATAGATGACCAGAAGAAAATGGATTAATGAACCCTGAAGGTGGGATTAGGTGAGACGGGGAGAGAGAGCGGATTACTCAGTGCCTAGGATTTAACTACCATTCATACGAAATGCACACAGCTACAAGAGCGATTCAGCAAATAACGGGCCGTCTCACAGGCCACCGATGCACTGATCCAAGAATGATCCTGCTCTACTGGGGAACCAGTCTCCCCACGACCCAGTAACCCACACGCCGTGTCTTGTGGGAGGTCAAACTTAATAATTAATTCATTTATTTTGTATAGCCCAATACAGGGCTATACAAAAAGAAGAAACCTTAGGGAGAACGTCAGAGGAGGATCCCTCTCCCAGGATGGACAAACTACAATGGATATGTGTACAGAATGAACAATGTAAAATATGTGTAATACATTCAATTCCTATGACAGAAATGATTCAAATAATTGTAAGTCAGGTGTACACCAGGACCACTGCAGGGACAACCACCATCAGATAGAACCACCATCCACAGAAGCCTGTGGGGAGGGAGAGCACAGAGACTCACAAGCAAAGGGTAATGCTGGTTTATGACGACAATGGATATGTGATTAATATTTAAAATAATAATGATAGCCTCAGCAGTTGTCATCAAGGCAGGAGCAGGGTCAAGGAACCATGATCCACAGACACCTGTGAGGCGAGAAAGCCTCACTGGTTATTTTCATTCAGGTAACGTGAAACAGGAGCCTCAAGATGTTCGCCAAGTACCAATCACACTGGATACAGCATGTATCTCGTATTAGTCATTTCCCCGGTCCGAGACACTCGCTTGAACCGGTCATAGTCTTTTCCTCATCTGTATGTACTTTTTTTCTATGGATACAATTAAAGTTTGGGCAGAAGAAACAAAACACTTTAATACTATTTATCATCTTTTCCGTTCAGTTAAGTGAGGCTGGTCAATAAATTAATTCCAGTGTTCAAACACTATAATCTTATTCTGGGCTATTTAATCATGACCTCACAATTGTAAAACATACAAATGCCAATTTTTGGAAGACAAAAGCATTACGCCTGTAAAAATTGGTTTGGTTTTATACTTATTAACAGGACACATAACTAGGTATAAATACCACAGACTATATATAAATAATCAGTCATTACTAAGTGCATTGACCGTGGCAGACATACCCTCGAACTTTTCGCCAGCTGTTAAAGCTAATCCAGCTGTGATTAGCAGCCGCCTTAAATAATTTTGCCTTGAGTCGGTTTCATGAAGTAATTGATGATTGACTTCTTTCACACTTCTTCATATTGTCATATTTTACCACAAGTTGATATGGTCCCTTGGGGTCTTAATGACGTGTCTGTAACATACTTTGGTCAAAATACCACAAGGATTATTTAAAACCACACCCTTTTTACCATAGATATATATAAAGGCTAGATGTCTCGTCTACGTTGCCGGCCAACAGAGTCGAATGTCCGCACGTGGCGGCCATCTTGCTACAGTGAGCTTGCTCACCCACAAAAAGCTGTAGTTGTGACACTGCATACATACTATGAATAAATATGTTATCTTCTAAAAAATAGAATAATGTTCTAAAATAAGTACAAGATTTCCCTTTACAAATATACATCTAGAAATGCTGCATGTTGAAATCCCCACCCATTGTCATAACTGCATCTCTGACGTTTCAAAATCGGTTAAAAATGATTATTATTTAAAGTACATCTACCACCACCAACACAATGTTATGGGTGAGCGAGCTCACGCTAGCAAGATGGCCGCCATGTCAGAGAGACACTCATTTCTTTCCAGGGTTTTTGGGTCGGTTAACACGCCAGATACCCAATACCCAGACGTGTAAAAGGACTAAAAAAAAGAATAGAATTTTCATAATATCTCCCCTTTCAGTATTAAAGCTCAGGGCATGTCTTCCTTTAGCCCATTCAGTTAATCAATTTCAAATTCAACCCTTGTGTAGAGGCTGGGGGGCATGGTGGTGGTCTCACACCGAGGTCCTGAGTTCAAACCCGCCCAGCACCTCTCTGGGTGGAGTCTGCATGTTCTCCCTGTGTCTGTGTGGGTTCTACCCGGGTTCTTCGGCTTACTCCCACCGCCCAAGGACATGCATGGTTGGGTAATCGGTCACTCTAAATTGCCCATGTGAATGTGAGAGAGAATGCTTCTCTGTGTATATCAGCCGTATGATTGACAGGCGAAAACCTGCAAAGCTCTATGGGATAATCGTTATAGAAGATGACTGACTGATCAATGCTCAGCTGTATTAGCTCATGTAGCAATCACTTCAAATGGCATCCAGCCGTAAATACATCAATGACCTAGAAACCTAGAACCTAGAAGTGAGGAGTCTATTGAGACTTTTTTTTTTTAAGGCTACTAATCAGCCCGCATATCACTGTGAATGCCCCGCCATATTTCACCTCCTTCTGCCTCAGATCCCCCGTCCGAAGGGTTCTTGCCCTTGGGATCAGGGTAAGTCTGGGATCTGGGTAAGCACAGTCTGCTGTAGGCACTAACACATTCCTGTTTTTATTGAGGGTTAATTTTTATTGTACCCTCAAGAGGCAGGCTGTCAGGGGATTTGGTGTGCTTTTGGAAATGTAGGACACTGGATCAGAATAGAGTCCTAATCTAAAGTGAGTAGGCATACAAGTACAATGCCTAAAAAAGGTATTCTGTCTTTCTTCCACAATCCAAAGACATGCGGTATGGGTGAGTTGGTTACTCTAGAATTACCCGTAGGTGTGTGGTAATCGCGACCGGTGCAGGATTCACCCCATCTCTCTCCCAATGTTAGCCTGGAGACTCGCTGTGTCTCAATAGGCTACAGTCTACAGGCATTCTTCCTTGCAGATCGTGCGTGAAACAGACACAAGTCCAGAAAAAAACTCTTGTTTGGGCTTTGACTTGACCAATCCAGAACACGCAGCTTGTCTTTGATCCATTTCTGTGGACGCTTGGGCCTGTGGTCTAATGGAAAATAAATCTTCAATCAGATTATCCTCCAGGATTTGGTGATATTCTTCCGCACTCAGATAAGATAAGATATTTCTTTATTAGTGCCACAATGGGGAGCTTTACTGGATCGCAGCAAAGTGGACAGTACACACAAGATGCATGGTAAAACAACGTTCTAGGCCCTGTATGTTCTGCTCTCCAGCATCATGGTGTTTTCCCTGTGTGTCTCAGGGGCAGGCGAAGGTGTTTGCTTTGCTGGAGGGATACGACTCGGTGCCGGAGGATGCAGAGGTCTACATTGTTCTGGAAGGTTCCACGCTGGTGCACGTCACCAGGGCTCAGAGTGATGTCATGCTGTGCTTTATAGTACCGGGTATGGTCATATATATACGCGTGTTGCTGTGCTATTGGATGCATTTCGGGATAATTTTACACACACACAGTCTGTGACTTGAGGTCTGGGAAGGCACAGAATCTTATCAGCTTCCTCTCAGGCGGGAAACGGCTCCATAAGCAATACGTCAACATTACTGAGCCTCTGTGCAGGTTAACACAGACATCAAGCAGTCCTGCAGGCTCCAGCACTCCACAGGAGCAAAGCTATTAGGAGCACGTTGCCTTTTTTTATCAGAAAAAAAGCAGAAATGCCTTTGGTCAACATTCAAAAAGACAATTCAAGAACATTTTTGTCATTTGAATCGTTTAGGTTAAACACGTTGATTTGTTTTGTCTGCTCTAGGCGGCTTCAAGCATTGAACTTACGAAAATAATGACATAAATGCACCCAGAGGAACGTCTCTGTTTTTGCTGTGTTTAGGACACAACCTGGCAGAAGTGGTCTCTGTCCAGGCATACCTGTCCTCTGGAACCGCACTCGTGACCTGGGTGGGCGGAGCTTCCCTGGAGTATGTCCAGGATGACGCTCAGGTAGAGACAATAATGCAAATACGGTCTTATACATTTCACGCAGGTTTGTGCGACCCAGCGGTAGTTGGAAAACATTGCTTTGCTAAAGTAAAAATGTAAAGTTGTTAGTGTAAAAGGAATTGCGCCTCAAGTCGTACAATTCTTAGAAAAAAAGTTGTTTTTCTTTGAAAACAAGAAATCTTCAGCGGCTTATCAGCAGTTTATATTAGTTGTTGTGTTTTTTTTTTTTTTACATTGCACACCAGTTATCACAGATCTATTTTTACCATCCGCCCTATTCCCAGGACCTGGCAGAGCACCTGGTGATGCACGCGCACTGCCTCAGCTCCAAGGATCACACGGAGCTGAGCAGCCTCTTCAACCTGGGCCAGGAGAGCTCCCGCGGGGCGATGGACCGCCGCGTGGCCTTGGCCGTTGCCAACCTGGACATCCCCCGCAGCTGGAACGTGCTGGGAAGCCACGGGGGAGACGGTGAGAACGCCGTCATTCGACTGCGCCGAAGAGATGTGCGGATCAAAAGCACATTGGGGTTTTCATTTAAACAGTGTCTTTGAACATGGGAGGAAGGTGAACTCTCCGTCTACCCCAAACCCCCCCCCCCCGTCTCCCGCACCATCATTACCATTTGACATCCTTACTGGGCTGTTATCGTAAGTGAACGCGGTCACATGCGTGCTTCTGTTTAATTCATCAAAGCCAATTAAGCAGCATGTAATGTGGTTAATAGAAATTTTCCTCCTAGGCAGAGCTCATCAAATCTGTGTGTGTGTGTGTACGAGATCTGTTTCTAGCATCCGAGTGTTTGCGTAGGGCCACCTACACAAATAACAAACTGGATTCAGCATTAACATAGTTAAGGCAGTCTGTTCCATCGCAGCATCTCCTTCTGAATGTCTGCAGATAATTTGATAACATTGCTTATGACATCATCGCTACTGCTTTGTGCGACCAAATTATACATTTTTATCAATAGATTTCATTTGGTCCTTGCTGTTTGCTTATAGTATGCTCTGTATTTTCAATGGGACTCGAAACAAATAGAGATACTGCACCTCATGCTGCAGCATTACAGTATTTATTACAGCTGGCAAAAGTGTTTGATCCAAGAAAGTTTTCTTATACATGGATCAAGGCAATCTTCGTTTTAAGAATCAAAGCCTTTCAGATCTCTCAAGTAAAGTCTGTTTTTAAACTACAATTCTCAACTGTTTTTAACTTAAAGCCCTCTTCTAATTTAAAAATAAGAAAGCATGAGAAATGGAAAATAATTCAAATAAATGAAACAATGGACAGAAAGGAGGACAGTTAAACTAAATATGTGTTATGCCACTTTACCCCTCAGCCGTCATGGTGCCTACCATTATGAATCCACATTCAATACATTAGGCAAATTTCCTCAGTAACCCCTTTGTAGCTTTGACCTTGACATTACTTCATTTAATCATGTGTAAATGCAACATTAACAGCCTTGAAATGACCAAAATAACATTTCTTTAAACTATTGAACCCTGTGGTAGTATCTCCGTAGCCCACTAGATAGCGCTCTGAGGCTGACCGGTGCGCTCGGGCCAAGTGTTTGAAAACTGCTACTATAAAGCAACCTACGTATATGGATGCAAATGCATGAATCAAAAATATTTCTTGCAGCAGTATTCACAGTATTCGGGTAAAAGAGACTATTATTATCTGTCATCCTTATGTGTCTGCCCCCCATGAAGAAAAAGGCAAAAACATGGATATAATCTTTTTGTTTGGTTTGTATTTGGAGGAGCCCACATTAACCCCGATGTGCAAAATGTCCTCATACAACTCAACACTTTGCAGTGAAAAGGCCCCTGTGGGTCAAATATCCACTGTTGTGAATGTTTTTAATGAGTGTCAAAGCCAGCTGTTGTTTGGGTTTCACTTTGTGGTCTTGCTCAGTTGATTCCCGTTCAAAGTGCACCAGTCAGTACAGCTGGTAGGAACACGGTCCCTTTTGTGCGGCGTTGGGGACTGATGCACAATCAATGTAGGCAGCATCCGTCTGGCCTCTGTAATTCATTAGACACTTATTTTCATTCAGGTAACGTGAATCATTGCCGGCCGAGTCTCATTGTTGTTAAAATCGGCCTTACTGCTAAAAGCATTTGGCTATTTTAACTTGACCAAGTTGAAATGTGCTGACTTACTTACCTTCATCATAGCAACAATAATACAGAGATGGATATACATGAAGATAATGGTCGATTGATGGCACATTTGAAATGGAACTGCACAATTACGAGCTTCCCAGCCTCTTGAATGTACCTGGATACGGATCTTTCGAGTGTCAAGCAGAGGAATAAAAAGCCGTCACCACTCTGTCGCAAAGCTTTTTATCGCCTCAAAAGTGGGTTAGTAGAACAGAGAGGAAATCAATCATTCAAGTTGAGGTTAATGATCACAGGGACGTGGTTATCAAGGCGACATTCTTGTGGTGTTGGTTTTCTCTTCACTATCTCACGTTTCACCCACTGGCTCAGGTCTTACCGGACCTCTCCCCTCCCCCCTTGCATCCAGCAGCTGTCTTTGATCCCGCTGCATACCTTTTCAGTTGTTAAATTTCTCTCCTCGTCTCCAGAGCGAACCCCCAGGGAGTCGCCCCTCCACCTGGCCGTGCGGTGGGGTCTGTTTCGCTTGGCAGAGCTGCTGCTGTGTCAGCCGGGGGGTCTGATGGCGGTGAGTCTGCCAAACCAAGAGGGAGTGACGCCGCTGCAGCTAGCACAGACGGCGGCTAACACGGAGATCCTGGAGCTGCTCGCACAGTAAGGTGTCTGCTTGTACCTGCTCATGCTGGGTAGAGGGTCGCAGAACCCCTCCCAGCTGAGTACACACAATCAGAGCTGAGGGAACATGCAAACTCCTCACAGTGCTTTGGAATAGCAGTCAATGTGGGTCCATACATCTTAGCCATAAAAGGCCTGTTTGCAAGACCATCACCTGGCAGTGCTGTTAGACCATTGTTTATATATTATATGTTTTCTCAGAATATACCTTTGCAATGTTTTTTTTTTTTTTAACTAACCCACCTGTTGTGATGCAGCCCGCCCAACCCCCTGGCCACGCCTCCTGCAGGTCTGTCTCAGGTGTGGGCAGACCGGTCCCGCTTGCTGAGGTTCTGCCACGATTCGGGCAATCTGACTCTGACTGTGCGGCAGAACCTTCGGTGGAGCTCGGAGGAGAGCCGGCACGCCGACATCCTGCTCCTCAGGGAGCGGCTCAGGGACCAGGACTTCCTCAGAGAGGTGACTTTGCGTTAACTGCATTTACTCGCGCTAGTGACCGGTACTGTAGGTTTACACGGAATACAAAATGACCCATTCAATTATGATCTGATATAAAGAAAAGAGATAAAACGGAAGTTTGTCTGGTGGCCCTCGGCCAATTAGCAGGATTTAGACATCTTCTTTCCTCCCACAGATCAAAGCTCTAAGGAGAGAGCACAGGGAGACTGTCTCAGGGAAGGAAAGGCCGGTGGATGATGCCAGAGACAACGGTATCAATCATACTTCCCTAATGTGTTTGAGAGGCTGGTTAACCTAAACATTCCTGTTTTCTCTTCTGCTTTGGTTGCCATGCTCTGCTTTTTGGGGGGTCTTGGTGGTTTGAGAATTGATACTTTGCACATTGACCGCTCTCCTGTGGGGACGTGAGGTATCGCAAGTCTAAAATCAAGAAGGTAGAGAAGAGGGAGAAAAAAAACAGATTCATTATGGAGTATCCAGGCTGTTCAGTTTACTGAAACGCTCTGCGATCGTAAGCAAGGAATCACATCTAATCTTTGATTTCAAGTGTGTGAATCACCGTGTTAATAGAGTGCAATGCAGTAGAGCAAGTGAGCTATGCTTTTGTAAGTAGTGCTGAAACTATTAGAGAACAACTCCAAAAACTCCAATTTGTTTTATTTTGGTAAATCTTATAGCTAAGTTGTACTAGGGAGGGCTGTAGATATTTACTTCCTAAACTTAAGGAAAGCCTTTGATCAGTTGAAGCATGTAAAGGTAATCAAAGCTTTCCCGCATAATGAATAAATTACACATTACAGACAGAAAGTTTGTCCTTCTACTGTATCCTATCAGCCCTATACTGATGACACCGTCATATATCTACATATATAGATATAAATCTAGGAGAACTATTAACTTTAATGGCCAATTGGTTTATAATAATACTCATTTTTAAACTTTTATTTATACAGCACCTTTCCAAACAAAGTTACAAAGTGCTTAGCAATACGCACACGAGTTGTACAAAATACAGTTTATAAAAGCAGTTTATAAAAAATAAGTTAAAATTTGTCAAATATATAAATAAGCCATCTGGCAAAAGCAAGTCTTTAGAAGAGATGTAAAAGAGGACACTGAATTTCACAGTTTGCAGGGAAGGGACTTCCACAATTTAGGGGCCCTGACTGCAAAGGCCCCGTCACCCAAACATGGCACTGTTAACGGGGCCCTGCCCGAAGATCTCAGGCGGCACTCAGACCCATGCGGGCTCAAGAGCTCACTGATGTAGGCAGGAGCGAGATTGTTCAGAGCCTTAAAAACAAGCAGTAAAATCTTAAAATCAATTCTAAAGCTCACAGGTAGCCAGTGCAGTTCACACCTCAATATCCACAAAACTGCGTGTGTCTTCTTTTAAGGTCTGGAAATAGAGATCCAGTAGGGAGTAGACTAGTAAGCAGGCCTGGGTTTAAACATTTAAGCATGTTTATATTGTTTATATTGTATATGTATCTGTATATAGGATGCCTATACAATGTATAGGCAACCTATATAAAATACTGAATAATACAGCTAAAAATAATTTATATGGCTAAATTGGCACATTTTGAACTCTGTTCATGTTAATCAATATGCATTGTCTTTTCTTAAATACAATTAGCATAACCATTTATGAAATTGCATTGGTTCACCTTTGGATGGTGTTTAGGTTGTGTTTGTTTTTGTTTTTTTTATAATTACAAATGTAATTACAAGTAATGAGATATTACTGATGATCAAAACAATATATAAAATAGGGTCGGTATCAGCAGATAGTGGACGATGATCCAATAATACGCATATTCACAGCATCATCCATAAGTGATCTTGTTGTTCCTTCATACTCACGTGTCAGTAAATTGTCATGTGTGTAGCTTGCAAGGTCCCATTCTGTTTTTCATAAGTCTCTTGACTATCACGCAGGTCTTCTCCTTTCTCCATTATTGCTGTTGGCTTCCCTCCCAGCCTGTACGTCCTTTATGGGGCGCTGCCACTTCCCTCTCCCTCATTTATACGCCATCTTATATATTTTTATGTGACCCCCCCAGGCTTCGGATCTCACCACCCAAACACTCTGTCCTACCTTGTTTGTCCTTTGATCTGGAATGCATGTGGTAGTTAAGTGTCACCAGAGGAGATCCAAACCACACATTAAACACTCCTCAGGTTATGTAAAAAGAAAATAGAATAAATAAAAGCTGTGCCTTCTTGAGGCTCTTAAATCTAATTCAATGGTGTTTTTCTTTCTTTCAGCATTGCATTCGGATATCAATAGAGCAGCTCTGGGGGAAACTGTGAGTATTACCAATGAGGACAGTAATGGAGTTCCCCTTCCCATAAAAGTGAGCAGAATATAGTTTCAACATACTGATCTCTCTTTCCCCAAAACGTTCCACATCAAGTGTGTGCACTTTAAACTATTTAGCGAAAATGGATAACCCTTGATATCTCATTTCCAGCTCTAAAAACTGCCCTGGCTCCATTCACCCCTGTGAGCATCTGCATCAGCCAGTGGCCCCTCAATGCTTCACATTGTTCCACGCTTATTGTTCAGGTGTTGGAGTTGGCACCTCGTGCTGAAATGCCCCACTTTGTGAGCGCTCAAGTGTGTTCTTAGAGGCGTGTGTGCATAATCCTGGTCGTCCAATAGGACCTGCTTTATGCAATGCAGATGGCCACCTGGCCCTGTCACACAGCTAGGCACGAGCCCCACGCTTGTGTTTTTGTACGTAGGTCCACTCTAGTTTTTTTGCAGAGATGTCTAGCTGTGGAAATGTGCGCCCTATTATCGGTGAACGGTCCTCTTGTTTCCTCAGGACCGCGAGGAGCCGCTGATGTTTTGTCTAAACGAAGAGGACGAGGATGAGGAGAAGGACGACCCGTCGCTGTTTGACTCTGGTAAGATATGTCTCTTTGAACGGCAGCCAGGTCATGTTCTCAGAACGTTGCCCTCCTGTTTTTAGATTTTCAATTGAGTCGTAACGCGGTGTAGATCATGTGTGTACGCACACTGAAACCAATCCATGTTGTTTTAGGTGCATTATATTCACAAGTGGCTTCCAATTATTACTACAGAAAAAAACCTGGAACCCCGAGTCTCGACCGTCCTCGCAGACCACATATCAGCTTCTCCCCACTCTCTAAAATGTGTTCACAGTGGTTGTACCAGAGGTCCTGGTAAAGCTCCGTGCAGAGAGCGGTCCTGACTCATCCCGCTCCTGCCGGCCGCGACACAAATGACTTCTGACTCGGCGGCCCGAAGGTGGCCTCGCTCTGATCCGGGGAAGGCTCGGAGAGCGGGAACATCCCGCGGTTTAATAATTGTCTCGTATCGCCGCAGACCGAGGCCTCGGCGTAAGAATGCTGCGGTCTTCAGGCTTTTATAACACTTGGCACTGGACGTCTGCGATCTGAACTTCCTGCGGCTGGTGTCGTTTTCCATGATGTACGGTTTAGCCATGTTGGACTGTGCGTGTGTGTGTGTGTGTGTGTGTTGGCTGGTTGAGAATTTATTTAATTTTCTGGTCTTTGAAGATCACTTGCCTCTCAGCCCGACCGGTCCCCTTCAAACACTTTTTTGTGGCTGGGACAAATAATAGTGGTAACTTGAATCCTGTTTCCCCTTAGTGCCCTGACTCAGGATGACTAAGGCCTTATACATGTTATTCTTCTGGGATTACAATGCTTATTTTGAACCTCTGAGGAATTTCAACTCCTCATTAGACATTCCCAAGCTGTCGGGCATAACGAGTGACCGGCAGGTGTCTATTTATTTAATTTTTTTTAACAAAGAAGTGAAGCATGTCGTGCGATTCCAGTTCCTGTTATTATCACAGAGCTAATGCGTCATCGGATAGACAGACGTGGCTTCTGTAGCCAGAGCTTCAGCAAGGGATGAGGAATTTCAAGCGTAGCTGTCATGCACCCGCCCCCCATCATCTCTCGATGTCAGCTCTTTCCTCTCTCCAATTCATACGGTGTGACCGCAATTAAATACATTAGAGGCAAAGCAGGTTGCAGTGGCTTTTCAATGCCAGTGTGATGGTTTAAGCCTTTTTAAGAGTAAAATCTAAGTTCTGTACCTCACTTGCGCCCTCCTAATGTGGAAATACCACACTTACCCCCATACTCGTGTCCCCCTTCTGCTCTCCACGGAGGACAGCGAGCATGGAGGTTGGTGTTTTGTGTGTGTTTGAGGGGGGAGAGCGAGTGGGGAAGGCTGATCTGAAGGGGGCAAATAGGGAAGTAAAAAACGAAAACAGTTTGGCTGAATGCAGTTTTCCAGAAGCTTGTAGAGATCCCCTGGGACGGGGTAGCGAAGGTCTTTGTGAGTGATACCAGAGCGAGAGAAAGGGGTTTATGATATGGATAGTTTGGCCGCGTGACAACAGACAGCGAGCAGAACGCCGGGAACTCTAACAAGAGGCTCCGACCCCAAGCCGAGGGATCTAATGGGAGAACGGAAAAAAGGGATTAAAACCTCACACAGACACCCACAAAGGCAGCATTAATGCTCACCAGTACAGTGCCAACACCCCCTCCCCATGCACACACACACCCTCTCACACTCTCTCACTACTTTCTATAGTCTCAGTGTACCTACTACCCCCACCCCCCTTTCACCCATATATATACGTATATATACTGCCTACAAAACCCCTCTCATCCCTTATTCTGCTCTTCCTTTTCCTTAAACCACATTCCTTCATTTGTGTGCGTTTATAAAAAGCCACGTTTGGCGTCTCTCCACGCGGCCATTGTGTGGTTGGTCTCTTAAAATTCACTTTTGTCACTTTTACCACCTCTAGCTGCACACTGACTGCTGCTGCAAACGGAGCACAGCACTCCTTCCAGTGAGGAGGGGGGCGACAAAAAGCGGTGGGGAAGAAGTAGCTGTCTCCATGGAGAGACTGCTGACCTGGCATACCCCCCCCCCCCCCATCCTGCCTCCTGATCAGCGTGTGATGATCTCCCTCCTCCCCCCCTCTGTGTGTTGTGTGGAAGGAGAAAGGACTTAAGGGACCCAAGAGGTTCCGGCGCCCCATTTGAGGGGAGCAGTTAGAAAAGAAAAGGGGCAGACAGAGAGAGAGAACTCCCCCGGCTCGGTCGTACAGTCGGTGCGGGGGTTGTCGAGGGAGGAAGAGGAGGACTCTGGGGGGGGGCAGACGAAGGGGAACATGCTGGCTCGCTCCTGAACTGTCAGAGCGTCTACAGCGGGGCTCCGGAGACAGAAAGGAGAGCGAGCGCAGCTACGTCGAGCTGCTGGGAAATGGACCAAGAGTGAGTTGCTGCTATATTCATCACCCGCCCGGAGGAGCTCCTCGAAGGTTCCTAAATCATGGATTCTGACTCGGACTCTCCGTTCAACTACTCCTGGCCCTCCTTTCCCAAGATGAGGATGCGCAAGAAAACAGGCAAAAAAGGTAACAGTGATGTTTTTTTCTGCTCCCGACTCGGCCGTCCTCATCAGTCGCCCTTTCACCTCCAGATGGTCAAATAACGTTCAGCTTTTACGTCCGTTCGGTGCCCCCTTTTCTCCACACATCACGTTACAGATGGCATATATGCTCGCCAGGGAACAATGCCGCTAAAATTAGACTGTTCCCATTACACATCGGCGCTCCGGACCCTGGGCCCCAGCCCGGAGTCTGCCAGTGATGTAACCTGATATGTGACAGTATGTTGGGGAATGTCAGACGTCCTCTTGAAGCTGATTGAGCGATTTCCGGGGCCCTTGAGGGTCCGCGGCCGCCACCGCGGTGTGTGTATGTGAATGGACCCGTGCAAGGAGCTGTGTCCTCGGGGGATTGACGAAAAAGGCGAATGTGGAGGCCCTGTGCTTAATCCTTGCCACTGATTGCCAGCGACGTGCCATCAGAGGTGAGGTCTCTACATCCAAGTCTTTTTCTTGCCTCGTCATGTGAGAGCTGAGGCGGATCATCAGAATGGGGCCGGATTAAATGGGAATGGTTCTAACAGTTTATTGCGTTCGTGAAAGGGGCCGTTGGGGAGACAGGAAGATCAAGTTACCGCCATGGGTCATGGCCCGACTCGTTTAACCGCGAACCTCCGCCAGATTATCCGAAGTACCGACATCTGCTCCTTTTACACGGTGCTTTCTGTGCTGGCCGGGGGGTATATTCTATACTGGGTGGGACGATGCACTGGCCAAATGTGATTTCAGGTGTTGGAAAGCCACAGGTTTTTCCATTTGAGTTGACCTCTCCGGGAATCTTCTCACCTGAAGGTGAAGCCCTGAAACGTAAACGCGACAGGGAGCGCGCTGTGTGGTGCTTGGACTGTGTGGTGCTTGGACTTCGTGGGACCGCAGGTGTCATGACTCAGAGTCTGGGTTTGTGGACTCTGGTGGACAGTTGTTTTAACGATTCCTAACGGCCCTCGATCCAAAAATAATGAGCTCTCGCCTGCTTCAAGGTAATAATAGCTCTTTGTTTTGGTTCCTTTACACTCAGCTTGTTATTTCTCTCTGCTCCCAATTTCAAATTTCAATTCCAGCTCTCTCTGGAGTGACAGTAGTTTGGTGCGGTGCTTAAAAAGGGGACTTACATCATAAAACGTATAATAACCCCCCTTGTACTCATAATAAACAAGCCAACATCTTGAAATTTTAGTTCTGCTGTTTTTAGCGGACTAGCGCCTGAGAAAGGGAGTGAAACCTTGAGAAAAGAGCCCTTGTGACAGCCCGCCTCCCCCACGCTCCATCCTGCCTCCCTGGATCTGCCTCTCCCGTGGGGTGCACGCGGGGTTGAAGGGTCACTCTCTGTGTTTAACTGCCCTGGTCTGGAAACCTGGCCCCTGACTGCTGCCTTTGTCTGGTTCTCTCTCCTTTCCCTCTGCGAGCTACTGTATAGCGCCGGCTCTATCGCTCACGGACATGCGGGTCCAACGCTCAGCTGCCCCGCATTCCTCAGAACCCCCTCTGAAAATGGCGACCCAGCTATAAAGACGGCCTCCCCCTGCGAGAAAGATTGATTTGACCAACCTGTTAGAAAGACAAGCATCCTCGCTCCTTTGTTATTCCCTCCAGTTAACTAATGTTAAACAGGGATGTACAGCAATGCTCACCGAGGCCATGTTTATGGATCAGAGGTGCGTGAGCGATTGGGACCTCCGGGGCGGCCAGCTGTGGCTTTGGACCCGAACCCAGAAGCCTGACTATTAGGCCGTCAGCTTCCTTTAGTGGGTTCAAGTGCAACGGTGTCTGCTTTCAAAAAGCGGCTTGACCCGGGTCCATAGCCTGCCCTCGTCCCAGTCCCACTCGATTTCGGTGGAGGTGGCCTGTCGTACAGCTCGTGTACAGTATGATGTTTTCATGTGGAACTGAGAGGATCCAGATGTTTGGTGAACAGCGACTACTTATAGTAACTACACCTTGAGGCTCTGCAGATGACTCCAGGATGGACGTGGGGTGGTTGGACTTTTTTGGCTCTTTGCATTATTCGTGGATGGAGCCGGACTCATCTGGCGTCCTCATCAATGTCTTCTTGACTCTTTTTGGCTCTCAGTTTTATGGCACTCACCGCCTGCAGGAAGCGCAGCTAATTTACTCTGCTACGATCGCCTCTGATCTGCGGCGCTGGGAATAGATGCCAGAACCGCGGCTTTGCCATCGGTTCAATCTGCTGAATGAGTTTATGTGGAGTACAATGCCAAAGACATGTTTCTGCACCGTGGCGTTGTTTGAAGCGTGAGGTGAAACGGTCCCTGAGAACATAACACTGCCACGGCGCTAATGAGGTGGCCTCTTCTGGTTTGTGTGACAAGCGCTGCGCTACCACTTCTTCCCGGTATTGCACCGCGTCAGTTTCCTTGTAATTTGGTGAGGTCATTTTCTGTCTGCTGTTCATGAGCAGCCAGGTAGGAAAAGTATTCCGCTGTTCTTGACCCTTCACATGGCGTCATCTCCATCAACAGGCGGAGCTTGTCCAGTTGTCATGGAAACGTAGGTGTTCAAATTGTTCCCGCTGTTAAAACACCTTTTTTGTTGCTGGCTTTGCATTTGTGATCCATGGAATACCAAACCATCGTTTTCACTAGTTCTTCCTCCCACTTTGAAGCTTAGAAGCATTCAAATGGGCAGATTGCGTGCAGTAGTAGCTGGTTATTCTCTTCTCGGTGCTCGGTATGAAGGAATTCATCGAACGGCCACTTGAAGCTGTGTAAGCATGTCAGTTGTCATGTATGAAATCACACACTTTGTATCAGAAGTGGATATGCAGTGATTGTGACATCCCCCGTTGGTTTGTGGACTGCTGTCCTGAAGCCAGTAAGTAAGCCGGTAGATTAAATGCCACTTCCGCATTGGCTTCATTCGTCGGAACATTTTCATATCATTTTAACAAAAACAATGGTCTCTAGGCGGCGTCACGGCCAAGATGGTGAAGACCGGGGCCTCATAGGTAAACCTATGGCGGAGGTCCCAGAGGCCAAGTCCGTATTTTATACAGTGCACAGACGTGCAGTGTTTCAGCTGTGTGCACGTATACTGTATCGTGTGTTCATTGTGACCCGTCCACAGATTGTTTCACTGTTTAAGTGGTGAAGTAATGTTTCTTTACAACCGTCCCATCAAAGGTTGTTGTAGTGGCTCCGAGCGCGTTGCCTCTCTGTGTTTGTGCTGACCCGCAGCTGTTTTTTATATCCTGGAAAACTTTGTGTTTGTGGAGAAGTTGTGTTTAGTGCAGAACAGCCTGCCACTGTGTGTGTGTGTGTGTGTGTGTGTGTGTGTGTGTGTGTGTGTGTGTGTGTGTGTGTGTGTGTGTGTGTGTGTGTGTGTGTGTGTGTGTGTGTTCAGCGGCACCAGGCCTCTGCTCACAGGGACTCTACTGTGCTGGAAGGGGTTCCCCCTCCATGCCACTCTGTGCTCTCTGAGAGTTTCCACTCAGCCGGCTTATCGGAGGCAGGGTGGGGACGCGCGCGCACACACGCCGCGCTCGCTGCTCCACGCTCGCTCCTTCACGTGCGCGTGTGTTTGTCCCGTTCAGACAAACAATCGTAAGGGACTCTTGCTCCTGAACAATGACGTGCAACCGCCCGGGACGTCGATGTCACTTCCGGTGTTTGTTAGGTGTTATTTGATGTTGCCGTGGAAACCAAATATAATGTTGAAAAATGTCTCTCTCGCTCTCTTTCTCTTTGTGTGTGACACCCTCCCTTTTTTGAAGGACAAACCCAGTCCACACGGGAGAGCCAGGCCCAGTCTCCGACGCTGGCTGCTGCTGTCCGACTCTCAGCGATGATCCACGGCAAAGGCCGAGTGTTTGCCAACGCCATGCTGGTGGACCAGGTGAGACCGCCGCCGTGAGTGCTTCTCAATAAGTAGGTTATCTAACATTTAGTGATGAAAAGACTCTGCTCATGTTCCAGGTGGACGGCGCTGATATTAAATACCGGTCTCCGGGGGAGGAGGAGGAGGAGGAAGACGAGGTGAGCCCTGCGCCCAGTCTTGGCCGCCCGTGCTCCTTCTCCACGACTCCCCCCGCCTCGAGGAACCATGCCCAGGACCGCCACCCGCCCTCACCCCGCGGCGGGGAGAAGGGGATCCGAGGCCCTGAGATTCGCAAGGAGCCTTCCTGTCGCACGTCTCCCCCCTCTACCTTCACGTCCCCCCCGTCTTTTCCTTCCTCCCCCCTGGTGTCCGCCTTCCGATTGTACGAGGGAGGGCAGAGGCGTCCTTGCCTGCCAGTTTCTCCTGCTTTGAACCGCAGAGGATACAGCTTGACCGAGGCGAGCCAGGGCCTGAGGTAGGACGCTATAACTGTTAACTATGTAAGAAAAGTATTTAACTGCAGAGCCTTTAACATGACGCCCTCACGACTCGGTTGAGTTTTTACACCTTGAAGTGGGTGAATAAACACGCCGCGTTGTGACCATGGGGACGTTTGGGGGGGTAGTAATAAAGTCAGTGCACCGATTTATAAACTTGTGTCAGTCACACATAGTCAGCGAGAGCATTTTGTTGACATTTCGTATGTGTAGTCAGAGAAGGTGGCAGGAAGCCCGCGCACAATTGAGCTGTTTGTGCGTTGAGGTCGTTGGACATTCCTCCCAGTTTCCTTAGAGATGCAGGATCCTCTTCATTAGCACGAAAAGGCAGAGAGATGCAACGTGTTAGCGTGTACACTCGGGGGCCACTTTATCAGGAACAGCTGTACAAACTATCAGCCAATGCAACTGCTCACCAGGGAAGTGGACTTTTTTTTTAGAGGGGTGTTAATTCAATGATGTGTCTTTCAACGAGGTCATCGTTCGCGGTGGTGTTGTGCCGTTTTAAAAGCATTTCTCTTCTGTAGTCCAGAATGAATAGACAAATGATGTAAGTCCTCCATTCCATCAAATGAAGGTGTTTTTGAAAGGAATCGGTTTGTTCCCAACCCTTGTGTGTTTGCAACAGTCCTAGCCTGGAGGGCGATAGTGGAGAGGAAGACATATTGGGACACTCCTACCCCTCGTCGTCTGTGAAGAAGCAGTCCATCCCGCGATCCAGCTCCAGAGAAGAGAGGGACTCTTTTGAGGCGTCACCAGACTTTAACCGCCTGCACTCCCCCCCCAAGGTACACCTTCAATTGACATGTTTCTCTGTCGTGTCGTTCTCTCATCCATACATCAGTTAAACCTTTGCTATTGTGTCAAGACTTAGTTAGTGCACCTACAAGCACATTAAAACACTAATAACCCTAAACTAAAAGTAAAGCACGTTGCTGCAAACACATAATGTGGACTCAAAGACAGAAAGGTTGAGTTTCCTGCTCCCAGAATTGAACCTGTGAACTTTCCGCTCTGCCTGATCCGTTTCCTTCTGATCCGCTTCCTCCACCCAGAGCCCTGAGGAAGCCGAGGTCCGCCTGCGCTCCTACTCTTTTTCCTCCCCCAAGGCCAAGCCGTCGCGCCCGCTGCTGAATCGAGACACCACCGTCGCCGACCAGGCAGAAGGTGAGTGAACTTTGACCCCACCCCCCCCAGTTTTTGCCCCGCGACCTTGTGTGTTCCCCCGGGAGCCAGCTGAACGGCCACATGTGTCAGTGGCAGACAGGTGTCGTAAACCAACCGGCCCTCTGTGAAGTATGTGTGCGCGTTAAGCGTCGGCTCTGCTGTGCGGCGTTCAGGCTCCGCCCCCGTCCAAGTGGTGCGTTCTGCAGCAGTGGCCGCTCCATGCGCCATCGCTCTCTAAACCCCCTCTCTCGTCTCAACCCCGTCAGTGAGCACAGGAACAGCTGGAAGCCGCCGGCGCATCTCTCCGCATGTCAATCAAGGCTCCCCAGCCCAGTGGGCCTCCGGCCCGAGGAAGTGTAAAGCACCTGTAGTTTAAAAAACTGCTGCCACTGAGTAATCGTATCTCCAACGTCCTGGAGAGATGAAGAAAATAAGCATCCGAGTAGTTCAAAATTGCCATAGTTGTTGTAGTCTATAGGTCCCAGTTGGTAACCCGTCGTGAACCTAAGAGGCTGAAAATCTAATCCTAGTGCGACGTTTGAGGCTTCCAAATAATCAGAAGATTGTAGTTTTTAGAGGTGAATACCCTCTAGAATTGGCATTTTTGATCCTTAGTTCAGATTGGAGATTGCTGCATATTTTGTTTCCAATTGATTCGCCTGAAGTTTCTATTGATTTCACACATTTCTTTGCAGAAATGTTTGTCATTGAGACCCCATCGTGCAGACCTTAATTTGTGGTAGGATTTAGTTTTTTGGAATATGCAATGCGAAAACCGCGGTCTGGGGCGCGAGGGGGGGGCAGATTCATTATTTAGATTCCTAATTCCTGAGAAATGCTGAAAAATCAATAGCAGACTTTTTTCCAAAGCATGACGTCTTCAAAAGTCCCCTCATTTAAATGATATGACTATATTACACGTCTGGATCTTTAAGACTGCTTCTTCTTTTATATACATATATTTCCCGAGGCTTTGGACAAATGCTCTCTGTGTACGTCTTTTGGATCTTCTGGAGGAGGAGCACATTTGTTGTTGTCCTCCTGGTTTTCCTTTTGGTTTTCTCTCGGGAGCCAAACTGTTGTGTGATGTTTTTAGGATTTTGCTGTTTCGCCCATTTCCTTCAGGGTGGTTTTGAACACACTGAACAAATATTTTTCGACTGAACTCATCTGCCTTTCACTGTTACTTTTTGTTCTTTACAGAGCAGAGAGCATTTAGCCTGACTGAGACCACCAAAGAAAAGAGGTAAAAACACCTCAAATAATTTTTTTTTCTGGATCAATTGCACCTTCTTGGGTCTCCAGTGTAGAAGGTGTGGTTCTACAAGGCCGAGGACACAACATGCTGTGATTGCAACCTCCAAATAATAAACATTCAGACTGTGCTGCACTTGATACCTTGGATACATCTTAGTCCATCTTCTAGATGTGATACAGAATTTGTAGCGTGTTGTAATATGTTTTGGTGATTCATTTTTAACAGGCTCACTGAATTAACATTGGCTTTACGATCTCACCCTGTGGAACATCTTCACGTTTTGCCTCCATTTGTTTTCATCTCATAAAATCTCACAGTCCACCCTCATTTTGTTATTCATTTCACGTGGCCGCCTCGTACATATTTCGCCTGCTCACATGATAACCATGCATCGCTTGATGTTGAGGGAACATTTTTAGATGATCACATGAGGCAATTATCAGTACATATAAGTACATCATTGCATTATTGTATGATAATGTTATATCTCAGTATTCACAACCACAGCCTTATGAGACTTACTAACTAATATGTCAAAGTATCAGGATCCATCAAAATGTGGTCGTCGCCTCAATATGACAATACACCTGTTGTTGTCTAGATTAAACCCAGTAACCTTAAATGCCACACATTGATATTCACATCCATGGAAACGTTACAAGCCGGTCTGAGGTGTGTCGTGTCCACGCAGGCGTTTGGGTTTCCGTAAGCGGGCCCAGTCAGCGGAGGAGGAGAGCAGTGCATCGCTCCAACACCTAACCCTCACAGAGTTCCTCAAAGAGTATGTGTTCTCCAGAGCGGCCTCGCAGCCATGCATGTGTGGCTTAACTCACTCTAACCGCCCCGCCCCGGGGAAAAAAAACCACCCATTCCCCGACTCATCCATTAACCACACAGGTTCTTTTTCTGCAGTTGTATGCAATCTTTTCTTTTTGTTACTGCCGGTCACAGCATCTTTGATGTGCATGTTCCTCTTCTTTAACTTCTGTTGCCTCCTCATCTCGAATGCTTGATGGTCGAAGCATAAGTTGCTGCAAATAGCTGACACATTATCAATTGCATCTTGCCACGGTTGGCCTAAAAATAGCATCCCCTAGAGTCCATAGTGACTTCCAAGCATGCCAAGCATGTTGTTGAGAGAAATAGTGTGTGGACCAGGGTTCCTGGAAGACCGTCTGGACAATAGTTAATTTCAGCATGACACCAATGTACCTGATTATCCAGCTCTTAGTGTATGAGAAGTACTGGAACGTTACATGGTGCACTGTGAAGGCCGCTGACAGACGTGTTCATGCTGAAACAGGATTGAGGACGAGGAGTGGGACAAGTACATAATCCCCTCCAAGGTCGAGTCGGAGAAGTACAAAGTCAGCCGGACATTCAGCTTCCTCAAGAGCAGGATGTCCAGCACTCGCAACAAGACCAAGGTGAGCTAAGATGCCCCATCGCTGCATGTTTGAAATGTGTGCTGTGAGGAGGCTGCAAGGAGCTCCCCCAGTGAAAGCTTTACCACCTCGGCCACTCAGGCTCGGTCCGAATTCCTGCGCTGAGGAGCCCGTTGTCTGCGATGCGGTGCCTTTATTTGGAGAGGGAGGAAAAAGAAATTCCCCTCTCCTCCGGTCTTAGCAACGGGACGCAGTGAAAATATCCTCTTACATAACGTGCAGACCCCCTCCCCACACGCACACACGAACACAGCGAGAGGAACCAAAACACATTCCATAGTACAAGCTCATCAAACATGTGCGCGTGTGTTCAAGAACATGCATGCACGCATGTGCAGCAGAACAAAGCACACCGAGTGTCACGGAACAAAACATGCACTTCAAGTTCACGAGTTCGATGAGAAAATAAACACGGCTCTATCGCACACGCACAGAGGACCCCCCCCGAGGATGAAGCACCACAACAGCAGCCGTCCCATTGGACTTTCACAAGGTAAACACGAGGCCTCACTCGGGGGGCCCCCTCATCCGTGACCAACTCCACTTTAGCAGGTGTGTTTGAGCAGCAGGAGGACCCGGTCGGGCCTCTTTGTGCCTGCTCACAATCCTGCTGTTTCCACTGCGGTGCACGCGGGCCGAATGAGTGCGCCTGTAAATGTTGCCCACCTGTGTTTCAGGTGAAGGGGAAAGAGGCAAAGGAAGGGAAGGAGAAGGCGGGCGCCACTAACGGACACCAGTTTGTCTCGGCGTCCCCCCCCAGTGCCGCTCTCTGTGTGGGCTGCGACAGGTCTGTTTCTGGGAAGGAGCTGCTGCAGTGCTCCAGTGAGTGTCGTCCTGTCATCGCAGTTGCTGTGTTTATGTCCCGTAGTGGCAGAACTTGTTTTAGGGTTTGTGTAAAAGCTCTTTACACGTGCCGCCTCGCTCTTATCCTGCAATTGGGAAAGGAGGAGTGCTGCTAAGCATCCACGTAGAGACACCGATTACAGAAATGTTGTTGTTTGGTTCGATACCAATCATTTGGTGAATCACTGGGATTTCCTTTGTTTTTGTCCATAGACTGTTTCCTCAATGTGCACAAAAACTGTCGAGAGTCTGTGGCAGCCTGTGGCAAGGTAAACACCAACATCACACACTCCTCATGTCAAACCACCACCAACCCAAATACAATGTAGTATCTTTTTAAGACCATTTTAAGAATGTCTATCTTATGGGAAAGTCTTTCTCCACCATTTAAGGGCCACCATCAGTTATTCCTGTATTCTATAGCTTTACTCCATAAGGTCTTCTGTGGCTGAGGAGGAAAACTGCTTATCTCATATTGTGTTTGGAGACTAACAAAATAATGCTATAGATATCCATCCATCGTCAAACCGCTTATCCTGCACACAGGGTCGCGGGGGGGCTGGAGTCCATCCCAGCCAACTTCGGGCGAGAGAGGGGTTCACCCTGGACTGGTCGCCAGCCAATCGCAGGCGACCAGTCCTCTAGATATGATGACCATAATAATGGGTGTTGTTGGGTCTGGCTCAATTGGTGCTTGAATCACACTAAGGACTTAAAGTTAGAATACTGAAAATGTTCGGATGCTTAACATCCCTGGAGAACCTGTTTACTAGATGACTGTATTTTGGAATAAAGGGGCGTCGGAAACAAAAGAGCGCATTCCCGTTCCGGCAAAACATTGGCCAAGCGAATTCTTTAAATAATTCAAATCATACGTGAACCATTGGCATGTAGGCAAAGAAAGAAATCCGCTTTTTTATTTCTCTATGTGTCTTGGGGTCGATGTCACCAGAACAGTCTGTGAACGTCCTTGACCACCGGTGGAGAAAAGCTCCACTGGCTCCCTGAGCCAAACATCTGCCACTCTCAAGCTATTCAGACTCTGAAACCAATAAGTTCACGCAGGATCTGCAGACCTGCGGGCCCAGCGGCCTGAGGCGCGTGCCGCTCAGCTCCTCCCCGCCGCCCTTCCCCGTGTTCCATGACACACTCGCCTGTGCACTCTCATAAAGGCCAACCAAAATACATAAATCAGCGACAGGCTGAAAGGGAAGCGGGTACAACAGGAAGACTTAAATTCCACCAGTGGTGACAAAGGAACTTGCGGAATGTGTTTGAAGACGTCAAACCGGCGCCGGGTAACAACGCGCGTGACAAGGGTGGTCTTATTGTTTGTGCACCAGTCGGTGTTGAGTGAAATGGTCGCCCTGCTTCACGTTGTTCGCGTGGCTCGCAGTGATGTGATTATGTGTCTCCTCAGAAGCCGCAGGAGAGGAATGCGTTGCTGCTGAAAACCAAGACCATGTCTCTCCCACACAGTGAGTCAAATATTACAGCGTGCCCCCTCTCCTCCCCCCTTCCCATAGTGTGTGTCCTCCCTTGGTCTTTGATTAAGTTTTCACCTGTCCTCCCTTGTTTCCCCTGCTGTCATGTAAGGATCCCCTCCCCACTCTCCCCTGTGCGTGTTGTTCTTTCCCTGGAAAAAAAGTTACATTTTAATCCGTCTCAGTGGGGGGCTCTGGTCTGGATTGTGTGTGTGTGTCTGTGTGTGTGTGTGTGTGTGTGTGCGTAGGCGCTGAACTCGAGTTGCCTACCTCGCACTGAGGGGAGCTTTTATTTCCCTGACGTGAAGCTCGGTATCGTCCGAGTGTTTGATGTCCGACGAGGATGTCGAGGTCAAACACGCTCAGCGTGCATTACGGCAACAAGTGTCCTGAACAATGAAAGCGTCCTCACAGCTTCATGGGGTCACCGCTCTCTGGGACGACATCAGCCAAGGGACAGCACGGATTATTCATCTGTGGAAGGAGAAAGTGTGACTAATTCCTCTTCCCTCTTCCTCTGTTGTCCCCAGACTCTGTGAAAGACAACTCTCCGTCCACATTCTGCTCCTCTGCTTCACTGCCCACGACGACCAGGGAGAAGAGAGAGACCGCAGGCCCTCTGTCCAAAAGCTTCTCCGTCTCCATAGACAGCAGGTAGGATGTATAAATGCATCCCTCAGGTGCTTCTAAATACATCATTCCAGTGGAAACACTGAACAGACGTAGTCCAGACCGGTTCTCAAATGCCGACGTGGATGTGACTGTAGTTCAATGCAAACGCTCGTTGTCATTTCTTCCTTTTTTTGCTTTGCATAATTCAAACAATACAAAATAAACAAACAATATAGAAACAAATGAATACATGCAGGAAGGAGAAGGGGAAGAAGCAGGAAGAAGGAAAAAGCCTCCACCTATATACTATTCAAATATTTTACCAAATCACAAACATAAAACAAAATATGCACCAAAAGAAAAGGAAAGAATGAAAAAGAAAGTAATTGTGTTGCGCGTCTATGTGTGCATGTAACAGTAAGCATTGGCTTGGGAGGTTGGATTGTACCCTTGTGGTAATTCATAAGCAATGAATGTTCACGAAAACACCTCCTAACAAACTCACTTTGTCCCTGCAGGCGGCTGAGCGACGCGGGGGGGCTGGGCGGGGAGGGCGCCGTCACGGCTTGGACTAACGGCGCGGTGGCTGATGAGGGATCGCCGGCCACGGCGACTCCAACATCCACCGAGCTGCCGACCGCCACACCAGGTGAGAAAAAGAGCAGCTTGCTACGCGTTTCGTCAACATTGAGTTAATAATGATAATGCAGTAGTGGCCACATGCTATGAGTTTGTGGTTCACTCAGCCAAAGGCTGTGCATCATTTATTTAAAAAAACAAAAGAAAGCATAAAGAATATCCTCTAACTGTCTCTCCAACACTGGTGCATGCTAGTCCACCTGCAACAAAAGACTACAAGCCACATTTTGAAGTAAGATGAACAAACAACATAACATAAAATAACATTTTCAGATTAAAATGTGCCATATTATAAACGTGTGTTTTTAGAAGGGATTTGAAAGATAGCTTAATTTTCTTGGATAAAAGTCAAAAAGTCATTTCCAAAGTGCAACCATGGGAGCCTGATCTAAATCCACCTTTTTAGTGCTTTAAACTCAATTGGTACAATCTTCCAATCAAATCTGAATCTTGCTGGCGGGAAGTTCAGATTTATGTACTCACGGGCCACTTTATTAGGTACACCTCGCTAATGAAACGTTGGACCCCCTTTGCCTTCAGAACTGTCTTTATTCTTTGTGGCATATTTTCAACAAGGTGTCAAAAACTCTCCTCAGAGATCTTGGTCCACGTTGACGTGATTGACAAATTGGTCGGTTGCACGTCTATGCTGCGAATCACCCGTTCCACCACATCCCAAAGAGTGTACGTGAGGTTTAGTGCCAGAAAAGAAGTTGAGCGACATCGCTTCTGGACAGGCTGGAGAGAGATAGATTTCGAGAGGAGAAAGGAGAAAGACGTGGTGCACCGTTTCTGTCCCACACAGATGGCGTGGACGCTCCCTTGATGAGCGGCCTGTCCGCTGAGGAGCTGGGCCTGGAGGTGGAGTCCTGGAGTCTGGCGGTCAGCCCAGAGTTCTGCCGGCAGCACGACAGGCACACCATCAAACGGCAGGAAGTCATTTACGGTTGGACAATTCCTCTGAATGTAGCTTAGTGCGCCGTGTTTACTGAGTCAAACCTCAGCGGGTGGAGCCAAAGGATCACAGGACAACGATTTGCCTTTTTGTGATCCCTCCATCCACTGTTCTGGCCCCTCCCACTTAGAGCTGATGCAGACGGAGCTGCACCACATCCAGACCCTAACAGTCATGTCGGGGGTGTTCCGGAGAGGCATGCTGGAGGAGCTGCAGCTCGACTGGGACTGCGTGGCTCGAATCTTCCCCTGCCTGGACCCCCTGCTGCTCTTTCACAAGAACCTCTTCGGAGCGCTGCTGGAGCGCCGGCAGGCCGCCGCCCACACCGACACGCCCGGCGATTACCTCATCCATCAGATTGGAGACATTCTGCTCCAGCAGGTCGGTTGGGACGGTTTCCCGCACACAAGCGGATAATGTATCCGTTCGCCCGCTCACGGCGCCTCTCGCTCAGTTCTCAGACGAATACGCCGAGGAGATGAAGCAGGTGTACGGAGAGTTCTGCAGCCATCACACCGAGGCCGTCAATGTCTTCAAAGAGCTGCAGCAGCAGAACAAAAAACTGCAAAACTTTGTCAAAGTAGGCACCTGCTTCCAGACCTCTTAAGCGCTTCCCAGTAGAATGTCTGTGTTTGACCAGGGACTCGTTCTCTTCACAGCAACAGAGCAACAACACTCTGGTGAGGCGGAGAGAGGTGCCAGAGTTCATCCTGCTGGTCACTCAGCGCATTACCAAGTACCCGGTGCTGCTGGAGAGGATACTACATTACACCCGGGGTACGTCAGCTCTCTGAACATCTTTTCGTAGTGTAAAATGTTCATATTTTGGCCATATTTTCTGTTTTCGTTTAAATATTTGGGATGGAAAGTACCACGGCGCAACTAGAGATTGTATGAACTAAAGAAAGAGATCATCTCCTGAGCTAAACAAAGTACTTACATAAACTAGGCTTTTGCAAATGGAGACTGGCAATTTCATTTTGCTGGATGTTTGAAAGCAATTACCAATTAGCTAACTAAAGAGAATCAAGCCCCATAGACTTTATTTGTAAGCAGCGGGCGGGTATTTCTTTATGAACCTGTGTAGCCTTGAATGCCCCTCGCCTTTCCCCTCTACAGAGGAAAGTCAGGAACACGCTGACCTGTCCAGGGCTCTAGCCCAGATCCGCAACATCATTGCCGCAGTGGACCTGACGGTGAATAGGCACGAGAGGTGTCAGGAGCTTCAGGAAGTGCTGGTGCGGCTGGAGAACAAGAGCTTCGCCAAGCTAAAGAACGACAAGGTGTTCCGCAAACAGGACCTGCACAGCCAGCACAGGGTTCTGCAGTATAAAGGGCTGGTCTACTGGAAAACCGCCACGGGACGGCTGAAAGGTGAGCGGCACGCCGTCTGGACCGCAGGATCTTTTGAGTTGAACCGAGCTCCAATCCAAACGTCTGTTGTCTTCCCTTTTCAGACACTCTGGCTCTCCTGCTCACTGACGTTCTGGTGTTCCTACAAGAGAAGGATCAACGCTTCGTGTTTGCTGCGGTGGTAAGAAGTCTTCGCAATCAAACCACTTATATTTCCCCATCCTACAAATCATCCACACCGGTTTAATCTGCTTCTTGTTTCAGGACCAGAAGCCACCTGTAATACCTTTGCAAAAGCTCATTGTTCGAGAAGTAGCCAACGAGGAGAGAGGGATGTTCCTCATCTCTGCCTCCTCGGTGGGACCGGAGATGTATGAAGTCCACACCAACACCCGAGACGAGAGGAACGCGTGGATGAGACACATACGACAGGCTGTGGAGAGGTGTGTGTCCACAGTGTTTGTCAGGGCTTCTTCTTAGTGAGTCTGCGTGTGTGCACGCCTAGTTCATTTAGGTTAGTGTGTCACCTAACCTACTGTTCTGCCCGGCAGTTGTCCCGAGGAAGAGGAGGAGGAGGAGCGAACTGCCGAGATTGAGGAGTCCAGGCGAGTGGCAGAGCTCAGAGTTCAGAAGATCTCCAAGTTCCAAGGTGAGAACATTTCCCCTGTCCACCGTCCCCCGGGAGACCCACCACCCTCCCCGGGTCCTGATGCCAGTGTTCGCTGTGTGCAGAGATGCTGTCGGGTCAAGACCAGCTAATTTGCAACAGCCTGGAGGAGAAGTTACAGCTCTATGCCGAGCTCACGGAGTTCACCCTCCGCTCTCCAGAACCCGTTCCACACCGCCACCTGGTGCTGGCGGACCCCGACGCCGAGACGCCGCGACAGGCCTCGGCACTGCTCATTGCGGCGCTCAGGGAAGGTGAGAGCGTTGCTGGACGACGAGGAGTTGCTGTACATAGTTAACACACATGAGCATGGTTAAGTTTCATTAGTGTCTTAACCTACATGAAATATTGGCAGACTTTTTTTAGTTATACCTCACATTGTCTTTGCATGTGCAGCCGTACCGTTGTGATGCACCTTTCAGAGCTGTTTCACAGCAGTTATTTAGACACCTCATGGCATGCACAGCACAGTTGCAACTACAGTTTTCAGGCCCCTGTTGATGTGAATGAACCTCGGTAACGACTTGTTAAAACGATCATTTAATTTAATACAGGCCTTCTAATTGTCTAAACATTGGCCTGCTCCTTGTAAAGTATCCTGCCTTATTGTGTGTTTAAGATCAGCGGCATGGCTTCCATGTTACACAAAGAGCATCGATTACTTCCAACCCATTTATGTATTTTGGAGTTCAGACCTTAGCTCGGATAAAAGAGGTGGATATCGTCACTGTGAGGTTACCTATCCATTTGTGAATTGGTGTTTTAAAGGCTTGTTCGGCATTTTTGCCGTTGCCATCCTTCTTTTTTTTCAAGAAGGTGGAGCTTAGGACAACAATTCTCTGAATATGACATTTTTCAGGTGGCCAAAAGAGACAAGATAAGACAAAACTCTTGTGAGGGCATGCATGACTTTTAATCAAATGAGAGGCATCTCGGAGAAGCTCAAAAACAGATTTATATGTTTTAATAAACTGTAGGTTTGTGTTCATGTGAAAATGAAACCTGCCAGAACACTCTCACAGGTTTTGCTCCTTCCGCAGCGGAGAACCTGATCTCCGTCCTGCAGAGTCGGGACGGCCTTACCGTAAAGAGTGCCGGCTACCCGGCCCAAGGACCAGAGTGCTGCGGCTACGACAGCCGGGGGAGCAGCGTGCACGAGTCTCCATCTGAGCGTGAGTCATTTTGGGACGCCCACGCGGCACCGCTCGGTCTTCACCGATGCAGGTGAACGTCGGCGTGACGTTTGCTTCTCGTTGCCACAGCGGATTACCTGAGCACTCTCAGCATAAGCTCCGCCTCTCCCGGGTCAGACGGCGAGCTGGCGGGGCTGGACGGCGCACTGTGGAGCCCGGCTGTAGAGCTGAGTAGAGGAGACGCCAAAGGGACGCTGTTGAAGGTTAAACCGCCGCGCCCCCCCCCCCCAACGAGCAATGATCAGTTAAACCTGCATTGTGACTTTCCCTGTAATAACACAGCCTTTCTGTAGGTGGCAGAGAGCGTTCAGAATCTGACTCAGCTCCTCTACAGTCTGCAGGTGAGGAAGGTCCCATGCGCTGGATGCACGGGGTGAGTGTCTGCAGGCTGATCACGTGTCTCCTCTCTGTGCTGGCAGGCTGCCGTGACCGTCCAGGACAGCTGCTATGAAGTCCAGAAGCTCCTCCTCCTGGAGGGAGAAAGACCTCAGCTCCATCTGGTATCAATCAAATGATATTTATACCAAAATGATATTTTCTTTACCACACGCATATCAGTGAGTTTTTTTAGGAGGAGCCTCTTTTTTGAAATGACGACAGGGTTTCCGTTGTCATCCAGGAGCAGGAGAAGCAGAAGAGTGTCGATAAGAAGAAAGAGGAAGTAGAGAAGAGGGGTTTAGAGAGGAAGAAAGAGGAGGTGGATGAGGTGCAGAAACTCCACGTGAAGCTCAAACAGGTGCAGCAGCGTTGGGACAAAGAGTGTCTGGCCAGAGACAAACGACAGGTAGGCCTCGTGCCGACACACTCACATTTGTCCCACTTATTCTGCCTCTGCTTGTAGATTTCACATCCAAATTCAAGCTGGCGCAGGTAGAGCGTCGACTAAGTAATTAACTAATAGAAACAGTGAGACGGTGTAAAAAGAGAAGACCTATGACCTGAGATGGGTTTACAGATCGTTGGTTTGTGCTGCTTGTTCTAACTACCTTTTCCCTTTAACCACAGCTGGGAGTTATTGCTTTTTACTTATACCGCTACTTTTCCAAATATCTGCAACACAACTACAATACAACATTTCTGTCGGGTTTACTCTGTGAGAATCTAAAAACAGGATTATAATTGAACAAGAACCCTGCTGTTCTTTCTCACACAGTCACATCACAATTTGCATTTTTTCTTTGATATGAGTAGGAGACGTTAAGGTGTGACTTTTTAAAGGCCTTGACCAGCTCAGTTTATTACGCTCTCCTTAGTATTACTAAGAAAGTATTAACATTTGTATAGAACCTTCCTTTATTGTCTAATAGTTTTTATTGTTTTTTACACTTGTGCATGTAGCTTTAGGACATGAAATTAACGTGTGCAGAAGTGAAAGAGGTAGGGAAATAAAAGTCAGGCAGATTAATAACTACAAAGTACAAAAAATAGAAATAAAATCATGATAGCCTGTAATAATATGTATTTTTAGATATGATCAAATGTATAAAGCACTAAGTTGACCAGGACCCCCCCCACGATACCTCCCTTCCTACAAGATAGAACAACAATAGTAGGGAAAACACAAACATCGCGTGCAAGCAGGAACCAACCGTAATCAATCACACATAATAAAATGAACCCATAAATAAGTTGTTTGGGTTGATCCATTAACCCTGCATATCTAACAAGAATATAAAGTTGCACTGATGGCTCTAACGACAGGAGATAAAGGATAAGCTTCATGTGAACAATGTCCCCAGTGCGAGCAGGAGAGTGTGCTGGAGCAGCGGGAGCACCGGTGCCTCCTAGAGGCCGAGCGGCTGCGCTGCGAGCGCGAGGAGCTGGAGGCTCAGCTGCTGGAGTACCAGCAGAACCTGGAGCGACTGAAAGCGGGCCAGAGGAGCGTGGAAAGGGAGAAGGAGAAGATCGAGGCCCAGCAGAGGCTGCTGCAGCGCTGGAGACACCACCGCCAGAGCAGCCTGCCCATGACCATTCCGCTGGATGGGCACAAGGTGAAGGAAGAGAAGGAGAAGGTACGCGAATGAATGGAAGCTGAGGAATTACACACACAAACGTGTATCGTTTTGATGTCCCAGGTGTCCGGCCACAGCCGCTCGGGCAGCCTAGACGGCAACCTTTGTGTGTACGAGAACGAGGCCACCGTGCTCGCATGCCTCCAGCAGAGTCACCCCCCCCGCCGCCGCCCCGCTGGCGACAACCAGCAGCAGCATCTGCTCTCTGCCGCGTCAGGCAAGAACTGCGCCGCCAACCTGGGCCTCAGCGCCAGCCTGTACAACAGCCTCAACACCCTGCTGAGCCAGGCGCACGGCAAGCCGCCTGCGGATGGTCCCACGTGCCCCCGGCCCCTCAGCGGCAGGGTCAGCACCCAGCAGCACGTGACCCACAGCGGTAAGTGCGCTGATGCCCCCCCCCCACCCCATTCTGCATACAGTGTGCTGCTCGGTAACATCAGCTCTCCCCACACACCATGTTGTTCTCCCTCTTGGCAGACTTCAGCGTGCCGATGGAGAGGCGCTCCCCGGATCCCTGGAGTTCAGAGGTCACCGGACACAGACTCTATGAGGATGGCTACTCCACGTCTCCATCTCTCATGCCCCTCCTCCCCCCCCACGCCTACCTCTCTCTGGAAGGAGAGAATGGGGAGGAGGGATGCGAGGAGAACATTGTTTATCTCTGAGAGCCTGCGGCGGATCTGTGTGTGTTTGAAACGAGGGAGTACACGGAAATATGTGTGCCTTTATCAGCGTATGTGGTGGCCATTAATCGTCCTCCTCCTGCCTATTGAAACCGCTGTGCCTTTTTGCGGACCGATAACTTTAGCTTTAACACGCATGTTTTTTGTATGCCCACTGATTCTTTTCAGCTTCCTTTGCACTTGTTTGATGGCAGCGGTGCATCCGTACCCCGAACACCGGAACCCACAGCAGGGTTATCAGTATTTTTACCATGAGCACTTAAAAGTAAACCGTTATTTGGAAAGCCAATGGAGCCCTTCCCCTGATGTGCACAGTGCTGTTACCTCTCATGTGATCTTTGATAATATTTATAAGGGATTGTAAGCATCTAAAAGACATTACCAGTATACTGAGGTTGTTTTATGAAGATTAAATATATCTACAGTTTTATGGAAAAGCTACCTATGCACAGTATCGTGGAAGAAGAACTTATATTTCTATTATTATTGTCATTATTATTATTTCATTCCCTCAAGTGCCAAAAACGTGCTGTCTGATACTGTAAGTGATTTGTGGAAAAGAATTGCTGTGTGTTTTCCTTTCTTTTCTGATAATTTATTGTGTGTAATTTGCTTTGCGCACCGTCGACGTTCATCATCTTTTTGTTATAATCTCTATAATCAGATTTGCCTTGTATTAATGTTGTGCTGTCTATAAAAAACTATCGCAGCAAACATCTGTGTTTCTGTGTATTTTGCCCGTGCTGTTAAATCAGTTTGACATTTACGATCTTCCTTTTGTGCAACGCCCTCCGTTACGTGTAGCAGGCTGCCCATAGCCTCAGACTCGTGGGGCTTTCAGTTTGTGCACATGTGCAGCGGCTGTCGCTCTGGTTTTGCCTTCTTATGCACTAAAAAGGATGCAGAGTTTCACAACACCCTTTATTTACCTGCTGTGGTCGCATCTAATCTGTTTTATGGATCACAAGGGAAGCTGCTCGAACTTAGGTGAGTTTATTTAGTGCAACATTTCTGAAGTGTACAACTCCCTTCAAATGGGCCCTGCATCTCTACGTGCCTTGTGTGTGCCAGTTCTGCAGCCTCTAGGGGCGCGCATCGGTCCTCTGCCGGCTGACAGCGCCCGGCGGAGCCTCTTGCTGAGCTGGCGGGTGAACCACAGCGACTTAGTGGGCAACGTCTACGAGATCCAGATCCTCCGCGCTGGAAGCCATGCTGTCGTTTACAATGTGAGCCGCCTGCTGAAGGATTTGTGATCTGGGTTTTGGTGCTGTTTAAAGGCTCTACACAGTGGCCGTTTTTGTGTCATTGTCCTACTTTCAACAGCATTGGCTGTGCAATTCATGCTTGTTTTTGTTTGTGTTGTTATTCCAGAGAAATCTCAGTTTACCACCTGTGGAGTCTGATGCTTACACGTGGACGTGGACCTCCGACATCCCTCTGGAGTGCGTGGATCACTTGGCCAGGGTGCGACAGTTCTACAACCGGTCCGTCCCGGGTTCTTGGAGCGACTGGGTGACCAACTACGGTGAGGCGACTCTGGCCTCGGTGCAGGCGAGCAGAACCAGATATTGCCAATACTGTGACAGTGATCAGGAGCTTTCACTTCCCTTCCACCAATCCTATCCTCCATCAGTGTTTCTCAACTGTTGCATACACAATGTTATTGCACATTCTACTCATCATCCATTGGGGGTTGACTAGATATTCTCGAGCCTGTTCTGTGACCTGCAGGAGCCCGGGCCCAGGATAAGGCCCAGATGTTCCCCTCCCAGAGGGTGCTGAGGGAGAACACCAGCGTCGTGTTCTGCTGCGTTCCCCAGAGAGGAGTCAATGTTACCAAGATGACCTTCAATAACCGGGAGTACCCTCTCCTCAGCTTCGGGGCCAGTCGAGTCAAGGCCATAACTGTGGATAACTTGAGAATCCCGACGACCTTCATCAAACGCCATTCAGTCTCCTGCAGCGGTGCAAGAGGTCAGATCGGTCACACCTTCAACTACGTGAGCTGTAAGTATGTGTAATTCATCTTTTTTATTTTACCAAAGATGTTTTTACATTTTTACGTGTGTGTGTGTGTGTGTGCGTGTGCACCGCAGTTCCTCCCCAGAGGCCTAGAAACCTCCGATGCACCACCTCAGACCTGGTTCATGTGGTTTGCAGCTGGGATTCAGGCCGACAACGAGACCTATACGATCGCAGCAAGCAAACGCACACTCTCCACATAGAGTGAGTGCACACATTAACATTCTATTTAGCTCATTTGTTTTTCCCTCATCTTTGATCAAATCACATGTTCAAACTTATATTTTGGTGCCCAACTTGAGCGACACATCTCAATGTTACTCTGCTATGAGGAGAAATAGTCAATGCATTGTGGTTGCGGCCGTTGTATACAGTAGAAAAAGCAAAGTTCATAGTGAGCTTTTATGTTCTCCGTCATGTCATATTTCACTTTCAAGAGTCATTTGTATTACTATGAAGACCGTTAGAAAGCATTCTCTGCTTTGTGGTCTCTAGACGGACCCTCATTTACTAAATGCATATCATGCTGCTTACGTTGTGTGATGTAAGCTACGCTAACTGTGACATATTTCCAACCCCCCTACTTCTTTGTGAAAACAGAAACTGGGCCCGGGGACCCATCAGCTGTGCGTGGTCGTCTTGTACTTTCGCAGCCTCCCCGCAGCGGGAACACTACAACATCACTGTGGTGGTGAAGAACCAGCTGGGAGAGGAGACGGAGAGCTACAGCTTCAACATATCTGACCACCTCAATCCCGTGGTTGAGGTGGTCATGGTGAGCCCTGGGGTGTCTCAGGCCAATGTCTCCTGGGCCATAACGGGGAATTTCACCCGACTGGACTTCTTCTGTCAGGTCACCACCGACCCAGGCAGCATTACTCTGGTGAGTTTAATCCGCTTCATCTAAAAGCATCGCTGTGACATCGTTGTGACATCGTTGTGTGTTGGTTCACTAGACAATTTATGTTTTTTTTCCCCAATTTCCTCAAATTGAAATGTGTTTAAATACACAGTATATGGACCAGTTGCTCCAAGCCTCATCACACAAAGAGTCGCTCATTCTCATTTCCACACTTATGTTTCAAATGCAAGCGTCAATTTGGATAGCTTGTATGTTGATTTCTCAAAATGTCTACCGTCTCTGTTTGTAACAGTGGAGTTGCAAAAGCAGTCTCTGCCGAGTCAGACTGGAACATCTGCTTCCAAACAGCTGCTACTCCATGAGGGTCCGCTGCTCTTCCAGCGGGACGTTCTGGGGGGAATGGACCCCGCCTGTGTCCTTCACCACCTGTATGTATCACCAGGGCAATGTGTTCAAGCTCAATTGAGCTTAAGTCCAGACCAGACAGAAAATGTTCTAGTTAGGACTAAATCAGGCACTAAATGACGTAATGGATTCATGATAGCAGACGCGAGACACATAATTCATTTTTCTCTTTCTCCAATTCCTTCCATGTGTTAATCGGACGAGAAACGGTTGAGCCAACAATACAAGTCCTACATATGACAAATGTAAATCTACTTAGTAGGTATGAGTGGGCTGCAATGATCTTTATGCGACGGATGCCTGAACCAAACACTGTCTCTGATCTCCTCAGATCCCATGGTGACCTTGGACGTCTGGAGGAGAATAAAGCGGCTGTCTGGCCCGAACACTCGTCAAGTCACTCTACTGTGGACTGTGGTGAGACTCTTCCCCCCCAACGTGATGCATTTAACGCATGATAGGAATAGGAATATACTGCGTGTCACCACAGCAGCGTGGCCCCGCCCCTTTTGTTCTCAGCATGCTCCAGGCTCAGCAGCCCCGGTGCACATCCAGGGCTACGTGGTCCAGTGGTCACAGGGGGGCCAGAACCGAGCCGAGTGGCGAGTGGAGAGCGGCGGACACACCCGGGCGGAGGTCTCCGTCGACGCCGGTCAGCATGACATCACCGTCCAGGCCGTTGTCCTCACTGGCTCCGCCGTCCCCGCTCACATCACTGTCCCCCAGAGCGATGACGGAGGTGAGATTAGCCTCCATCCTGTCCTAGCGTCTCGGGTTCTACCCTCACTAGAACTCTTCTGGTTGCAGCGGCACAATCTGAAATGTGCTCCTCTGTCCAGAAACCGTCCCAGCGAAGAAGCGGTTGAGCAGCAACGCAGACGCTGGTTTCAACCTGTCCTGGCACGATGCAGACAGCGCAACCTGTGGCTACACCGTGGAGTGGTGCGTCCTGGGACGTGCACTGCCATGTACCGCCGTGCAATGGCTGAAGGTGCCAGAGGGAAACAATACACTTGTCCTATCTCCTAGTAAGTTGGTGTTGTTTTCTTTAAGTGGTCTGTACATTTTTTGAAGATTTGAAAAAGGAAAATTGTCTTTCTTTTTTTCAGGACATTTCAAAGCAGGTTGCAGGTATACATTTAATATCTATGAATGTACAGAAAAAGGACACCGACTTCTGGAGGTACAGACGGGATACTCACAAGAGCTCCGTGAGTGCCACAGTGTGTCTTTATCAGAGGACGTCCCCACCGTCTTTCCTGTTTGTCAGATATGCAGAGAGGAGGTCGAAGGGACGAGAGCACATGCGATTAATATGCCGTACCTGTTGCCTGACACCAGTTTCCTCTTCGTTCAAAAAAGACGTTAACCACGGAAGCGATGGAATCAAACCTTTAGCGTGATGATTGTGAAGCTCGTGACATCAGCGTGACCACACGGGCGTCTTTTCAAAAGTAGAGGAAGTTGGGTTTGTGATTGAAATCTGTTGTTTTGATTCCATCTGTCAATGTCCTCAGAGTTTGTAAAGTCCCCGGGGTTGATTGAACCCATTCAGAGCACCTCGTCATCGGTGACGCTGGAGTGGAGTTACAACGAGGACGATCCGGCCCACCTGGGATTCATCACGGGTTATCTGGTTACAGCACAGGAAGTAGGGGCTGCTGGGCGCAAAGGTAGTTACTGTGGATCTTTACCTCCTTTCTTGTAAAACAAGGAAGGAGGTACTTACACTCTCGTCTACATTTAGATCTTTTCAACGTGTCCGTGGCCGACCCCTGCAGGAAGTCTGTGAGCATAGACGGTCTGCAGCAGAACCAGGAGTACGCTTTCTCAGTGAGCGCTCTCACTAAGCAGGGGCCCGGAGAACCAACCACGGTCACTATCAGGACCTCAACCAACTGTGAGCACCTGAACATCCAGTGTAATCAGAGAGTTAAAACACCATTACACGGGTTAGATTCCCTGACTACAGACTTTTTTTTTTCGTGGTAGATTCTACTCGGTGCGCCAAGATACTGACCCCCATCCTGTTGCTGCTGGGCTGCGCTGTTCTCACGTGGCCTCAAAGAAAAATGTATGTCACCTCATTTTTAAGTCTCTTTTTCTACTGTATACAACTTCCTAGTCTTGAGACTGGAAGAAGCAGGACTTGTGGTGTCTCACTTTGCAATTCAAAGTATAAGTCTGGTAGCTGTCGGGGTTTTATGAGGCAGTCCAAGGAGATGGCGCGTCCCCGCCCCTCCCCGGCTAAGTGCAACGGCGTTGTGTTTCTCTTCCAGGCTGAAGAAGATATTTGCTTATCCTGCTGGTATGAACATCAAAATCCCCGAGTTAGACAGCTTCCTGCATGAGGTATGAACCAGTTGAATCCACTCAGTGCAGAGAACAGCTAATTAACTTGATCAGGTGTTTTAAATATATGGGATTTTCATAAATTTGTGAGGCTTGTGCATCGTCTTAAATTCACTCACGTTAATCATGGCAAAGGTACTGGATCCAAAAAACAGAAATTGCATTTCTGCATTACATATAATGCTTTGGGCATGTTCTGCACAGGCTGCTGAGCGGCTGCAGGCCCAGGAGGTGGAGCAGTGCAGCAGCTGTGATGTGGAGGTCCTGATCACCACGCCTCCTGTGGGAGGAGCTGAGCCCCGTCCCGGGTCGCTGTCCCAGGTTCCGCTCCACACAGGCTACTGCCCGCAGTCGGTCACGTTGCTCTGGGATAGGCCGGCCCTCCAGCCAACCACATCCGTCACAAATTAGACTTATCTGCTCACACGGGAGGGTTTTTGTGAGGCTCCAGAAGCTCTGATCACTGGAATGCCATCCCAGTTTGGACCAGTTAGCCTGCAGGAGTCCAGCAGGGTTTCATATGCCTACATCGCCTACGATGGGTGCAAAGTGAAAGAGACGGAGGACATGTTTGAAATACTTTGAATAGATTTTTTTTTTTAAGACACAAGGCTTTTCAATGTAAATACAGGAAGCTTCTCTAAGGTTGCCACATGTTAAAATGCAGTTTATCCAAACAAATTGTATATGGAGCAGAAAACACAGCAGTTGATGTGGACAGTAGTCCAAAGTGGAAGTGAATACCACAAGAGGAACTTACTTCAAAGAGGTTTGAGATGTTATCTCAGCTACTGGATGCCACTTTCAGCTCCCATAATGATGCTGAACATTGGAATATTTTTACCAACTGTAACTTTCATGACAATATCAGATATTCTATGCTGTTAACATTTTAGGAAAATAAAACTAATGCTTCGCCGATATGTTAAGTGCTTTGTGTTGCAGATCATAATCCCACATATTGACGAACAGGCTGCAATCGTTGTAAGTGCAGTTTATTAAACACACAGAACCGGTTTATGGCAGGAAATAAAATGACAGACAATAACTGGTGTTTTCCATCAAAGAATAACAGCTGTGTGACATTTATCCCTTTTCGTTGCCAATTAAGGTTAAAGATTGCACTGAATATGGATATTTACAGTTTTTACTACTTTACTATTTCATGAGTTTGAAGGATACATGGGCAATGTTTTATTGAACGGCCAAAAAGTGATGATTGCATATAAAAAAGGCAAGTTAGAAATACACCGTGTTCAAAAAGACAAACCACAAACCATTGAGTCTTTGAACGAATCGTGACTCGGTCACAGAAATATGTTCCTTGTTCCATTGCACTACATGTGGATTTCAATGCAGACAACAGAACACATTTGTAGAGTTCCGCAGCAGATCCTCATCTTGAGGTTCCCTTGATAAAGCACAGTTCACAGAAGAGCAGCAGGAGGTGACCAGCAGGTCACATCAGCATGCAGCTTCCAGTGAACAGCGCTTTGATATCTGTATCATCAGGAAGATCTCCCTTGCTGGCATTATTGTGTCACTTCTCGGATTCTTCTCTCAGATCTTATTCTTATTAAGTTTAGGTGGAGAAGCTTCTTCACACAGACGTCCTCCGTTTCACTCTCACCCTCACTTTGCTGTGTTTCCTGAACGGGAAACGCAAATGTTCACATGAGAAGTACAAAAAATAATAATAAAATGAATATGAAGCAGGGAAAAAAGTTGTGCGTCTTTCTTTGGATGAGCTGGGATGCAGAGCCCAGACATGCGACGCTAGATGGCAGGCCAACGGCCGCCAGCACGCGACAACACCGCGTGGACTCAAACTTAATTGGAGGTTGGGCGCATCTCATTACCGTAGTGGCGGTGACACCATGCACTTCCAGAGGACGGCGTACAGAGCGAGCAAAAGGGCAATGAACATGGTGGCTGCAATTGCACCTAGAAAGAAAAGAAGAAAAACACATGCACCCTGTGAGGACGCGTATGCAGAACAAGTAGTAATTATGATCATCAGAATGATCCTGTGAAGGAAACAGGTTTTATGACTACGCTCATTCATGCTTCTCATTTTCCCATCAATCAAACAGCACCAATCAAAGGTTGGTTATTCATTTAATTGAGAAAGTGTGGCCAAACGTGCCAAACTGGCAGCAAACAAAAACAAAAGTAAACGTTTTGATACTCTGGGAGAGGCTTGAAACCGTCGTTCGGCTCTGGGGAACTGACTGCTATGCAGGTGTTTGGATGTGTGTTTAAGGCCTGCAACCCGGCTGGACAGTTGTTTGGCAGTTGTTACAGCTCTATATAATCAATTGATTGATTGATTTTCCTCTGAAACCGCTCTTGCAGGCTCCAGGGACTTCCTGTTTGTGTCAAAGCGGGACTCACCAGGGACGATTCCACTGCTGCTGATGAAAGAGTCCTCTGTGAGAGAGGGACGAGTGGCAGCCGCAATTGAGCCTTGAGGGGCGAGGGGTCGACATAAATAGTTAACAGCTGATATAAAAATACAATACTTATGCCTATACTTATAACTGGAACATTAATGGGAATATAACAAAAGTCTTGAAGTAAAACCATTCTATTTAATAAACCCTATTATATGGAGTCCAAAGAGTGTGTAAATGTCTTGTACAACACCATAAAGAAAATGCAACTTCATTGCAAGGTATGTTGGACAAAAGTAAAATAACAAAAATAGCACATATTCAAACTCACCATTCTTCAGGTGAACACTGTGTAACAGCTGCAGTGTCACATCTGGCTCAACCATCTGAAAATGCAGAAATACAGCTGTGTTGTGGGGAAAAAAGTGAGAGAGAGAGACGGAGAGGCTGCTGGGAAACGAGCTGCCGGAAGTCCCGACTGAGTGGAAACAGAGCGCTTCAGGCAACAAAAGGAGACGGAGAAGACCGCCGCAGAGACCCATCACCTCTGCAGCTGGATGACAAACAGTTCGAGTCCCGCTGAACACAGACTCGTAAACAAGTTTTCAGAAAGCGTCTCCCGTCTTGGTGCATTGACCCCCCCCCCGTTAGATTCTCACCTCCGAGATGTTCCCGTCGTGCTCTTGTTTTTCTTCCGTCCACACTGGAAGCTGAAGTTCATCGGTTGGTGCCTTCTTCTCACCTCAGCTGTGCGCGGAGGCGCGCCTCTCGTGCTGCGTTCAGGGACTTCTTTTATGAAGGTGTGACTTTAGCTTCCTCTACTCTTAAAGAAGTCAGCAGCCTCGCGCCATGCTGTGTACCTGCTAAGCCTACGTATTTTTCTGTTACTCAACGTGAGGGTATTTCGATTTAGCCGTCTCAGTTATAGATTTGTTTGGTATAAAAAGGATCTATTGTTTATATTTCAAATTCATATATAATAATCTTTGTTTACATGTGGGTCGAAACTCTAACCACTCCCCCCTCGGGACACTGGTCTGCTACACTCTCGGGTCATCCATGGAGCCCTGTTACTATTTATCTTTGCCATTTCCTACAACACGTAAAGACACATCAGTGTCTGGCCTACCTGTGTAAAGGGGGAGGAGTCACTGCTTCAAAGTAAGCTCAAGGAGACGTTATGGACCTGATACCACTTTCTAAAAAAAATGAAATAAAACAACTATAGACGTTTGTTTGTGCAGGGGGGTCGACGTTCAGCTTCTGTAGCTTGGAAGTCATTTGTAACATCTAATTTGTAATGTTTGAAAGAAACACACACACACAAGATTTGTATTACTGCAAATGAATAAATGTTTGCTGACCTTTATTTCGCTGATGTTTATGTTGACTCTTAGGATTTCAATATTACTTTTTTGTTTAAGCACATGGCTTAACCGCTTTTAATTGAATTTAAAATGACCGCAAAATGTTCCCCTCAGCCCGAAATATATCGTGCTCCGGATGATATAAATGAAATAGGATGACAATCTCTTTTATACGTTTTTAGTTATAAGCACAGTAGGTTGCTAAGCACAGAAGATAAGCTGGTCACACTAGCAGGAAATCCACGCGTAGGTCAGACTGTCCCCTTTTAGAGACCACTCGGTTCAGCCTTCATGGACCACGAAGGATCCAGCCCACGTTCACCGCAAAAGCTGCATCCTTCCAAGGATAAAGCCGCTGAAATGAGACTAACTAGTAATGACCAAAAACAAATCTGTTGAAGTTAATCTAACCTAGATTAAACGTTCAGTAAACAAAGTTCAGAGAATACAAAAAATGTTATTAGACCAGAAAGAACAGTTTATTATCTGAAGTCTTTATTTTATTTCTGCACAGACCAAATCCAGATCAGTTTTTAATGCAGATCGATTTAACACACCAATTTTGTTTAACTGGAAAGAAAAGAAACGAATCCCAGAAACAACCCCTGACCCGCTTCACATGGGAATTAGTCGTAACAGCAAATACAAAGGTCAATTTTAGTGTCCTTTAATAGAGGGCTCGCCTGTTATTCTCTCCTCTTTTAAAAGACAGACAGTCTGCAAACATATTGCACAATTTTTTTCACTGTAAAAGCAGAAAGAGCGATTCAGATCACATACACACACACACACACACACACAACGGTCCTCACGCACAGGCACTAAACATTGGTGCTGTATATCAGCCAATCAAACAGAAGTACTGCAGAGAAACATCTACACACAACTGAAGGCATCTCTTCATTTAAAACTGAGAAAGACATCTCTACATATCAAGTCTGCCACGGAGTGTGTTTAAGTCAGAGAGGGACATGAAATGCACTACATGTTCAGTTTGTCCTTGGCGAATCCGTCTCAGGAGAAGATGTCCCACATCCCATCATTGTGTTCACGGATTTTAGAGGTGCAGACGCTCACCTGCCTACGTGTTATATGTGGACAACCAGAGTGTATTTAAAAAAAATGTAAAAAGACCATGGCTACAATGCATTACATAGAAGAGATTAATTTACGAGCCCATTCGTCCTAGTGACAGGGGGGCTGCGCTGCAATAAGGCTCCGTCTATGTAGAAACATCTCACTACATTTCACATCCTCACACCTACGAACACACTCGCCCCACAGTGGGAATGTTTTAAGCTTTCATTTAATACGATGAGACAAGTGAAGAAAAAAATATCTAAGACGTCATGTAATTAGGTCATGTTTCCCTGGAACTCGTCGTTCAGGCCCACAGGGGCCTGAAGATGCCTTCAGAAAAAAAAGAAGAAAAAAAGGGGGGGGGGGGGCTTTGACATAATCTGATCCCAAGCGAGTGACGCATCTTGTGAAATGCAACGGAGATTGTCAGAAGAAGCACACCGGCGGTTAATACTCATTCAAGAACTGTAAAGGGACAACAAAATTAAATGTTTAAGAGACGCACTTCTGACGACACACCACTGATACACAACCTCACGCTATAGTGGCTCCAGCTGGCAGTTAAAGCACCACATGGACGTTTGAGAGGTTCAAAAAATATTTCAAATGGTACTTCTTCTGTATTCACCCCCCCCCCCCACTCCTTCAGTCCCAATCCGGACAAAGGAGACTCGGCTTCGTGGCGCTTCTAGTCTGTGCGGCATCTTTCCTTTCGTGGAGCTGGTGCATGTTGGGAGTTGCAGGAAAAGCAGAAAGAAGAGAGAGAGAGAGAGAAAGAAAGATAAAGAGAAGAAGAGAGGCCTGTCCCTGTGGCAGCTGCATCACATGACTTCACAGCACGAGTTCTGTTTCCGTGCCTGCGGAAGGGAAACAAGGCAGACACACACAAACAGTCAGGCATCAGAATACTTTACTGCCAGCAGGCTTTGAGGGCAGTGATGATGCGGCCAGCGGTCAGCACTCACAGTCTTGTAGAAGGCTTTGGACTGGGTTCCCAGAACCTCTGACTTTGAAACGAGGTCATCCAGCTTCTCTCCTCTCTCCAGCAGACTTTCCATGGTGTTGTGCTGTAGAAACATAACCAGTTACGACTTGTCAAGGGATCTGGAGATACGACGTCTCCGGTTTGATGTGAGGAACGTAAGGAGCCTCCAGCAGCTCTTCTGCTGTTTACTCGTCATCCAGCTGATCATGCTAGCGTTAGCTCGCTAATAGCAGCAGTAAAGCAGTTAGCAAGACTAAAGACACTTTTTTATTTACTCAACTTTTTTGAACCATTAATTTTTAAATCTGTTGTCATGTATATATTTTGTGATTTGTCCCAAATCGGTTATTGTTTACAAATATATTTGTATTTTTTGTACATTTTGATGCCATTTTAAATTAATCTAATATATTAATACTTAATATTATATTATAATATTATTATATACTAATACTTGCTGTATTTAGATCTGGTGTATACATTTACTTGGACTATGTTAATAATTCAATGAATGAGCTTCAAGTGAATGTGGGGGTGTGTTTGTGAGTGTCACTAGAGTTTTTATCCAATTCATCAAAAAAAAGAATCAAATGATTATCAAAACTAGAAAATGCATTTCCTGCTGAAAATGCGTTGGAATCCAAAAAGCTGAAAGCTGAACTGAATTTTTTAAAAATAACTGAAAATACAGAAAGTTGAATGGAATTTGAATACATTTGCTGAAATGAGATATTAGAAAAGCTGAAATTAATTTGAAATTGCTGAAAATACGGATATGGGAGAAGCTGCATGGAATTTCAATAGATTTGCTGAAATAGCAGAATTGAAAATGGCTGAAATAAATGTGAAATATTGCAAAAAAATACAGAAATGAATATTAAAACATTGCTGTTAATAGAGGCATAAGAAAAGCTAAATTATTTTAAAGAACTGCTGAAAATACAGGAAGTGGGGAAGCTGAATTTCAATAGAATTTCCAAAAAATACAGAAGTTGCAGGAGCTTAAATGAATTAAAAAAAATACAGAAATAACAAAAGTTGAGATGAATAAAAAGAGGTTTTAAATTGTTTGTAGTAATTTTAGTAGTAGTATTATTTATAGTTGTAATTGTGGTATTAGTAGTACTAGCAGTAGAAGTCGGTTTAGTATCAATAGCAGTAGAAACAGCTGGAATACTAATAGCCATAGTAGTATTTGTAATAACATTAGTAGTAGTTGTAGTATTAATAGCAGTAGAAATACTAGTAGTATGGTAGTAGAAGTATCAGTTGTAGTACTAGAAGTACTAGTAATATTCGTAGTGGTTGTAGTAGTATTTGAAAGAGCAATACGTATTTCAACGAAACTGCTTCATTCTGAGCTTCATGGTTAAGGTACAGATAATCATTGAGGCTTTTATTTTGTAATGATGGAATTAGGTGAGGGGGGGTTGGGAGACAGAATATTTGTTATTCAAACTAAGAAGTTTTTAATTAATAGGCCTCATCACAAACATTACAGTAAAAATTCCCTCCATGGGGCTTTTATTTTGAAATTATTGGATTGGGTGGGGTGGGGGGTGTAGATAGAGGGAGGGAGGGTGAGAGGGTGAGGAAGGGAGGGGTGGTGAGGAAGAGAGAGGGAGAGGTGAAGAGAATTAGACAGACTGACTGAGTGATTAACAGTGAGAGGTCAAGGTGGAAACATGATAAAGACACTCGTGTCTTTATCATATTGGTCTGTTGACAGAAAGCATAGCTGCGTCATGTGACTCCACTAATCAGGTCATAGGAGCAGCTGTGAGTCACAGACAGAGATACTGCAGCGTAGGGGTGGGAATCTCTTGGCACCCCACGATTCGATTCCGATTCAGAGGTCAACGATTCGATTCTAAACTGATAAAACGATTATCGATGCATCTCGATTTTCTAAATTTTCTGAAATCTGAGTTTACTACTCAGAGGTTGCTACTCACTTCCTACTTTATTTGATAATTAAAGAAAATCAAAAGATGAATTACCTTCTTTGTTCTTATTCACAAATAGGATTTTCTATCAACAATGCAAGAATCGATGCAGCTTGCATTTCAACACAATATGGAAGATGTAAAAAAAAAAACAGATTCATTTTGCTTTTAAATGAAGAAAAAGCTGCTGTTAGTCTCAGACCGGTCCGTATTTGTAAAATACCGGGAAAAAAAGTCTGAATCTGTACGGATCAACTTTTTGGAAAATCGAAATAATGAGATAAGATATGCGCAGGCTCCTCCATAGTTCGGTAAAGTTGGCAAGATATTCAGATTCAGACTGACGGACCGGTCTGCGAGCTGGACGCATTGCTCTTAATGTGCCGGTAATGATGGTAAATGATGGTTGTAGCTGGTTGTCATCTACGGTCCACTACGATTACCGAAGGGGGGCGTTTGTTTTTTGACATTTTATCTCATAATTTATCCCCTTACATTAGTGCGGAAATTCTATAGTTGTGTGAATGCATCACTCCAGCCAATCCAAAGACGAGGTTTATAACCAATCAGGTGTAGAGACCATGGTGACTGGCTCCGCCCCCTTACTGTCAAAAAGAAAAACAGCGAGCAGAGACTAACCTCGCGAGCGAGGAAGTTCACGCTCCACGAGCGAGCAAATATCTCGCGCGAGACGGACATTTTTTTTTTTAAATTCCAATTATTAACTTTTCTGAATCGAGACCGAATCGTTCTAGAGAGAATCGAGAGAAATGGAAAAATCGATTTTTTCCCCCCACCCCTACTGCAGCGTGTGTGTGAGGATCCACGGCAACGGCGCACCTGTGTTCATTAACAAGCTGCTGTAATGGCAGAGACAGGACAGCGAGTTACACAGAATCCACACCTCAAACAAGTGTCCTTTAGCGCAAAACTATAACAGCTATCTAAAAAATAAGACGTTTCTGCGAGACCCAAGACTCTACCGAAGGCATGATGTGATTTTTATGTCTGTCCGGTAATAAATACGGCTCCTGTCGCAGTTTACAAAACGCGTACCTTCTGGATTTTTTGAGAAATATGTCGCCAGATTTGTATTGGAGCCTATGGGGCTTTTGGCAGAGGTTGTGTCACTTTAATACTCCGGAAGCCAAAAGTAAAGAAATCTGGGATTCCATGAACACACTAATCCAATCAGCACAAGCCATCATTAATCCAAAAAAAAATTAAGCCTCAAAAGTGTATACTTTGGCTGTAAGCACAGAAGTTCCATATTTTTTTAAACAGATTCTGACGCTGCCCCACACTCTAGCCCTCGAGGTCTCCCTCTAACAAAACGCAATACACACTCATGTAAAACTCAGAAACGGAGCGAGAAACTAGTGAAACATAATCAGTGATTATGAAAAAAGTACAATAGATATCGACAAGCAGTTTTTTTTTCATAAAATAGTTGAGACTTGTGTCAACATTTGAAAGTTGAAATGGTGTCTGTAGTAGTGTTGCACGGTGTACCGGTACTAGAAAGGTATCGTGGTACCCATACGTTGAAAACAATACGGTTTTGAATATTTTTAGTACCGGTACTTTAAAAACGCATGCAATTGGAGCGCACTCACTGTTCCGCTCCGTGCCTGCACACATTGACTGCGCAGCTCTCACAAATGAAAGTCACCCGTCACGCAAAGCGAGTTATCAGGGGAGACGTGCCCTCGTGTAGCAGACTGCTCACCCATATACAGCCTAACACGATTAGCCTTAGCCTAGCTTAGCTCGGGTGACCAGACGTCCTCTTTTACCCGGACGCATTTTTTATGTCCGGGTATAAGAAGGACGTCTGCTTTGTCTTGTGTTGCACTTGCTTGATGTTTGACTGTTTGGAAAATTGTTGACTTGCTAGTTTGTCATAAACAAAGTTTAGCCGCTAGCAGACATCTCGTTAGCAATGTTAGCAAGCTTGTTATAAAACGCTTGCATATTGATGCTAGTAGTAAGTGCTCTCGAGTCGGCTTCTTTGTAATGTTATACGAATACTTTTCACTAAACCTTGGAGTGAGACGTTGGCGGTGAAGCTACGGCTGACGGGGGGGTGTAAGTTACGTACAGCGAATCGAGTTAGAGCCGTTTAGATGAACCAGCGCACATTGTTTTTTTTTTGCGTAATAAATTGGATGTGTGGCGTGAGTGCGTGTGAAAACATGGAAACACACGTGTCACACGGGGAAACTGTGAGAGTTGGCAGCCCTGTAGCTGTGTTGGCTAGCTTGACAACAACTTTCCTAACACAGTCAAACATCAAGCAGCACAAGACAAAGCAAGACCCCAAATAAGTTCCTGAATAGTCCAGCAGAAATATATACATGCAAAATAACCTACAATATCACTCATGTGGGCCTATATGATCATGAGGTTAGAATGCACACAAAATTGAACCAAATAATACACACTTGATGCAATAGGCTACATGCTTGTGGAGCCTGAGGGTGGATCTTCACCTAATCCTTTTTCTTTTTAGTTAAGGAAATATGAATGTGAGAATATCAAACTAGGCAAGTAAATAAAGCATTGTTCATCCCACAGACAGTCAAACAGATAACAGATAAAAAAAGGAACCTTACAGATGATTTATTACTATCATAGATAAATATATTCCATTATCCTATTTGTGGTATCGTAAGTATTGGGTACCGTAATATTTTGGCAGGTATAGTATCAAAGTCATAATTTTGGTATGGCGACAACCCTAGTCTGTAGCTGAAAGATTGGCGAAGCTGAAGAATGTGAAAGTTGAAGAAGTTTAAGAGGATTTAAAAAACGATCTCCATTGGAAAACCATGTTAAAATATTCATGATTACTGATTTATATAAATTCAAGCTTAAGAGGTAGAAAGCTGAAAAGTCATAGCTGGAAATCCGGAAAGGAGCTGAATATTTTAATATTTGAATGGTTTTAATAGCTGAAAGTGTGAAGCAGTTCACGGAAGAAATAGAAGAATAATAATATGTTGAAATAAAGATTTGAAGAACAACATATCCAACAATAATGGTTAGTTGCAGCCCTAATGTGGAGCCATAATGTTGATCGAGAGAACCCAGGTCACGCTCTTCGTTGAAAAGAGGGTCTGGGGGTCTTACCAAAATGATCTTCGTCTCATCCAGCTCTGCCTGTACTTTGGTCATTGCATCTGCTTCTCTGGGATTCTGGGTAGAAAAAAAATTGCCAGATTAAAGTTGCATGATGATCATTTAGCAGCATATTGTAAAACCTTTTTATCATCATGTGTCCATCTGTTGGTTTACACCAGAGAATAGAAGATAATATTTAGAAAACAGCGAGAAACAACATCAGGAATCTTTTGTTATGAAGGCCCTAAAGGGAATTGTGTTTTTCTTATTTCTCACACTAAATAATGTTTCTTTTTCCTTTTTTTCTTCTAACAGTGTTATAAACTGACCTGGTATTTAGCGAGGTGAATATCCAAGGCTTTGTAGTTTATGGTTTCAGGACTACCAGAAGGCCAGTCTATACTGTCCACTTGCCTGGAGAACTCCTCTAATACCTAAAAGATTAAAGAAGACAACAATGTCAATATCAATGTCGACGGCAAACATGCAATAATAATAATAATGCATCTTTATTTCAGTATTTGTGTGCGTACTTTGTCTAGCAATGTGAAGCAGACTCTTTGTGGGTACTCAGTATCTGCAATGACCACGGCGCTCAGGTTGTCATTTCTCACATACACATGGCACAGGTACTCTGAGAAAGAGAAACATGTACGGTGTTTTTTCAAGTAATGACGAGTGCGAAAAGTGGTCGGTGGCAAGTTCCTTTGTCAGAACGGCACAAGCCGATCTCAGTCGGGTATTTAGCGACATGGACCCGCCTCCTCATCCTCATGCAAATTCCATGTAACATTAAATGAGTCGTCAGTCCGCTGGTGCTCTCCGTTCCGAAAAGGGAACCTGCCACCGACCACCTGCTCCTTTTTTCTGTTCTTACGGTACAGGTTAGAATACGGACATCTACAACAGCACAAATAAGAGATTTATTTTTAAATGGGTGCTAAGACAAAGCACAGCCACAATGCATGACGATCGCATTTCAGTCATTGCATGGAGAATTTGCTCTTTTTGTCCTTCTTGGTTGAATTGTGTTGTCAGGTTGGATACATGTTGTTACCTTGTTCTTTGACCGAGGCCCGACTTCCTTGTGATGTGCGTTCCACAATCAAGGCACTGGTGAAGGTCATGAACTCCTGAATACTACAAACCAAAACAACAATGACACAGCAGTTTCCCAGTATCCCAGTACAGCAAGGCATCATTATCCTTCGGAACTAAACACCAACGTTGTGGTTTGTAATCAATTCACGAATTAGATCCAAAACAAACTGACACAAGACAGGGAACCGTGTTACTGTTTGCATACTGCACTACACGCTAAAAACAAAAAGACAAAGTAAAGGCATAGACTCAATCTATGGCTTAATCGATCAGACCCACCTGGAGCGCTGAAAGAAGCTGAAGGAGGAGAGATCATGGGCCGTTTTGAGCAGGTTGGCTTTGGTGGCTCCTTTATGGTGGACGCTGAGGCTGTAGAGCTTCATGCTGCGGCCGTGGGACTTCCGACCAGTCAGACGCGGTCACGCAGCCTCGAGGATCTAATCTGGAAAACGGCACAAGCAGCATCACATGAGAGCAGAGAGCCTTATTGAGCTCAGTCAGCTAGCTAGCTAGCGTCTCAGCTAACAGCGGCTTAAGAAACTCGAAGTCTCGAAGTTACAGCTGATAAGTGCTGACGTTAGCTCAGAAGGGAGTAGTAGCCGACTTGTTAATAGCTACCGAGCTAACCAACCATCACTAATCGAGCGTTTTTCTCCAGGCAAAGACAAATTGGCAAAACGACAGTCTACGTAGTGGACACTTACCACTAGATAGTAAGTCAGCTACATATCTGAAACGAAAGTGCCGAGCTGGCTAACATAGAGTGTGTATAGGCAGCTAGCTACAGATGCTAACTGGTCTCCGAGAGGCCTGAGCCGACTTACCAGACAAGTCAGCAGGCAAAACAAACGAATAAATCTTCTTCCACATACACTAAAACTCGTGGACATGTATAAAAGACGCCCGGCGACCTAATCACAACAAAGTAAAGGCGAACTAAGTAGTTTTCGAAATCCAGGCAGATGACCAATCACTACGTCACGATCCCCATACAGTCCAACGGGATATTTCCTCCGCTGGAAACAAGCACGATCATAGTTCCGATGGGCTTATAGTTAAAGTTGGTAGAATTATTTTAGGATTGACACGTTAGAGGTGGAACTTGTTCCTTTGGATTATATTCAGCTATAATATATAATATTAACTTTTCTGACATGGAAACATTTTCATTGCAGCGAGACCTCATCGTGAAAATTGTAAAAGTCCTGGTCTTCTATCTGCAAGGTTGAATTATTGTCTTTCTCAGAGTTAATTTTCAGAAGACAATATCAGTATTTTGTTCTGAAAACAATTTGGTATAAAACTAGACACCCCCAGCCGTACACTACAATTTGGATCGATAAATAGTGGACCTATTAAATTAATGATATGGATTTGCATCTGATTATGAGGAAGACGATTATTAATAGCATAGTTATCATTATTTAGCCATCCCTAAATAAATTGCTCAAACGGGTAGTTCAAAAAGACCTTCTATTTACTTTGAGATCCTTGTTGATGATAAGAAAAATAATAAGAATAAGAATGTCTCTAAACCTTTTAGCATATTGGTAGTCTTGTGACTCTACTCTTGCAAAAATATGTTAACCTCAATTGATGTTTTCTCTGGTAGTCTTGCTTCATTTAACAATTCCATCATGGCTACTTAACTCAGGGGTAGGCTAAGTGTTTTCCATGGCAGAAGTGTGCCGGTAATTCATTTCCAAGGAAACGCATTGAAACCATTGGAGCATGGAAACCGCTAAGCCTTGAGGCGCGATCTGTTGACATGACCACTGCAGCACCGAGGGGAGAGGAGAACATTTTTCTTTTCTGGAACTGGTTCTGGTTGAGTTAAGATATCTGGTAACACGGCCAGTAGGAAGGCCAGCCAGTCGGAGGTATGCTTAATATTTTTCTTTTGTAAAATGTAATGTGCATCTTTGGAAAGGGAGTTTGGAACGCAATATTTTAATATTTTCCTTATAGTTTCCTTTGCGCCGATGCAGATGTTAACTGGACCTGTTATGCGTAAGAATGACAAGTTCATAGTTTTGTTCACCTTACCATATTGATACTGAAAAGGAATGCATAGATTTTTGTAGTGATGAAAATGAATCTTGATTTCTTCCCCTGAAAATATATATTGATAACAGTTCTGTCTTTCTTTCACAAGATAGCATTTGTTCACCAGTGACAAGCCTTGACCATCCTACAGTTATGTAAATGTGCTGGAGACTTGATGCTGAACATTATGTAACTTAGATCAGACCTATTGGGAAAATAATAAAGTTTCCCAGAAAAGGACAACATTTTCTTTGCAATTTATGCGCGGCCGCCGAGTTAAATTCACCAACACAGCAGAAACTTGGGAATCTCCACAAGTCCAGAGGAACGAGGGCATTTCCACCGCCGAGCACTGATGGTCGGCAGGACACTGAGGACTCGACTCCCGTCTTCATACGATGGATAAGGTGAGTCCAACAAAGTCGGTCTGTCTGTCTGGGTGTCTGTCTGTGTGTGTGTGTGTGTGTGTGTGTGTGTGTGTGGGTGTGTGTGTCTTATCCATCTATATATTATTTAACATCTCTCCCATTTGTTCTAAAAGTGGCGTTTGATTTAAAAAAGAACATAAATAGGTTCATAGTAGTCAATAATATCAACTAATACTGATGTGTAAAATATCTGCTAAATTCACAACCAGAAATATGTGTTGATGACTCCAGGCGAGTGTTGCAATGTTGCATCAATAAAAAAAACAGGAAATAGGTGATTTCACCCAAAATGGTCCCAAAAAATTTACAAATTGCAAAAATGCCTTTTTCAAAATGTACATTGACCTGAGATGTAATTTATTGAGAATAAAACCTAAGATATTTATGACATGCGAGAATAGATATACATAAGGAGCAGTTATTTATTATGAATATTTACATGAATGTGTGTCTTGATTTAGACTTCAGGGGCAACTTGTTTCCTCCCAGTTCACCTCTGTTCAGCTAAACTAATGCTGCTGATAAGCACTGAAGGCCTTCAGGTGCAGCCGTGTGTTGGTTATGGAGGTCAGTCGCCCCTCGCTGTTGCTAATTTGAGACATATTAGTAATTTTAACATACAAATATGCGTAAGCCTGTCATGCCTCATTGAGAAACCCCAATGACATTCGACGTTGCTCTTCTACGTGAAAAGAAAAAAAGAGTTCATATCACAAGGCTCATGACGTGTTTGACTTGTTGCGTTGGTGCTTGGTTGATCGGCTGAGCTCCAAATAAGAATAAATCCTACCTCTTTGTTGCTACGTTAAAAGGCCATCTGAAATAGACAATGTACCCTAACAGAAAAAATGTTGTTTTATCGAAAAAGGTCAGTTTATTTCTTCCACGGGACTTTTTGACTTTTTATTGCCAGATGGGGTGACGGATTTTGGGCCTCAGCTTAAAAGCAGCTGAGGCTCCAATTCAGCGCTACTCACACCTCACTGACTCTGCACACACTCACCGCCCGCCTAGAAACACCAGATAGACACACACACAGACAACACACATACACACACACACACACACACACACACTTACTGAGGCTCATTTAGCTAAACCTGTGACCATGCTGTGTGTCCGCTCCGTCCAGATGGTGAAGATGCCCTGCAGCTACAGCCCTGCGGTTGATAAGATCCTGATGGTAAGACCGACGTCTCGGCCCTGGGGGGCTTCATGGTGGGTGTAGGTGGTTGGGTAGTTGGGTTGCTGTGTTGCGTGTGACGGACTGTGCCACAATGTTTTCAGAGGAAACTGATGAACGAGCTCAACTGTGTTAGATGTTGAGATTTGTTTCGGAAGTACGTTTGTATGTGGGGAGTCTGAATCTTTACCTTCATTTGGTAGTTTTGTATCATAAAGCAGGTGTTTTTAGCTTCTCTCGTCCCTTTTTATTGCTGAAACTGCTGAAACTTTCCTGCCTTTAAAACTGAAACCTCAATTATCTTCTCACAGTACTAGAAAAATCAATTTCACGCATGCAATTTGTAGGACTTGATCGAGTTGTATTTGTTTAGAACTGCCTGCATTACTTTATCCTTGAAAGCATTGTGTTTACATCACCATATTAGCCCTTATTATTAATTATTACTCTTTCAACCGTATGTAATAACATGACACATTATCAAGAAATTGACATTTTTTGGCACATTGATGTTTCATCCACTTTTTAGCCAGTTGAAAAGAGGTTGAAATGAGGTCTTAGACGTTCAGACCTCATTTCAACCTGATTTCAACCAGAGTTCAACGTTGAAATTACCTACAATTCTCGCTGCGCTGCGTCAGACGAAGCGGCCAAACACAACAGTGGTTACTTCGTTGACTACCGACCGGCCGCTCTGGGTCCTTTCGCTAAAGACCCACGCTGGAGTGGCCAAAAAACACGTGGGAGGCCAGCGAGAGGCTGCTGTTAGGGGCCTAATTTGACGTGGAAATAATTTCCTATAACCTTAAACAAATTGATAAAACCACTCGTCTCCGACTGCAGGCGAAGCAGATCCTGTCAGAGTTCAGACTGAAAAATGAAGAGCTCAAAGAAGTCATGAAGAGGATGCAGCGCGAGATGGACAGAGGGCTGCGTCTGGAGACACACGAAGAGGCCAGCGTGAAAATGCTCCCGACTTACGTCTGCTCCACCCCCGAGGGATCAGGTATGTGCCCCATCATAAGAAGACCCCCTTCTAGTTGTTAAAGTAAGCCAGAGAGAATGCTCCTAGCGATTATCATCTGCGTAGGTAAAGCCAGTACGAGCACGTTCAGATGTAGTGTGTGTTTTGACAGAGGTGGGGGATTTCCTGGCTCTGGACCTGGGGGGTACCAACTTCCGCGTGATGCTTGTGAAGGTGGGTGAGGATGAGGAGAGGAGCTGGAAGGTGGAGACCAAGAACCAGATGTACTCCATTCCTGAGGATGCAATGACGGGCACTGCACAGATGGTTGGACTCTAAACTAAAACTCCCTCGAGGGTCTGTTTTCTATTGTAGTGCGGTGTCCCACATCTGATGTCCTCTTCATCTCTGACTATCTGCAGCTATTTGACTACATAGCAGAGTGCATGTCCAACTTTTTGGACAAGCATCACATCAAGCACAAGAAGCTCCCTCTGGGTTTCACCTTCTCCTTTCCTGTACGACACGAGGACATTGACAAGGTCGGACGTCCCCCCCTTCCATTGGACATTCCTTTGAACCAAACTGAGATTGGTCAGGGCATTTAAGTCTTCTCTTTATGGTTTTCCTTATGCCCAGGGCATCTTGCTGAACTGGACTAAAGGCTTCAAGGCCTCCGGGGCAGAGGGGAACAACGTTGTGGGTTTGCTCAGAGACGCTATAAAGAGACGAGGGGTGAGTTAGCCGAACGTTAGAATTCTTTCTTGAGAACCGGCCTGGCTGACGGCGCGATTTGCTTTTGTCATTCCAGGACTTTGAGATGGATGTGGTTGCCATGGTGAACGACACAGTAGCCACCATGATTTCCTGCTACTACGAGGACCGCAGCTGCGAAGTCGGGATGATTGTTGGTGAGCAGTTCTGCACTTTTCAAGCACGAGTGATGTCCCAAGCGCTTCTTTTGCCTTTACATATGTTTTCAAATGTTCTGCTTAACAGGCACAGGTTGCAATGCGTGTTACATGGAGGAGATGAGGACGGTGGAGCTGGTGGAAGGGGAGCAGGGCCGCATGTGCGTGAATACAGAGTGGGGGGCTTTTGGCAACAACGGGGAGCTGGAGGAGTTCCGCCTGGAGTACGACAGAGTGGTGGACGAGACCTCGATTAACCCCGGGCAGCAGCTGTGAGTTCATCCGCTTCTAAACACGCAGTTCGAAAGCCTCGAAAACGGACGCTTGGTCGACCTCCACACGCCCTCCGACACGTGTGCACTCGAGGGTTTGATGCTCGGAGTGAGTGTGATTTAAAGCGTGCCGCACACACGCTCTCTCGTCCTCTTATTGTTCTCCCGATTTTATGTCAATACTTACCTGACTTCCCCCCGAGGCCTCTGTGGAGTTGCTACGCTGCCGGCTGTTTTTCCTACAGGGGTTAGTAAATAGCCAGAGCCCTCATACGTCAGCGGTCAGCGAGCGCGTCGCCGAGGGGAGGGGATGTGTCAGATTAATGACCCCTCTCTGCTGCTCGCCACAGTTTCCGCTGGCCCTAATGGCTGTTTACCTTTTTTGCACGGCAGCCCCCTTTACACAAAAGGACCGGAGAACCTCGCTGAGCCTCTCAGGCACCAACGGCGCCGCCCGCTCCCCTCCGCCCGAGAGGCAGCTGTGTGCTCGCCCGGTTCACGTCACACTCTCTCGACGCCCTCATCCTGAATCTGTGCTCCAGTCCTTTCTGTCGTTGTTTGTTTTAAGTTACCTGCTCTCTCCTTCTCTTTTTTTTTTTTTGGGGTCTCTCTCTGCAGGTACGAGAAGCTGATCAGCGGGAAGTACATGGGCGAGCTAGTCCGGCTTGTTCTGATGAAGCTGGTGAACGAGGACCTGTTGTTCAACGGCGAGGCCTCCGAGCTGCTGAAGACAGGTGGCAGCTTGGAGACACGCTACGTCTCACAGATGGAGAGGTGAGGGGAGTTTGTATATGTACGCACGCATGTGTGTACGTATTGCACAATGCAATACGGTGAAAATGATTAAGACTGTTTTTCCATGTGCACAAATCTTGGCAATTTTTTTTTGCAAAAGCATAACATTTTTACAAATAATAACATGTTCATGTATATGTCACAATCTGATGGGGTGTTGTTGGGAATATAGGGAGGCAATTTGTTACAGTTAATCCAGTATTTGTGGAAGCTTGATTTAACATTTGAGTACAAAAGGAAATTCACACAGCGTATTAATTCTATACAATATATAATTTGAATACAGTGTAAACATAAAGAACTAAAAACTACTGCTCTTGCTCTCTTTATTTGTTTTTTAATCAGTGACACTGGAGACAGAAAACAAATCTACAACGTCCTGTCCTCGCTGGGTGTCCTGCCCTCGGAGTTGGACTGCGACATTGTTCGCCTGGTGTGCGAGAGCGTGTCCACGCGCTCCGCTCACATGTGCGCCGCGGGGCTCGCCGGTGTCATCAACCTGATACGCGAGCGACGCAGCGAGGAGGCCTTAAAAATCACAGTCGGGATCGACGGATCCGTCTACAAGCTGCACCCGTGGTGAGGAGCACCTTATTTTTCACGAAAACAAACTAATTAAATATGATAATGATGTTATTAGATCCACGCAGAAGGCACTGCTTTCAAATATGACTGAAAAGAACAGCTTTTTGGCCTCATAGTGAGCCAGTGGAGCGTGTTTAAACGCCTTGTTTCCCCCCCAATTCAGTTTCCGTGACAGGTTCCATAAAATCGTCAGGGATCTCACTCCTCACTGCGAGATCACCTTCATCCAGTCGGAGGAGGGGAGCGGCCGCGGGGCCGCCCTCATCTCGGCAGTGGCCTGCAAGATGGCCGCCAGCATACTGACACAGTAGACGCTGTGTGCGCTGGGACAGCGGCGAAGCAGGTCCAGGAACTCTGACCAAGAACACTGACGACATGTCACCCACAGCCTCCTTGTGGCTTCCAAAGGATGCGGACACACGCACCTGGAAGAAGTACAGACAAGAAAGAAACAGTATTATGGTAGCATTAGACCGACGTGTCACATTCTGAGTGATTTTTCTTTTTCTTTTTGTGTCACTGCCTGTTTCTAGAGTTTGTGTATGAACCTAAGCGGCCCATGTTGAGAATGGCAGTTTTATTAATGATGTTCTATGATACCTCTGCAACCAACACAGAATTATATTTGGAAAGGCTGTTGCTGACTGAGACTAAATCAGATTCATTGATTTGTTGTAATGATTTCTGTTTGCATTATTCCCTTGCTATATATATATATATATATTTAACGGTTACGTTTACCACCCTGGGTAGGTTGAAGGTTTACCAAATGTGTATGACGACCAGATGAAACGTGCCTTGGATGTTAATAGGCTCTACTGTAAATAAAAATGCAAAATTAAAACTATTATGCTTCAGAATAATGTTATTGGGTCTGTTTCCATCTGTAAAATATCGCTGAGATTTAATGCCAGAGGTGAAATAAATGACTTTTCTGACTCATTGTAACTATGTCTATTAATGGAGCAAGAGCATGCTGTCAAATGAGACACCTTTTAAGACAATTCTTATCCCTACTCAATCAATACCTTCATTTAAACAATGTTAATCAGGCGTATGATATATAAATGGACCAGTCCTGATATTACCCTCTGACCCTGGGAGATAGAGAATTTGCTTAAATAACAGGTAACCTTATTTGAGGGGAAATGTACCTGAAGTCCTGATAGCTTGATGAAATGCCTTCTGGCGTTTACATCCAGTTGGGGTAACATGATAACTTCCCCTGTAGAGTTACAATCCGTTCTATAGGAGAAAACATCATGAAGTGCATTCTGTGCTGGATGGTCTTTGATACGTGCTAGAAATCACCTCTTCACATCAGGTTGCCTGAGTCCACCTCTGCTTACATTACATTAACACCTACAGCCAGATTTCACCTCTAAGGAGTAGACGTTATTCAGTTGAGTGGCGTCCATTGTCAGAGGTCACTTTCCTCCATCTCCTTTCTGCTCTTCCTATCTCTGTTTTCCGGCCCAGAGGAATCTCGGCTGCTTCATGTCTTATCAGACCCCTTCAGTGACTCACAGAGAGCGGCTGTGGCCTTGTAAGGGGCTGTGCTGCCCACCACAGGCTATTATAGGAGGTTAGGTGATAAGATGGGACCTACATAAAACCCACCCTGGCATCCCACATAGGCTGGGAATCCACTCCGATCATTCAGACATGGTAAGTCCCTCAATGCTTTCAGTCAGGGACATTAAAGAATCATTGTAACGCTTGTGTTATTGTCTCTTGATTGCAGTTGTTTTATATAATTCCGCGGACTACAACAAATATCAGAGTGTAAACTTAACGTGTTTGTGTTTCTCTTCTCAGGCAAGTAAGAAGGCCTCCAATAAGAGACAGAGGGGAGGACAGAAGTCTTGCTCCAATGTCTTCTCCATGTTTGAGCAGTCCCAGATACAGGAGTTCAAGGAGGTACGGTGCTAAGGTTGGGCCACCTTTACGAAGCTCCCATTGAAACTTTTCTGGGGGGAACTTGGTGTGGGAATGTGTGTCAGTGAAACAAAATGCATGCATGAGAAGTTAATGGTCATTACAGTTGGATTTCATGCAAGAGAAATATAAAATGTTTTGATATCAAAGTGGGATTCTCCAAAGCTTTCCAGTTTTCCCTCAAAAGTTAATTCTTCAGTTTTAAACGTCAGTGTGTCTCCTGCTAAAATCAGCCGTCAAAACGTTTGTATGACTAAATTCCCATCTTTGTTATAATGTTTTGCCACTAAGAACTACTCAGTACGTTCTTACATTTAGTTAAGGGTGAAAGTGTGAAACTGTGTAGGCCCTTTCCGTTTTACGTCTTTTTCATAAATGATCCTCGGCCTATCTGCACTTAATATTTAAGTTGAAATATTGTTATGTTTGTTCATCCCACAGGCCTTTGGATGCATTGACCAAGACAGAGATGGTGTTATCAAAAAACAGGACCTGAAGGAGACCTATGGACAGCTGGGTATTTTCTTAGTCATTTATTTTTGTATATAAATATATATATATATAGTACCAGTCAGGTTTGAACCCACGTTTGATTGGTACTGTATATGTATAAATGTATATATAATATAAACTGTATATAAATTGGTTCATTGTTTGTATTTGTCTACCAGGGAAGCTCAACGTCAAAGACGAGGAGTTGGACGAGATGTTGAATGAGGGGAAGGGTCCCATCAACTTCACGGTGTTTCTCACTCTTTTTGGGGAGAAACTCAACGGTGAGTGCTTTTCCCTGATCGTCCAACAAAGATTTTATAAAAGATATACATTTAGAAGATTCCCTACAATGCGTTTGTTTCGCCTCAGGCACTGATCCTGAAGACACCATACTTGCTGCCTTCAAACTGTTTGATCCCAACGGGACGGGCTTTGTTAACAAGGACGAGTAAGACATTTCTTTCTCATTATTTTCCGTGCTAATCATATTTTTCCTATTATCCGTGACACCTTTTGACATTTTTAATTCCAGGTTTAAGCGGTTACTGATGAACCAGGCCGATAAATTCACAGCAGATGAGGTTTGTGCGTGTGTGTGTTTCTAAATCTTTATAATGAGGGACTCTCTTTAAGAGGATCATTTTCACTGGGAAAACTGTCACTTCCTAAACCGGCAGGTGGATCAGGCCTTTGCTCTTGCTCCCATCGACCCGACTGGTACATCGACTACAAGTCCCTCTGCTACACCATCACGCACGGAGATGAGAAGGAAGAATCCTAGCAAGAGTTTTAAACTGGCTGGTAATCAATCAGAATCATCAATGTTGGAACGTCTGATTCACTCATACTCTGATCAATGGTTGTAAATGCTGTACTTTTGAAATGAAATGGTTTCCTTTGTTTCTTAGATTTGGAGAATAAATAAGTTTCTCAAAAGCGACTGTTGATTACGAGCAATAGACACTGTACATGGAATACTAAAATGCATCACCATTAATGAATAAATAAAGAAATAAGTCTGGAAATATGTAACTTGAGTAAGAGTCAAATATTCACTTTAGACAACTGTTTAAGGACAGGAGAGAATTACATGTTTTCCCTCTGTTCACTGAGAAATGATCACAGCCCTGGTGAAACCCCAAGTGACCAAGTGAATAAACTCCAGAATGAATGCTCACTGAGAAAGGCTGTTTTTCTTGGTTCGTAAAAGCTCTGGCACAAGAGACTGTTTCAGTATTTCACATTAAAGAAGATTCATGCAGTCCGATCACATTCAAAGGGGCCTCACTGCTGTTCCAGTCTTTGGCCACGGTGTTGCCATGGATACAACAACAAACATCTCTACAAACTCCACAGCACACATTTCCCTGCTTACACAGCGTGTCAACAGGAGGACAAGGCGTGTGTGAAATTACAGCCGAGCCAACTCTACTTTCAGCACATCTGCAGCAGCGGAGCAACATCCGAATGACTGAGATCTGACGTCTGAGTTTTGCCATCTCTGGTTGTTTCGGCAGAGATGCCCATCGCATCTGGAGCTGCAGGCCGGATGGATGTGGGAGTAGATCCTGGCGGACAAAGGACGAAGACCAAACCTGCCAACAGGAACTGTGACTCCTACCTGCAACGGTGTGTAGAACACAGTGTGATGTTACCTTCCTAAAGTAAAGGACGGATAAGGAGCCTCGATGCTGTATCTGTGACCCTGAAGGGACAGTCCATAATAGGAATGACATGAAACATTTTACCGGGAAAGATGTAATTTAATATTCATGGCTTTATTTTAATTATAACCTGAAACTAAGAACTATTATGTGTCCATTAGATAAGAATGATGCGTTTATATCTGCATGATAAAGATATCTTTTCTGCTCCCCATGTAAGGCTCTTTCTAAGCTAATAAGTCAACACTGGGGGAAACATTGTTGTATTGTGTGTATATATATATATATATAAAAAATATAATATACACATATACATATCTACACTATATATATATATATATATATATATATATATACATACACTACATATACACTATATACAATATATACATATATACCGGGGGTCTTCAACGTTTTCGGATTGTCTGGTGCCTTTTGCTGTCGTATTTGCATGAAAGGTGGTGTGAATGAACCGGTGCCCAGCTTGAGAGCTCCTGTGGGTAGTTGAATGTGTGTTAATGTCATCAACTTATTTGTTTGCTACAATATATTGATTCATGTTAATGTGTATTTAAAGACAATTAAAATAAAATAAATTTAAATTTGTGGGGAAAAAATTGTTTGAAAAAAATAATAATAATAATTGCGACCCCCCTGCAGTACCTCTGTGGACCCCTTGGGGGTCGCGGACCCCCTGTTGAAGACCTCTAATATATACTATATACACATCAATAAATCCACCTTAATCCTGCAAGCTGTTCCTATAAACCATAACTACACGTAGGTAATTAAAAACAAACACAAGACTTTATAGTAGGATAACAGGCTGCCTGGATTGTAAAAACAAAAATATTAATTCAGGTAAACCCCCGCGCCCCCCCCCCCCCCAAAAAAAGAGAAGATTTTCCACCAAGCAGCTTCATCGACTTTTATTGCAAAGAACAAAAGCAGCTTCAATAAACCACTGCGGAAGGACAGCAACTCTATACACAGATGTGAAGCACTAATCAAGGTCATGAACATTTGCCCAGGCCCTTTTGTTTCACCTGCCCGGTTCAGTTCACATTTTCAAAATGCTTGTATACAGTTTTCTTGGCGATTGCATGTAAACATATTTTAATGGTTGCAGATATCAGGAAATCCAAGAAAGAAAAAGACACAAAAGCAACATGATGCAGGTGAGTACCACCATTCCGTCTGGTTAGAGGCCGTGGGACACAAAGGGACTGTTGTGACTGACACGGCACTTATTCGTTGCGCAGGGCACTGAGGCCGAGACAGAGCCATGCGAGGGTGAGGACGCTGACTATTTGATCATTTTCTACTAATATATACGCATCACTATTGTGTAAACACACACAGTGAGTTTTCAACTTGGACTAACTGGAACATTTCTTAAATTGGCCTTCAGGAGCAAAAGAGGAGAGCCCACAGAAAAGGAGCAGCAGTGAGGATCACACTCCAGGAGGACACCTCGGGGGACAGAGATCCAAGACGTCTCAGCTGTGTGTCCTCCTTTAAGGGCGTTCAATGAACCACCTTGAACACGCAAAGTTCTCATGTATTATTTAAGTGCCAAACCCTCCTATCTCTTGTTTCCGTGCGTGTTGGTTCAAACTTGAAAGAGGTGCAGTGTCCATGAATGGATTACTTTCTTTTTTTCAAGTGAAAACTGTCATGTGTGTACTCATGCCATTCTCAAGTCCAAGGAAATTAAAACCAGTATTTAATCGCTAAAATCCCAATTAGCTACGTGTTTTTCCTTGAAATTATGTCACGTTATTAAACAGTAAAGCTACAAAATACATCAGGTTCTTTTCTGCATGATCACACAACGGGTACGAGAAGTTGTAAACAAAAAAGTACCTTAAAAAACAAACTAATGCACAGCCCATGAACGAAGTGGACCGTCACAGATTGGCTTTTTCAGAGCAGCTCGTCCATCATAGGCTTCCGTCGCCATATCAGCTCCGGCGTCTCCTAGTGACGTCCCATATTGCACTTTTGTGTTCTACTGTGACTGCCCCCCCTCCCCCCGCCCCCCGTGCAGTTCGTTTGGCTTCACCTGAGGTTTCAGTGTGTTCTAAAGTCCACATGGTGGCATCAGGCCCAGCTGACGAGAACAACCTGAGGAGGAGCAGCAAGGAGGGGGGGGGTGAGGGGGGCGTTCTGTGGTCGTCTCAGTCACTGGAGCTGTCGTCTCCCACCACCATGCTGCTGTACTGCTTCTGCTGCTCCTCTTTGAACGACTCCTTCACCTTCGCTCTCTTCAGGCCTCCATCCCTGCGAGGGCAACAGCAAAATCTCGTTCCAGAAGTCGTGACCCAGAACAACAGTTCCATAATCCAGACATAAAAAGGGCTCACAGCAATGGATTATGAACTCATCTGCAAAACTGCACAACTCACAACAAAACTATTTAGCTGGGTATTTAGCACTAAGGTGAGAGGACATTTGTTCTTCCCCTTTAGGCCAAGACCTGGACATAACCATCAACTCCAGAAATAGAGAAGAGACCTACCACTGTAGATCCACCAGCCCCCCCTGGTGAGCAATGACGGACTTCACCCTGTTTGCAAACTGGACAGCATCTTCCCCCTCCTGACATTTTGGAATACAACAAAAAAAAAAACAGCCAACTGTGAATTTTGTGTGTGTGTGTGTGTGTGTGTGGGGAGTGCAAGTCCTCCGTTGCACACACCTGTTGGTGCATGGCCGGTAGGTACCAGACGTTGCACACCAGGGCCCAGCTGGTCATCATCCTCAGCAGGTAACTGACCATGCTATACTTGGAACTGTTCCAGAAAGCGTCCCCGAACTGTGGGTCGTACTGAGATAAAAAAAAAATTTAAAAAGATAGATGTACAGTGAGGAAGTGTGCGAGCCAGAAGGCCAGAGAGAACATCTGGACGCCAACAGGACCAAAGTACCTTAATGGCCACCGGGTATATCGTCGCGCCGATTTCAAAGCTTCCCTTTTTGAACATCATGACGGAGGTGTTGTTGACACAGGTCCCTGCAGACATCGAGGATTAAAGGGGATGCAGTCAGTTTCACAACACTTCCAAAATTTAATGAATCAGAGACAACACATGAAAGCTCGCTGTGGAGGCAACGCTCATCCCGCTTACCCTCTGGAAATATCAAGATGGGGAGCTTCGTCTTGTCGTTGACATGATCCTTCAACCTGCAAACGACACAACGAGGGTCATGGAAACCGTTCTGAGAGAAACATCAAACATCTGCGAGGAGCGTCTGGGTGAGACTCTGAGTCACTGCTCGGCAGCGATCTTCCAAAACAAATTGGTTTGTGTGTGTGTGTGTGTGTGTACAATCGTATATGCAAATCTGTGTCGATGCCAGAGCAGCAACGAGGACAGAGAGACGTGCTACGACAAGCCTGAGAAGAAGTGCTGGAGTTGGAAGGGGGTGGGGGGACGGACCTTTTGGTCACTAGGTGGCGATCTTTCATCTCTGCTCTCTCGAACCAGACGTGGGGACACGACCTCACCATGGCCCTCTGGAGGACACCCATCAGACCTCCGTGCACCTGCCCCACCTGACGATCACATGTTTTGACAGTTCATAAGTACCCCATTGAAAGAAGGACCAATGAAGAAATGTTGAGAAAAGTGAGTTCTTGAACCATAGCGTAGCAGCCGTCGTTGCAGAGGATCACTATGTCGATGGGGCTGGTGTGATTGGCGACACAGATGCCTCCCTTCTGGGGTTTGTTCTCTCTGTGGAGGAGAGGCGGAAACAGGCATCAGACGGCCTTCGCGGTCTGACTGCTTGGCGGCGAGGAGGAGGCTGGCTTACCTGTTGTGGTAGCGGATGGTGGCAGAGAGTCCTCGAGCGCAGATCCTGTAGCACATCACGTGGACCCATTCACTGAGCCAGAACTTCATCCTACACACACACACAAACACACACAAGCATGTAAGAAGAAACATATGGACTATTGCTTCTTTTGCTTGGGTTAGGGAGTGTGGTCACCTCGAGTTTGGGAGAAATCCAACTGCAGATGTTCCAATGACCAACCAGGTGAGACCAATGCAGGCAAGAGTTATCCTTCACAAAGTGGAAGACATGTATTTATCAATTTTGCATCAAATGGAAGAAAAAAAATGGATTCAAGAAAAAAAAAAAAAAGAAAAGAAAAGCTTGACAGAAATGAAATGGTTTTAGATCAATGTGTTATTGTGCACCTATTCAGCATTATATGCTTAAAGATGTATATCTTAATCAGAATTCGGTATTCTCGTCTTTCGGTACAAACAACTGTGTGTATGCTTCCCTGAGCTACCACCAACAGATTTCCAATCAATTTATGTGGAACTTTTAGACAACGGAGGTGTGTGCGACAGGAGAATATTGTGCACATGCTCACTTTTTAGCAGCCAGATCTAAAATTCAACGGATTTGATTTAAATGCCGCTCTAATATTTCATTTTACTTCCACAACTGTTTTCTTTTCAGTCCAAGACTGAAAGATTCAGCAAACACCTTAATCGTGATTTGACTGGTTTGAGTTTTGAAGAAACAAAGGACTTTTGCATTGTTAAGATTGTATCCATTACCAGGATTTACATCTTTCAATGTGCCTTTCATGGAGCCAAATCCAGGTCGAAGGTTTTAACTGTTTGAAAAACAAATGTGAACCTGAAAGTTCCGGTTTTGGTCTTAAACATTGAAAAATACAACAAAGTATTCAAAATAAAAATAAGTATTTTCAGGTTGGATATAGTTTTGCGGTTGCAGATTTTATATTTTCAGTTTCAATTTTTTTCCCCATTCAGACTTTTGACCCAGATGTTGCTTCGGGGGCGGGCCATCAACTGAGAGGGTGTTCATGAGTGAAAGCCTAACAAATAAGGCTGAAAAGCTTCCCCAACCGCGTTGCCTACAGGAAACGTAGACACGCAAGAATCAACCCTTTCTATACACTATATTTAGGTTCACAAAGTTGTGTTTAACAAGCTGTTTTGGACCCCACTTGCCATGAACCGCAGAATAAGATCAATCAACTATCTCAGATTGTACCATTCAACAACCACACATAAATCTCTGAAGTTTCACTTACAAATGTGAACGCAGAACGCCATCCGTGTGACGGCGTCCGGTAGAGTTGGCAAAGTATTTCAATAGCATCAGGGAAACGTTGTTAAATCCGTCTGCAAGCATGGTGATGTTGCTTTGCACACGGCCCCTGCGCACTCTCCTCACAGGCGGCCCCACATTAAGACCAACGTGTTTCGTCCAGCTCGCAGACCAGTCCGCATCAGTGAAATTAAGTTAATTAGGGTTGTAGCTGTCGACATTACTTCGGTTACAGAGGTGTCGTTCGCTTCGCTGACCAGCAATTGAACCAGGAAGTCCGAAACGGTCATCAGCTATAACCCTCAGCCTTATTTGTTAAGTGCTGACTCAGGAATACACGCCCCTTTGAATCTGGAAATATAAAATCTGCAACCGAAAAATCTAACAGCGAATATCAAAAAAAAATTGTTAACTATATTCAACTGCAAACTCAAACTGGTTGACGTTTGTTTTTCAAAATCAAAACTTGGAATAAAAACTTGATCAAAACTTTTGACCTGGATTTGGCTCCATACAACTTCTGCTTAAACATCAGGTACCAGAAGAAAAGGATGAAAGCACACGGGTGGAGGTTTCGACCCAAACGGAGAGCTTGTTTGCTGGCTGGAGGCCGGCTCTGTTGGGCCTCTGTGTACCTGAGCGGCGCGAGGATGAAGTATCTGATGACGATGCCCAGGCTGTAGACCAGGGTTAGACGCACGCTGATGAACTGGAAGTCGTTGTTGGTGCGTGTCAGCAGGTTCCACAGCACCAGCTCCTCCGAGCTGAACCGCTGCGTCACCTTTTAGAGTAGAATAAAACATCTAACTGCTTAAAGAATAGCGGAAGAGGGGCACTAATTATCGTTGACCTGCAGTAAAAACTGTACCTCATCCTCTACGATGCTCTCAATTCCCCTACGGGTGAAGTAGAAGGAGTCGCTGAGGGTGAAGTCACCGCCCACTGGGGGTTTGGGGCGACTGCGCCGCAGTTCCTCCAACTCTTCCTCCATGGAGCCATCTTCCCTCTGGATGAGACCTAACACACACACACAGAGCCTTGAAGACAGCCTCAACATATGTTTAAAGATTGGGGCAATGTTCTAAGAAGAAAAGTGATCAAAGTTCATGACTTTCTGCAAGAATTCTGTCAAAACACAGAGCTAAATTAACAATAATGAGCATGAAACTGTTCAGAGATAATAAAAGAAAAACAGCCACTCTCCTTCACATGAATCAGTACTTATCACTTGGCACAATAAGGCGGACTCAGATTCCTGATGAGATACCGCAGTAAACTGACCTCAGAACAGTTAAAACCATATTATCTGATAACCCAGCAGGCAAAGTCCAACCGAGCATTCAATAATCCGCCTTGGCTCTGTTAAGAAAGCGCTTCCACACGGTCTCGTTGTCGTGTGCATTTATAAAAAAAAGGTGAAAGGGACTCGTGGATTTAGCATTATAATAAGTGTACATGTATTTACCGAGCTATCAGCACTCAGCATCAGTGTGCAGAAACAAAAACAGGAAGAGCAATAACCATTTTCAAATCCCCGGACTACAATTGCAACATGCTTCCAGACTTGTGACAAACTATCCAACATTGCAGAGCGGCGTGCCGTCACCCTCTAATCCCTGGTGTTTCACAATGAAAGATGAGACAGCACAGCGGCCTTAATCACATGTGGAGCTTCCCTAGATTGCTACTCACCATTCGATCCGGAGGCTTTGAGTGTCTGTTCCTCTGCCTGGACTTTCTGAATCTTCAGCGTGGCCCACTGTGGAGGAGGACACACAAAAGAATGCACATGTCCGATGTGGCAACCCTCTGGGCTTGCAGCATTTCACCCCTGTGAGGGGGGGGGGGGGGCACAAAACGAGCACAGCAGTACCTCTAAGGTTTTCACCAGGATGGTCATGTAGGTCTCGGAGATGCCCAGAGAGAAGCCGAACATGGCCGGGACCATGATGAGGCCCACGATGAGGTACAGCCAAATCTCCAGGGCCCAGAGGGCCAGCGACCAGAAGTCCTCCATCTCCAGCCGGTGTGTTGCCCTGCAGAGGTCTCAGAAGATCCGCCGGTGGCTCAGGAGCGGAGCAGCTCTGCACGAGGAGGGAAAAAAAGGGCTTTCGTTCATTTCAAATAGATACATTGGTCACCCGAATACTACTGACAGCAACATATGGAAGTCGACCCCCACCACAGTGAGGAGTAGTGCGGAGGACTTAAATACGCTGACAGCTCGGGAGCCCACCGTTCACGGTACACAAACACACACTAGAAACTCCGCACGGTGTCACGCGCATTCCGGCCGGGACAAACGAATAGTTGGAATAATGGACCCGCGGCGGCGCTGCTCCGTGACACAAGATGATACGATATAGTTGTAGCCGCACGAGCATGACGTACCTGTCGGACTCAAGTCCATGTCCTTCCTCTGCGAGGAAGAGAACTCTGAGGACTTCGACTTAAACACGCCCTCGTAACACTGGAACAAAGTTCACCGAGCAGCGCCCCCCGCGGACACAGCGGGAAGTGCACGAACGTCACTGATCTGGTTGGGGGTAAACTTATTTAGAAAACGTTAATCCTTAAATAAATATTCAATATGTGAGCCAGGTGGTTCATTCCTGACCATGGGGTTTTTAAATAAAACAAAAACTATGGGTATACTGTATGTGTGCATATGCAGATATACAAGTGCATATAAGGATCTTTGTTTTCTCTGTCCTCTATCAGCAGCGATCCATTACTGGGCTGCTAAATATGCAGACCCATGACTAATGCTAGAAACCAGTGATACCCCGGTAGTGAAATGAAAAGAAATGTCACAAATATCATGTTATACATGATATATGGTGAAACCCTGAGGTCACAATCTATCTCTCTCTCTCTCTCTCCCCCTCCCACCCAAGACTAACAATACGTCTTGATCATGTTCCAGATTCACACGTTTCACAGTCCGTTGCACATTACTGTAGCAGTGGACTGCAGGGGCATCTGGCAGATAAGGAGGCGAAAACCTGAATATTTGGCAACTTTTTCCTTTGCAAAAAAAACCCTCTGCCTGCCCAACTTAACATGCACGAGTGTGTGATGATGCACTTCATGTCTTAGTTAAATATATATGTTTCATATGAAAGAGCTGCAATTATCGTGCATCATGTCCTCACCGACTGTTGTTAAATGTTAAAGTTAATGGCTTAGGCCTGCAATTCTACAGCAGGTAGACATTCCAGATGTGTAGTAAAACACCAGCCAACAACACACCGTTTGTCCTTTATTGTCAGGGCGTGTTAATACCAGTCAGGTAGAGCTTGTTGGTTTTAAAATAGCTGTGATTTCATCTTTGAACAAACTGAAAGCTAAAAATCTCAGACGCTATTGAGTTTGATGAGTTCACTCATCACTCACTGTGTCTCCTGTGGAGCGGGACAACAAGGGAGGGAAGGTGTCTTGTCCCAGCAGCCTTCTGCTGGAACTGAACCACAGCAGTATTTACAGGAAAGGCCTTTCCCCCCAGAGCCACACGTGACGTGGCTCACTGGGTCTTTTCATGTTCTCTGTAATAATGAATAATGCATTGCAGAGCGCTGTTTTCCCACAGTGCACCTTTTCTACTTTGACAGGAACTCGACTCAGTACAATATACTGGGTCCAGTCTGCAGCTTTTCCAAATACAGCACATTGAAATCAAACTCAAACACTTGCATAAAATGCAAACAAAACCCTATGGAAATCATTATCTGATACGACATGACATTTTCCCTTCGCCTCACATAAAGCTAAAGAAGGTATGGATCTGCACAAATTTGGTCTGTTGTTTGACTTTTAAGACATGCTTGTCCATGGAATGCAAATATATTTTTCCATGTATGCAAAAAAAGACTAATAGGCGAATGCAAATTATTTAAAGTTGGGATTTTGCTTATTTCACCAGACCTTTCCAGAAGCATGTTTAGGAGATTAATTGTACAGGCCTCATTAAACTCTATGCATTTTTACAGGAGTAGTACTTGCTGCCATAAGGAGGTAGGGAATAAAACCATATAACTGGATAAACTCGAATTGGTGGACTAATACATATTTTAATTTTACAGTTATATCATTGTAGGCGGAGCTATAATTCCTTTCAGCAACCATCAAGCAGTTTCCCTAAAAAAACGTTCCACGTGACTTTCTCAAGCACTTTTTTTAATCGCCTCGCGCTAATGACGCGCCGCAGGCGAAGGAGTTTGGTGCAAGTCGGGACACAATTCGACGAAACCCGCTCCTCCCGCGAAGAAACAACGCAGCAGCCCTGAAATCCCTCCTCCTCCTCCCCCTTCCTTCCTCCCCTCCACAGTGTGCGCTGGAGTTTTCCTCCCTCTACTGATCCACGCTCACGCGTGCTCCCAGTCCCTCATCGGAGCGCGTGCATGGCATGTCATGACACGGCGCAGCGCACGATCGCAGTGGTCGCATCTAACGCCACCGAGAACCGTCTTTCTGCAGCGGTTTGAGTCGGGTTACGTGAAATATGCGATGCTCGCGCGAGCGTCCGGTCTTCTTTCTGCTGCACTTTGTTTTCACGTGGGCAGCCGGCCACGGAGGAGTCTTCTCCCTCTCTACGGAACAAGGTCAGTGCGGTGCGCCTTTAACGGGGAGCTGCGCGGTCTGCGCATGCGTGAATTAAAAGTTAACCTTGCATGCTAATATATGCATCTGATGAAAGTGTACGAGGCTGTGCAAAACCTTCAAGGAGCCTTCTGTTGGGTTTCACTCCGCAGGTCGGCTGTCCCAGTCAGATGTGTCCATCGTCCACCCGGTGAAAACCACCGCTGATGGCGAGTTTGTCTCCCATTCCGTGGCTCACCACTCTGAGGGGGGGCGAACCAGGCGTGACCTGCGACCCCTCGATTCAGACGCACAGGTCTACTACAAGGTTGACCACGGGGGCCACTCGTTGATGTTCAACCTGACCGCCAACGTTGGGTTGCTTTCGAACAACTATGTTCTGGAGAGGAGAAACGGAGCCGCCAGCCGAACCGAGCATCGCCGGTCCGCAGGGCGCACCTGTCACCTCCTCGGCACGGTGGAGGCCCCCGGTGTGCGAGGAACCGCTGCCATCAGCACCTGCGAGGGCCTGGTAAGGAATCGCATCGTCTGATGTGCATAGCATGAATAATTTTGCATCTCAGTCATCCTCTCGTCATGCGGAAAACAGCGGAAAAGAGGAAGCTGGTATGCGGTGCGTGAGGCAGTCACTGGCTGCCAAGCGAACCCTTCCATCTGACAGTGTGACAAAAGACTTCCTGACACCGAGCCGTAGAGCAGCCGAAGGCTACCGCGGCAATAGGAGACAGCGGCATGGCAGAAAGAAATGCATGCATGAATGGAGAAATGCATGTTACCAATTGCACAGAATATTTCTGTGCAATTTTGAACCTGTATTACTCAGTCCTGGAGGATTCGGAGTTTGTATAACTAGGAATGCCTCTCCTTGCAGGGTCTTGCCTCTTGCTTCTCTGTTATGTTTTGTGTGGGTTGCGCTGCACTCTTCCTGTCAAGGATGAATTTTCTAATTCATCCCGAAAAGTCCAATGTGTCCCGTCCTTCGGCCTACCGCGGGAACCGCAAAGATATGTTTTGCAGATTTTTTTTCAGTTCTGCGGGAAATGGTTTACAACAGCTAAAACCACTAAACGGCGCAGCTCAGCCAGGCAGATGTGGGAGGAAAAGCCCTCCCAGTTGCTGCGAAGGCCATTCCCTCTCCGGAGTCAGATAGAGATGGACCGCTTCGAAATACAGAGACATGGTAGCCCTTTGTTTAAGTAGAGGGGAGCGACTGGAACCTGCATTGCTTATAATCAAAACAACTACAGTAGCAGGATGAAAGCCACACGGTGGTCAGTTCCCACCACTTCATTAGCGTTAAACTTCCACTTCTGGTTAGTAGAAATGAGGTCAGACCTGCTTGAACAAATCGAGCTGGGCTGCAGGAAGGAATATTCACGTTGCAGATCACTATGACATTTTTACAGAGCCCTTTAGTCTTTGCTCTACATGTGAAACCGTGAGGACGGCAGTATTTGGAAGGATGTTGCTGTCAGCTTCCCTTTTTTTCCCTCCCGTTTCCCTGGGATAGACCTTTCGCATCAAGCCAAGTCAAGGCTCTCCCAGTGGAGTCTTTGGTAATCCCCGAGGCACAAAGAAAGATCATGCAAGTTCAGACCCATTATGTCTGCATTTTTCATCGCACTGTATAAGGAGGAAAAACTTGGGTCTCCTGACCTCAAATAAGCCTACAGGCAGAACTATCTTTTTTTAAGTGAAAACAAACTGAAGGCCTTTTGAGTGCAGGGAAATCTGTGATTATCAACAAGTGGTTATGTAAGAATATTTGTTTGCATTGATGACATTGCAATAATGAGGACCGTCCGCCCCCAACTCCCCTTGCAGTGGAACAACAGGGACTTTTACTCTAGATCCAATTGGCAAGCGCTACAAAAATCCACAGAAGCAGGAAACTGAGGTAAAGCAGTTCCACATGGCCGATGTATTTAGAACACAGACCTGTGTCATGCTAACCTCCCCTGGCTCTGGCACCTCGCACCCAAACACGTTTCCTCTAGGTCAGAGGAAGTGGAGGGGGTAGGGGGGGCAGCAGAGGGAGGAGAGGTGACAAAAATAAATTCAAAGTGCACGAAATAGATCCCCTATTTTTGCTCAAATGCAAGTCTTAGTTGGTGTCCTTACAAAGGATGTGTACTCAGTGATTTGGGGAGCACAGCTAACGTCCTAACCCCTCTGTGCAGAGAAGCCGAGCCGCGCTGCCTTTGGCACGCAGATCATACAGCTGAAGCAGAGCAACGGAGTGTTTGGATGGGCTTCTCTGTAGAATTCCTTCCTGGTCAGTCTGCTCCCCACCACCTCTTTCTCTCTGCCTCGCCTCACTTGGAAGTTCAACATATAGGCGACCGCTTGAGACAGAGTAACTTCCCTTAGACCACTAATACCAAATTGTATTGCCGTTAAATCATGACGATCCTGGCAAAGAAAACCATGCAGATGAGACCCGGAGCGATGGTGGAATCCAGATGAACATTTTTCTGCACAGGGCCGGTGGGAAGCTTTCCCAGCAGACTCATCGCTCTTCATGCTTCAAGTATGAGTCCACGGCAACTCAGGGACCCCTGGCTGAAGGCCGGGAGTCAGCAGAACTCATTTAATCAGATGGTAGACATATATATTAGGAGGACTTTTTTATGGTTACTGTTGCTGTTCTGGGGAGTTGTGGATGCAATATTAAGCCGCGTTGTAATACTTGAGACCGATCTGAAGACCACTAAATGAACGTCTCCCTGATCTCGTCATCAGCTTGGACATGCTCTGAAACCAATAAGTCTCTATCTTGTATCGATACAGTCTGGTCTTGGTCGAGAAACCCCTCAAAGTCTTGGTCTGGTCTTGTCACGCTCTGGTCTCTGGTTAGGGACTTGGTCGCAGCCCTTCTCTTCTGGTTTAGGCTGTATTGACAATGCAATGTGACCTCAAAAACAGTGAAAGCATGGAGGCATGAAAAAAGGAGAGGACGGCACATGTGTTTTCTGACTGTCATAATAAAATGTATACATTAAAAACATTAAGGGTTAAAGATGGAGAAAAACACACGCACTCATCTAAGCAATTTTGACAAAAAAATGTATTTAAAATCACCTCATTTTATGAGGAAAGAGCCTAAACAACTTTCAAATCAGAGAATAAAGATCATTAAATAGATATCCTCAATTGTAAATCACATTTTTAAGGTTGTCATGGTCAAGAAAAGTACTGTCGCGTTCATATTTACACAATTTAAAGTCCTCACAGACTCTTAACCTCTTGGCAGGCGACATCAGTAAGTCCCTGAGGGTTCAGGGTTCAGGGGGGAGATTGGGATTGGGCCATAGTCTTTCCAAAGGGAGTGCACCTTCTGAACTCCCTGAATAGAGAAACCTTATACCGAGCCAGAGCTCTGCAGCCTGCTGAATGAATGCAGCTGAAACACAAGAAACGCGTCAGGATGACCCAGAAAGCAGAGCGAGCAGTAAAAAGCGGGGCGACCCCAGGGAAACTCAACTGTGAGACTGGATTCTTCCTCTCCGACTCCACAAACCCGGATACATTACATTTTTGCACGGAATAAGCGTTTTGCAAATCATTTTTTATCATCTGTTTGACCATCAAAATGAGAATGCATCTCTCTCTCATTCATTCTGTCTTTTGCTAGTTTGTTTTCAGGGGAAAGGGAGGGAACAGTTGGGGCTTGTTTTATATCTCACACACACACACACACACACGCACTCTCACACACACACACACACACACACACAAGTAACTAAATGATGAGAACTTACAAAAATATGAGCTGGGCTTGAAAAGAATGTTTTTTGTGTATTCGTTTGCACCTATGTGTTTGTGCGTCTGTGTGTGAGAGCGAACTACCCAAGTACTTGTGTGTTCTGCCGGTTGGCAAGTGAACAGTGTGCACCAGTAAGAACACGCGCAGCATACTTAGGAAAGCCTCTTTGTGTTGCTGCTGCAGAGGCAGATGGAGAATGCGCCTCAGGGAAGGAAAAAACACAACATATATTCAGATGTGTTGACAAATCATGGATTCAGGAATGACCTTTTCTCAGCAAAGTCCCTCTTCTCACCTTTTGTAGTATGCAAAGCAGTATACACAACATAAGGCTACTTAAAGCTGCATTTGGTCTGATTCTGGGATTAAATGATTTTGAATTGTTAACAAAACAATCTTTAGCTTTGACTGATGTCTCATGTCCATAATAATAACCACGGAAGCATATTTGCCCTTTCTTATTTTTCAGTGCACAGGACGGGATTGATCCAACTAATTCCTACTCTATGCATGTTCATTTCTATTTTCCCTAGAGAGGCTTCTTCTCGCTGCCAGAGGGACACTTCTTTATCGAACCTGTCCAGAGATCCCCTGATGATCCTGCGGGGACTCCCGAGCCCCATATTGTCTATTCAAGAGTTCCAACGGGACGTCAAAGAAACAAACGCAGCGCTGAGCCCCAAGAGACGCACAGCTCCTGCGGAGTTCAAGGTGTGGATCTGAATCTGAATGTGGAACAGCAGGTCTCCGCTTGTGTAAAACGAAAATGATGGCAAGAGTTCTTAAATTGTCTCCGCGCTAGATGCTTCAAGTGACGCTGTTCAGGTGGAGAAGGAGAGGGAGGAGTGGGAGAGAGAGCAGCAGAGGGGGGAGGACCGGGCTCACCCCCGCAGGTGGCGCTCAGTCAGCAGAGAGCGCTGGGTGGAGACTATGGTGGTGGCCGACGCCAAGCTCATAGAATACCACGGCAGCGATAACGTGGAGTCCTACATCTTCACCATCATGAACATGGTGAGGAGTTAGAATAACATTTCCATCCATCTACACTGCTTATTCTTGGACTATGATATTTAGCAGTTTATCCCTTCTTGTGATGTTTTTCTATACGTTCATTGGGGAAGGATTTTGGTGTCTACAGGTGGCTGGGATCTTTCATGATGCCAGTATTGGGAACGCCATCCACGTCATGCTGGTTCGCCTCATTCTACTGCAGGGAGAAGAGGTAACCCTTTCTCCAAGAAGTTGGAGTCCGGATTTCTTTCTTTGACCATGCCTATGTCAAGGATCGAGCAGCACAAGCACATGCACATCAGTGAAGCATTCCCCTAGGGGCAGGTTAGGATGTTAGGACACTAAAATGCATCCGTTGAGGCAAGCAAAATTAAATTTTATATTTTCAGGATATTGCAGGGATCATTTGTAACTAATACTTTTAGATATGTAAAGCTTTGCAGTGGACAGAGACAACATGGTTCCTGATGTTCTGAAAAGATTTCCATCAGGAGATCTAAGCGGATCTGAGCTGAAAGGACAACTGACAGCAACAGAGAGGGGAACATTTTTAAAGTTTTGACGTTGGCAACAATGTGATTGGTTTAATGAAGCTGCAGAAAACGGTTGGTTAAAACAGACTGAACTTCCACTCAGGCTTCATTTAGATGAACTACTCTCTTCACCTTCAAATAAAATGTCATGAACTACTGGATAGATAACTCTTTTGACTGTCGTTCAACCTCCGTGCACTGTGAGTCACCGACCCCATTGCACATTATTTACTTGCCTCCCACTAACGGCTAACCGATGCTGAAGATGAGCAGCAGATATGAGAACAGGGTCTGGGAGGAGATCAGGTCGCGGCCCCACCCATACAAACACACACGGGGAGAGAACGGGAGGCAGCGCCAGGCAGTGACACACCTTCTACATTCCCCTTGAAAGACTAAAAACTAACTAATCTCGAGACGCTCTCAAATGACAGATTATTGAAAATGAATGAATAAAAATAGAAATAATGCTGTAAAGATGTGAAGAATGTAATTTTTTATTCTGCTGTCCGTTACAGAAAGGGTTAAAGATTGTTCACCACGCGGACACCACGTTGACCAGCTTCTGCGCTTGGCAGAAGAACCTAAACCCCCAGAGCGACACGCACCCGGCTCACCACGACGTTGCCGTGTTGGTCACGAGGCAAGCGACATGTGGCATGTGGTCTTGGCTCTGCTTCATCTGTCGATAAATGACACTTGGAATATTTTCATACCCTGGTGCTCGGCCGCCCTCTCGTGGTGGAAATGTACAACCGGTGTACGAGCCTGTGCTTTCCTCCCCCAGGAAAGACATCTGTGCTGGGATGAACCAGCCCTGTGAGACTCTCGGCCTGTCCCATCTGTCTGGGATGTGTCAACCGCACCGCAGCTGCAACATCAACGAGGACACCGGACTGCCGGTGGCCTTCACCATCGCCCATGAAATGGGCCACAGGTCTGTCAATGTGCGTACCGGTGATAACAATTGTTTTAGTTAATCTCCCGGCATCAGTGTCCCATAAGCAAATATATGAGAATTGTTTGGTAAAGAGTAACAAGCGAGGGCCGTCTGACATGAGTCCCTTTGTGTGTGGAAAGTATTCTAACTAATGGGCGTGTTGCTTGATGTTGGTGCGCAGCTTGGGAATCCATCACGACGGTCATGGGAATGACTGCGAGCCGCAGGGGCGCCATCCGTTCATCATGTCCAGACAGCTGATGTACGACAGCTCGCCGCTCACCTGGTCCACGTGCTCTAAAGAATACATCACACGCTTCCTTGAGTAAGGCTTCGTCTCACACTTTCCTCTGAAGCCACGAGTTGTTATATGTATTCTGACAGAATTCACTCGGGTTTCAGTTAGAGGTCGTAGTTCACTCCATTCCACCAAACTGTGAAATCAGCATGTTTTGCTCACAGGTTAACAAGACATTTTTTAGTGTTGTCCTTTAACCTTATTTAATTTAATACTGGCCGAGGAGACTGCTGTATGGCATGAAAGCAAATGGTAAGCATATTCCCTGACGTGTCATGTCAATATAAAATAATTTAAAAACATTTCACCGTTCAAAGCAAACCATTACCTCGAGCCTTGTGCCCCTTTTTCTCCTCTTCATCTGCTGTTCTAAAGGTCACTCATTCAATATCGCACCTTCGTTTCTCTGTGCCAGCCGCGGCTGGGGTTTCTGTCTGGATGATCGCCCCTCCAAGAGGGACCTCACCACCCCTCTGGCTCGCCTCGGCGTACGCTACACCACGGAGCACCAGTGCCAGCTCCAGTACGGCCCCAACGCCACTTTCTGCCATGAAGTTGACGTGAGTACCGTGCACATCGGTGCAATCCCCTGAATAGAAATAGTCGATTATTTCTCATCGCTCGTGGACATGCGTCTTTTCTCTCTCAGAACATGTGCCAGATTCTTTGGTGTTCAGTGAACGGCACCTGCCGCTCCAAACTGGACTCTCCCATAGACGGCACCCGCTGCGGACCGGAGAAGGTGGGTGGTGCCAATGTTACTATGTGTGACTGTCAGTTAAATATATCCATATTACTAGTGCGTGTCATTTTCTTTTCTCGCTACAGTGGTGTATCTCGGGAGAATGCGTGATCGTGGGTAAACTCCCAGAGACGGTGAATGGGGGCTGGGGCCAGTGGAGCACCTGGTCTCACTGCTCCAGGACCTGTGGAACCGGGGTTCAGTCAGCAGAGCGGGAATGTAGCAACCCAAAGTAAGAGCGCTGACTCTAGATGTAACTCGTTTCTATCACTGGCATGCTCAACACAAACAGGTGACATCCATGGAACTGACGCTGTGTTACCCGCAGACCAGAGTTCGGAGGCAAATACTGCACAGGGGAGAGGAAGCGCTACCGGACCTGCAACACCAAACGCTGCCAGAAGAATACGCCGACTTTCCGAGAGATGCTGTGCAGCGAGTTTGACACCGTGCCGTACCACAACGAGCTGTACCAGTGGATTCCTGTGAATAACCCATGTGAGTGATCAAAGCCTTCGGCATGTGATTGTGTGTGTCACCCAGCAAGGGGCGACATTTATTCTAGAAAGCACTTTTGTGATGTGCTCGGTCTGCTGTACCTCAGCAGCGCCACGTGACAGGTCGGTGCAATAATGTCTGCACACATTCTGTGCTTTTTGTCATTTAGCCCAAATGAACATGAACATTACGAAACAATCAACTTTTTTAAGTTTTTGTGAAAATGGCATTGATAAAGCGCGCTGACACCAGTTTGCCTTCTAATATTTGTTGAGATTTGTGAAACCCCGGTTTCTCCTCGACCTTCAGCGAACCCCTGCGAGCTGCACTGTCGGCCAGTCATGGAGTTATTTTCGGAGAGGATGCTGGACGCTGTGACGGACGGGACGCCGTGCTTCATGAACAACATGTCCAGAAATATCTGCGTCAACGGAGTGTGCAAGGTAGTGTAGCTGGGTTAGAGATGGGGGGGGTTGGATATGCGGCGAGCCGCGGCGTAATGATCACAAGGAGGCGTTGCTGGCTGTATGTCCTACGCGTCTGCTTGCGTGTTGTGTCCGTAGGCGGTGGGCTGTGACTACGGCATCGACTCAAACGCCGTGGAGGACCGCTGCGGCGTCTGCCTGGGAGACGGCAAGAGCTGCGAGACGGTTTATAAGACGTTTGACGGCGGGGAGAGCTTCGGTGAGTTCTAAGGCAAAAGTAGTACTTGAGCAGCTGCAGACGCGTTGAATCAGTGAGAGAAAATAATTGTGCAAATCCTAAAAACTCAAAACAGACAACTTGTTAATGAGGAGAGGCTTTGCAGAGTGTGAGGCTTTTTAAATTACACAAGGCGAGTCATTTCAGGACAGTTCATTAGGATTACGCAATTGTCTTCCACATCGTGCAGCTGTTTGTCTTGCTGTACTTGGCTGGTGTGTGTGAGTGCACATGTGCGCGCTCTCTCCCCCAGACTGACAAGTACGACCTTACTGTGCGTGGGAACACTACAACTTCAGTACACAATATGCACACGGCAAATACGCATTAATAGAGAATAATAAAACAGCAACATGTTTCCTCCTCTTCCTGTCGTCTTTCATCTTCTCCTTCTCTCTGTCTGCGTGCATTTGCCCCACACAGCAACCTCTCCAGATAACCGGCCCAGATGTGTAGGACTTCAAATGGAAACCCCCACTGCACAAACACAGAAACACACACACACCTTCCCACAAACATCGTTAAACTCCAGAGACCGACTCATAGTTGCTTTCGTCCTTCCCCCATCCACACACAATAAAAAACAGAGACAGGGCAGTGCCCCCCACGCTGAATATGCACACGTATATACACACACACACACACATGCCACCCACCCCCACACACGAGCCCACCCTCCATTAAAGATCAGAGGGGAAACTGTCTGGTAGTCTGCATGTAGGAGCAGCAGCCATGGTGGGCCATCCATTACCTCGCCGTGACTCTGACTCCCGACTCCACTCTCCCAGGGTACGTGGACGTGGGTGTGATACCCGAGGGGGCGCGGGACATCCTGGTGAAGGAAGTGGAGGAGGCGGGTAACTTCCTGGCGCTGAGAAACGTGACATCGGAGCAGTACTTCCTCAACGGCAACTTCATCATCCAGTGGAATGGGGAGTACAAGGCCGGGGGCACGACCTTCTACTACGAGCGCAGCGGGAACATGGAGAACCTCACCGCTCCGGGACCCACCAAACGGCCCGTCATGCTGCAGGTAGGCCATGTTTCCTTGTGGTCGAAGGGAGTGCAGGGTGTTTTTTGAGACGCTTTTCCTGTTCTGTTCAACAATATGCGCAATCAAACTGAAGAGTTAAACATTCAAGGATGGAACGATTCTCTGTATAACAATTCATGTGGCCGGCCAGTTGTTGTTTCAGGAGAAGAACCCGGGTATCAAGTACGAGTACACCATCAAGAAGACCAGGGAGACAGGAAATGATCTCATAGAACCCCTTTACAGGTGGAGACACGGGGCGTGGACAGACTGCAGCACCACCTGCGGCTTAGGTCAGTGTTGCGTTTGACGAGCAGAAAATGTCCTCGGTCTTGATATTTGTGGTATATGGAGGACTTCAAGGACATTTTTTTGCACTGAATTATCTGCTTTCTTGTCTGCTTTCCTGGCCGTTTCAGGTGGGCAACAGCAGCCCGTGCGGTGTTTCGAGGTGGACGTGGGGGTAGTGGACGAGTCTCTGTGTGACCCGGCCCGGCGTCCAGAAGACCGACACAGAAAATGCAAGAATATGGATTGTCCTGCGAGGTGCTTGCCCTTAAACGCTCTTCAACTCTTCCTTTTTTTTCTAATACTGACCTGAAAACTTATAGTGCGTACTGTGGTTCATCTCTTACAATATTTCTTCAACGATTGCCCGTATAATATTGGAGATACACACGGCTATCTAACTGTAGATACCTGTAAATATTACGGCTAAGGGGTTATTAGTTGATTTTATTTTAGATCTTTTTCAGTTAGTCAATAGTGAATGATTGACTATTGGGTGTAGGGTTTTATGTATTGACACAACTTAGGGTTTAGTAGAACATCCCGTTTCCCTTCAAACAAGGTATTTCAAATGAATTAGTATTAGATTTTTTTTTTAATGACTTTTCGGACCTGTTAAAATCTGTTAAGCTGTTACAGAATCCAATCCCTTCTACCAGCAGTCTCTCCCCCTCTCTGCCCAGGTGGTGGGTGGGTGGCTGGCAGCAGTGTACTGTCACCTGTGGACCACAAGGGGTTCGTCAACGGACGGTGCTGTGTGTCCGAACGGTCTCGGCGGAGGAAAGGGTGCTTCACCCGGTCGAGTGCAAGCATCTCCCTGAACCCAAACCCGTGGTGCCGTGCAATAGGGATGTGCCCTGTGGAAAGGACTGGGCTGTCAGTGATTGGGAGGAGGTACGTTTTCCTTCATTGTTTACTCTTCTGTATTATATATATTTTTTCGCTTCTCTGTAGGCTTTCTGACTTTGGCCTTACAGAGCGCCTTCTCTGTCGTCTTCCTCCCTCGCAGTGCCCCATCACATGTGGCGGTGGCGTCCGCTCACGCACGGTCACATGTGCGTTGGCCCCCGGGAAGACCTGCGACGTCTTATCCAAGCCTCGGTCCAGATCGCTGTGCGCCCTGCAGAGCTGCCCCAACTCGAGTCTTCGTAGACGACCAGGGCCGGCTCCCAAATACCGACGCATCTACCCACCAAAAAGCCATCCCACCCCGAATCCCGGAGCTCCTTGGGCTCCCACCACAAGCATCGTGGCAACAGATGCTGCCACAGCTGACTCCCCCAACGCTCCTTTCACAGTCCGGAAAGAAAACCAAGAAACTACAATTGCTTTCACCACGACCACCATGTCCCTTTCAACCCCTACAAACCCGCATAACGTAGACGCGGATTTTGAGCTCAATGTTGTTAGGATTAATGAGGATGAGAGAGTTGTTCCGTCTAAAGTCAACTCCGCTGGAAACGACAGAAAAGCGACTGATGTGGAAAAGGTAGACGAGAGAGAGGAGGGAGAGGATGGAAGTACGCCGAATGTGGTGATGTATACTCTTGGGTACGATTATGTTGTTGAGGAGAGGACAACAGAGGAGCAGGGTATTATTGATCTAGACATACCAAGACACCAGACACATACCAAATATACCTCCCTCAAAAAGCCGACACCACAAATAGCCATCACGCCCATTTTGCAAACAAATCCACCTACCATGCAAACAACCAAAGCACCCACTGCCGCCTACCCCACACCAGACACCAGTACTCAAACATGGGCAGGGTCCACTCACCGCTATCCCTCTTCCAATCCCCATACAACCCTTCGCATCAATCCAAACAGCCTTCAGAAACTAAGGGTTCCCCTCACCACTGCCATGTACCGCTCTGTTCCGCCAGCAGCTAGCATCCGCCCAACACAAGCTCCTCCTTCCACAAGAGCGTGGACCTTGTTCCCCAATGTGGCGTCATCCCGGTCCACTGTGACGATCGTTAAACTGAAGAAGCCCGCGGTGACACCCAATAAAAACAACCCTTCCCCTCGTGCCAAAAAGCCTTCTTCCAAAGGCAGTCACTCGAAAGGTCAAAACCAGCAAGCCGAAAGTGCCATGAGCAGCTCCATCAGTGACCAAAGTAACCTGAGGGCCAGAGAGCCAATCAGCATGGATGTATTCTGGGTCGTAGGAAACTGGAGCGAGGTTCGTAAAGACATTTTATGACCATGTTATTCTGTTCCATGGAGAACCATTACAATCGCTTGTGGTCCATTGACGTGAAATAAACGCATGCCTTTTTCAGGACAAAGCATAACTTTGAAAGATCTTGCCTTGCTATTAAATGAAAGCAGATCAGGCAGCAACTCCCAATTTGTAAGAAGTGAAGTTAATGCAGAAGTGCCTTAAACTTGCATTCTTTCTAATGTCCATTAGGAGGCGACTCCTCTGGTTCCAAAAATAAGTCTGATGGTATAGAGGTCTACGAGAAGATAACTCTTCTCTTTTCTACTTCTCGCTTGATTTATTCCCTCAGCAAACATGGTAAAATGGGTTTATGGTCTTAAGCTCTAGTTTCAAGTCTGCTTCATTTCAGCGTGATGTTCATTTAGTAAATGATGGTCCATTTATATTCAAATAGATCATAATGTGAAGTGCTTTACCATAGGGCTACTTTGTGGTTGACAGGTCACTACGACAGTGTTTCCTAGTCCGGGAGGGGTCTGTCTTTTGTGTAAAAACCGTAACCCTTTCAATTGATGGAAATAGTAGCTTTCTAGTTGCCTGAAAATATATATTTTTCGTAAGGTCACAGCTCTACCCTCTCGTTTAATTAAAAACAAGATGGCAACAACCAAAATGCCCAGCTTGGGGCTTCAAAACCAAAGTCAACTAACCAATGAGTGACATCATGGTGACAACGTCCGCTTCTCATACACAGTTTTTTCTTCAGTTTTTTGCAGGGATTTAAAATCCCTCCTCATGTGTTTCAATAGCTTTCTGTTACTGAGATATTGGGCGTCAATTATAATAAGGGAAACCTATTGAACTGATTTGACAATTTTCTTCATTTAAGTTGGCTATTTAGCAGCAAAAACAAAAAAAAAATAGTTTTAAGATACTGTTGCTGCCTTTAGCGCTATAAAAACTGCACTTCAATAGTGAAAAGGCAATCAGCTGTTATCTGGCTAAAGCATGTAAAAAAAAAAGTTTGTCTTTTCTATCATTTCATAACAGCTTTACAGTATTATTGCCTTGCATCTCACTAAATCAGCCTCCACATAAACCCAATAACAAACCTCCCTTTCCTCACCAGTGTTCAACGACATGTGGCATTGGAGCGATATGGAGGACAGTAGTGTGCAGCTCCCAGAAGGACGAGGACTGTGCGAGCGTCAAGAGACCCGAGCCGGCACGTACGTGTCACTTGCAGCCCTGTGCCATCTGGCACAGTGGCAGCTGGAGCAAGGTAAGTAACGTCATGGTTCCTCAAGTCACCGAATACAGCAGTTACAACCTTGATCCCGACCCTTATTGTCCGCTCATTTTTAAAACCGTAAAATGGGTCCGATAGTTCAGTTCTCACTAGCTGTATTTCTGAGCTGTTTGACTCCTCCACAGTGTCCAGATTCCTGTGTGGTGGTGGCCAGGAGATATCGTGAAGTTCAGTGCGTTGATTCCCAGAGTAAACGGCCCCTCAGACCATTCCACTGCCAGGCCGTGTCCAGCAAACCTGTCAGCACCTTGACTTGCCCCCACAAGCCCTGTATGATCTGGAGTACATCACCCTGGGGACCAGTAAGAACACTGTCCATGTCAAATCTCAATAGGTTTATTTTCTTTTCAATTTCAAGCTGTAAAGATATATACATGTGTATGTAAATATTTAGCATTTAGCACTTTTGGGGCTGTTTTTACCATTCCTGGCTTAAAACTGTCTGCCAGCAATATATGTTTCATTTGGGGGAACTGACTCAGTGATAACACATCAGCTTTACATGTGCATGAATATTGTTCTGTTGTTGAAGTTATTTGGATGAATTTCATCTCATTTTCTAGTAACTATTTCCACCTTGTACATCAGATATTGCTGCTCTGTGAAAAAAGACGTAGCCTCTACTACATAACATTGAGGATTTGGGATATTTAGAATGTATCCACATCCACAGATTCCCATAGTTTGCAGATGCAGGAAGAATGGATTTCTGTTCCAATTTGATAGCTCCGTTGAACCCTTGTGTTTGTACTCAGTGCTCTGGCAGCTGTGGGGAAGGTGTCAGGGAGAAGATGGTTTACTGCCCCGAGCCCCTTCGTTGCGATGCCACGCAGAGGCCCAACAGCACAGAGGCGTGCAAACTAAAGCCCTGCACTCACTGGACGGCTGAGGACTGGGAGGAGGTCAGTCATGCGGCAGCCAGAGTACCTTGAGGCATTGAGGGCATTTCAAAATGTTATTCGCAATGACAATAAACCAGGCTGGCACCAGCGGACTTAAGGGAACACTGCGTGTTTGCGTGTGAATTTGCAGTGCTCTGTGAGTTGTGGTGGGGGTCAGCAGCATCGTGGAGTCAACTGCGTGAGTGAGCAGGATTTGGCCGTGATGCCAAACAGCCTCTGTGAGACGATTTCCAAACCAGACACACTCAGGAAGTGCAATATGCAGGAATGCAAGACCAACACAGGTTTGTATGCAAGGCTCAATGTGTCCCATCTGTTTGTCTGTCTGGCCTTGTATTCTCACTGTAAACACAGTGATGAGATTTCTGCCTTTTGTTAATGTGACGTACCTCATGATAACAATCACACTAGATATCATCTTCAATGCAGTGTCTGATCCCATGTGACCTTTTCCTCGTCATGCAGGTCCAGTTTGCAAGAAAAACACCATCTCGGCTCGCTTCTGTGACAAGCTGAAGCTGCTGGGCCGCTGCTCTCTCAGGTCGGTCCAAAGGCAGTGTTGTGTCACCTGTGGGTCGTAGACGGGCTTCCACACACACATATATTTTTGCTATGGACACATCCCCACCACAGGAAATACGAACTGGGAGCCTCTTTCTGACCACCATCCACAAACACTAAGATTATATATATATAAACATGTTTTTTAAGTACTTTGTAATATTTTCCCTTGAAGATGTTGCGAAGTACCATAAAAAGATGACATATATCAAACAGATATTGCACCGATGTGCAGTAGACATTCAGAGTGTTACAGCTGTAAGCGCTTAATGTTTATTGAGGTGAGAGAGTTACATCTATATATAATAACTGGCAAGTTTAAAGGTGTTTTTAAGTACAAAATGTTATAAAATGAATGTAATTTAGCTGGTGCCAAATACAATAAATCAGTAGAAACATAATGAACACAAACTGAAATAATTACTAATGATAAAATTATCCTGAAAGCACAATTCAAGTGACTAAAGAACACGAGGTACAGTGTGCAGCTTCTCTATATAGTAAGAAACCTAAAGTACACATAAGTGAGTGAAAAAACAAATAAAGTATGTTGAGACTTCTATTAAATTGTTAATGACAATCAGTTTTTTTACTCACAGATTTAGCTTTCTCTGATTTATTTGTGTTGTTTTTTAAGCTCAGAGCTGGCATTGTGTCTTTACATTGTGTGGGTACAGGTTACTGATATAGTTACTTTTGTCATGATTGAAATATATGTAATTCAAAGTGGCAGCAGGAGCTGCAGAGCTTTGTGGTCAAACCTGTGATGCTCCTCGTCTGGCGGGAGATTGACCAATGAGAAAGAGGTGTTGCAGGTCATCCCTCTCGGGTCCTTTTTTAAAAAGATGTCTGCTATGTTTGTATGATGTTGTACAGGCGTTGCCATACTAGTCGTTGTACTCCACCGCTCCACCAAAAAAATCAACCTTGAAAAAAAATAGATTAGTTTGTGAATGAACTGTTTTGTAAGTGATACATGAAATAAACACATGTCTTCTATCTTTAATGTATTGGCATGACGTGCTTAGGTAAGTCTGGGTTATTTCCTTGCATCCCAGCATTCTTTTAAATGCAGTAAATCTGTAAACACAGTAAAAACCCCTCTTTGCATGGCGCCTCTAGGACCTTTTATGTCAGAGAGGTCATTCTCGACTGAGAGCGCCTCACGCTGCTGGATGTGTAACACCAGAACCGGCAGCACCGGTCTCCGTTTCAGGGATCGGGTTCGGCCGGCCCGGTCGGTTTGCTTAGTGCTGGATAACTTGACACGGACGGACGCTGCCCTCGCTCCATCTGCTCCGCCTTTCGTTCCAGCCATAGACCAAGGGTTAGTAATGGAAGGAGTAACGCGACACTGTCAAGTGGAGCATGATGTCCTTAAAACCAGCTGTGTGTGTGCGTGTGTGTGTGTGTGTGTGTGTGTGTGTGTTGGTTATCATGAGAGCAAACAAATACAAATCCTTCCTAGCAATTTTTACAGCGATTGAAGATTTCAACTTTTCCCAAATATCAGAAAAGTTGCGTTTGATCGAACGGCCTTCATTATTGCAAACTGAAAGAGAGTCCGATTTGTCATTTACTATTTGGACTCTGGACACCAGATGGATGTGGTGCGGTTTGAGCTTTGTGAATATGGAGAAAGTGTTCCGCAAATACTGAACTTTTAGACATATCTATCATTTTTATGTCAGAGGTAAATTTGGATGCAAATATAAATTTGTGGAAATATATATCTTTTCTAGTTAAATCAGATTATTACAATGCATAATAATTGCTCTGCTGGAGTTATGTGGCTTATTCTTAAAAAGCATTCCACATAGTTACAATCACTACCTCACTGTGTTGTTCTACATCTCAATGTCAATATATATAATATATATATATATATATCACAATGAAATACAGTTTGTGAAATGGATAAAATAAGCATACAGGAAAGGCGGCTTTTTGCTGATGCAGAAAATGAAAATCTGACAATACATGATAGTTCAGGGCCCTTTGGGATTCAGATCATTATAAGCACATCTTTGCCTGGGTAAGATATTGTGGACTAATTTCTACCTGCGCACAGAATGTACTCACTCTCCCTCTGTGCGTTGTGCTTTCGCATTTTGTTGGCAAAGCCAGACGTGTCACACAAGCATTTTAGTGCATAAAGTAATACATAGGTAATACATAACAGGACAGAGATCCTTCAACTAAATTTATGTGAAACTATAAGCAATAATTCCATAAAGTGGTCCTGCTAATTGATTTCTAACTGCCCACCTAATAAACCCAGTGATATTAAAAGGCAGCTGCTAAGATATAAACAGTCTGCCACAATCCCTGGTGGTTGATTAATATATATTTTCTGATTCTTAAACAGTCATTATAGTAAAAAGTTGAATAAAACCCTCTGCTGAAACTGACACTGACGATGATGTAAGTGGCCGTCCAGGAGGGGGAAGGTAACATGATCTATTGATGCAATGCAGGAAACGGCAACCTCATCTTGTAGGTTAACAGACACCCGCCAACACACAAGCCAGGAACGTATTAAATATTTACATTTGATGACCAACAGAAAAAAAAGAGGCCTCCGGTAAGAGCCGAGCGTGTGTTTGTACCATGAGGTAACACGTTTTCCTGTGATCACTGATGAGCTTTGAAGTCCCATTAAAGGAAAATGTTACTTTAATCTGTTAGTTTGCCCCTGAGAGAGGGGCTCTGGGAAGGAGACGGCGGGCAGCATTCGGCGCACCAACCGGCTGTTGGTTTGGTGGGAGAAGTCCGATCTGGTGGCTCTCATCTGGACCCCATCAGGTTTGAATGTCCCCGGGCGGTCCGACTGGCTTCCCTGTACCAAGCCTGTTCCTTTATTAAAGCCTCGATCTCCTCTGACCCAGCATACACAGAGCGGCCCCCGGGGGACGCAGACAGACACACACATGGTTCCCATAGGTCAGTGTGGTTGTTTGTGAGTTGTGCGTTTAACTCCCTCGTAGGCCACATATGGATTTGAGTTTAAGTAACTCAAAGTGAGGTGCTTTTCTCTGTAAAACATCTGCTTAATGATAGTGCAGCAAAAGCGAGAGGCCAATGTACTTAAAATGAGGCCAGGCAAAATCAGAGACACATGGCATGAATGAGGTAAATTTCCAAGGTTCAACTTGTTAATGCAATACAGTACGTTGGGCAGACCGAGCACAGATCGCACTGTGCTCGGTGCTGGATCCACCTGCTGCCTTGAGGATCAGGATTAAGCAATCGCTAATAAATGTACGATTTCAGGGTTGCTTTTTTTAATGTTTAGAACAAAGCGTTCTCCCAATTATACATGCACATGTTGGGACACTGCCGCCACTCAGCCACTGCTACTATGGGGGATGTCCTTACGATCCGCCTTTACGAGTAATTAGTTGGTACTATAAACGTATTGGGTCCAGCAGGCCCTTATCAAGAAGAAAAGAAAATCATGACACACGCGAAGTGATATGTTTTATGTCAAAGGGCTTTAGCAGTTCAAAAAGAACAGACAGCAAGGTTTTTATGAGCAACAATGCCATCGTGTTTTTTTACAGGAAGGGAAAGAAATGCTAGCAATAAAACCTCTAACTTCGTCAATTGGTCCTCTACCAACCAAATGATATATCCTCTTAAGTAAAAACAGAGCCTCACTCTGACCTTACCAGTGACTCTCAATCACAATCAACTTACACCCAACGCGTTCCTGCACTTCAATGCGACTGACATGCGTTTAAGCACTGAGCAATAACAATGTGAATACAAAGAAAAGCAGCAGCTGATATTTCACTACTCACAAGGGGAAAAAAACAATTACTTTTTTGAAGCTCTCTTACATTACTTGCTGAAAAGAATAAAATGATTCCTTCCATATGTTTCGCCTCGATTCGTCTTCATTTTTTGGCAATTGACACTGTGTGAAATCAAATCTCCGATGCTGCGTATAAATTTCCGGTACTTGATTTTTCATTGCCGTTATTTTGATTACGTTATTGTGAGCAGCGTAACAACCTGGCTTGAGCCACAGCCTGTAGGGAGGGATCAGGAGCACATTTGCCTCTTCTATTGCCTATTGTTTTGAACTTTGAAATGCAATACAGAGATGGATCTATAAAGACACGCTGCATGCTAAAGCTGTAGAGCAGGGAGGGAGTTGAGACCACATCCAGACCCCTGCAAATCTCACTTATATTGCATTTAGGAGAAAAAAACACGGGAACGGTTACGTCTATGAAGAATTTGCTCCTTGGCTTCTACAGAAATCCTGCAAATCTTGCCAGTCTGTCAGCATCATTGCAGGCCTACATTCCTCTGGGGCATCTACAACCACTTGCCTGAACCCCCTGATCTCAGAATCTTCCATTAATGCGACATCATCTCATCTGCAATCCCGATGCAGTTAGTCGAGCCGTGTTACAGTATTTCAACTCTCACGCTGCTTATGGGAAGCGCAGCACCACAGGATGCGATTGTCCAGTGAGCAAAATGCACCATAAGGATCCCAATTGCAAATTGCCCTCCATACCGAGGTATTTATTCTAGTAATTACCCCAACATTTTTTATTTCTAAATAATAATAATACGAATTTTAAGAATTATTTTTTCTAATTATTTCATGCTTATTATCATTGTAATAGTGCCTATTATCTTTATGTGCCCATTTATAGATGTTCCCACCTAAATCATTTTAACTAAGGAAATTGATTAAAGTATATGACCTCAGTGGGAGTTTAAGAAGAGGAATAGAAAAGTTAAAATTAGTTAAAATAGACAATTTTTGCTACTAATGTATACAAATGATCAATTTTTACAAAATATGTAGAGCAATTGCAGAGAAAGTTATTGTAGAACATTTATAGAAACACATATTATACATTAACCACAATACGTTTAACAAGAAGGGACACACCTTAAAGAAATGTGCATTTTAAATTAGATTAATAAAATACTATTTAGGTTATTTGAAGTAAAACCAATAAATCTATCACAAAACAACTTACTCCACTATTATTACTGCAACAATAATCCATATGAGTGATGCCTGCTCTGCTTCCTCTGCACTGATTCCAGGTTATCACAGCGGGAAGAGACACCACAAAGGAAGCAGTGATAAGATAAGCTTTGTTTGTATCCCCAGATAAAGCCATGCCAAAACCAGAGTGACGACCAGACCGCTGCTCTAGCCGTAGATGGTTGACAGACATTACAGCAGGCACTAAAAACAACCCAGACTTAGGGGAAGGAGAGCGAGGAACAGCCCAGGCCCCGACAGTAAAGACCCGAGGATCAGGGGGAGTAGATAAGAGCTCCAGCACAAGATTTTTTGTTTCACAAAAAAAAGATATGTTGCTTTCAAACTCAAGTGTTGTTGATTCAAGAGGGAAAATCAACTGCTGCTTCAGTGATGTCACCGATCATCCAGCGGCTGGCAGAAAAGAGACTCAGGCACCTGAGTGTCACACCTGTATGTCAAGTTGCGTTTTTGTCCTGTCTCCAGTTGTTTTTTGACTTCCTGTTTTATTTTGGAAACTAACTCCCTCTCGTTTCAGGTCCCTTTCCCTTCCTCATGTGTCACCAGTCTGATTGTCTTCCCTGATTCCTGATTGTGTCCACCTGTTCCCACAACTCCCTCATGGGTACTTATAGTCTGCGTCGCCCCTTGTCCTGTGCCAGTGTGTCTTGTTGTTTTGCCCTGCACACCAGCCCTCACGTCACGAGTCTAGTCAAGTCCGATAACGTTTGTCACGTCCTTTTGATCCCTGTTACGTTTCCTCGTTTAAGAGAGATTTTGAGTTTTTGCCTTTTGAATTTTGATCTCAACCTTTTTCCTCATTAAGAGAGATTTTGAGTTTTTTCCTTTTGAACTTTGATCGCAACCTTTTTTCCTCATTAAGAGAGATTTTGAGTTTTTTCCTTGTTATTAATAAAAGCAATATCAGCTGAACCCTCTGCGTCCGAGTCCTCCTCCTCCCTGCCTGACAGTACACACTGGCCAGAATG